TTTTTTCAAAGACGAAAAATTTTCGTTAGGCATTGACAAAAATTCAACCCGGGCCGACACGCAACGGAGAGAAATTTCGAAATTGGATAGATTAATTTCATCGAAAATACATCGTGGCCGGCGAAGTTTGAACGATCGCGCCCAAAAGCAGCGATACCAAAGAAGATTGGAGAATGAGAAAGAGATCCGCTTTGAGCGTCAAAGTGATTCCGCTTAGTAGTGTCTCCGAGACATAGTCGTGTCCCAAATACGGTTTTGCCGTTTTACTTGTTTAATTTAACCTTTTTGGTAAATATTTAAATAATATAATATTAATATTTTACCAGTTTTATCAGTATTATACAGTTGTCCAACAGAAAAGTAAACTATCCTATTTACAAATCTTTTCAAAATAGTTTGACCGGGCCTTTCTAAAAACAGGGCCCTAGACATTTGTCTCATTTGTCTATGCGATGATCCGGTCCTGAGCAGGCAGGACTAGGAAATATAGAAGAGCGGGATATTGAGGAGTTACAGCAGGTTTCTGGTGAGATCCTTGCCAACGACGACCTTCGAGAACTGGCAGAACATGGAATGCATGTGGAACTGGAAAATAGAAATTCTGAAAACGAAAAACCCAAAAAATTTCTCTACAGATTTCTTTAGTAAAGGTTTGGTAGGATAACCGAAATCGTTGATCAAATTGTAGCGAATGATCCAGATTTTGAAAGAAGTGCGAAAGCAAAACGAGGCATTTTGGATGCGATCTTCTGCTATCGACATTTGCTTAAGGAAAGAAAAAAAAAGCGACAAATGAAACTTCACGACTCTGTTACAAAAGAACAAGAATTTCAGAAAAATCAGGACCTTCATCACAAAAAATGAACTTTACATTTCTGTGTGCATATATTTATGTACAGTATTATTTAACATATATTATTATACAAATTAATATAAAAATAACTTAAAATTAAGTAAAATTTGTTTATTTTTGGTCGCGTGTTTCCCTATCCCTATTTACTCTATGTTAAAATGATCTCGTTTAACGCTGTTTCGCTTAGCGTTTTGTTGTCTAGGAACGTATCCCCTGCGGATATGTCGGGTCCCGTCCCTCATCACCCGGCCGCCTCATTGTGGGCCTGGCCAAACCGTAATGGGCTTGCTATAAGAGGCCCTCTTAGTACCCACAGGGCGGCGGGACAAAAAAAAAATGTGCATAGAGTAATCGATGAAGAGAAAAGTGTTTTAAGAATTAGTAACAATAATACTTAAAACGCTTATCTGATATTAGTAATAATAATAGTTAAAAAAATATCAATTTAAAGTATTAGTAACAGTAATAATCTCATCCCATAATTCCAATTTATTAAAATAATTTTAAATATTTTCCTTATTAGGTTTAATTAGGTTAATTACGCGCGAACTCTACCAGTGTTAACCGTAAACACGAATAAATAATATATTTAATCTGAAGCGAACGTAATTATAAATAAAGAAATCTTGACAATATTATCTGAAAGACAATGAAATATATTAATAAATTAATAATAAATTTTATTGTTTTATATGTATTTATTGTTATTTTTTAACATATGTCTCAATCCTAAAAGGTAGGGGGCTGCATTGCGGGTTGCAGCCATTCAGTATATTAATGTTATGGGGAAGGTAAAATTATTCCAATTTTCTTATTAATTAAATTATAGTGTTATTTTAGACAGAAATATTTAATATTTTTGAGGAGAATGCTTATTTTAGAAGAAATGAAAGGAAAGCAACGTCACCACTAGGAAGTGAAATATGACAACTTTAAAGAGCCAACCAGATGCAAACCACGTGACTGAGGAGGCGAAGACAGAAGGGAATGCATCAAACTCTGAGAATAAATCGGAGAAAAACTGCATTTTGGATGCTGTTCAAAATAATAACGTCTCGACAGCACTACAGAAAAAGAAGGGAAATGTATATAAACCTGCTAAAGCTGATTATGAAAAGGCTAGGCAAATACTTCTGGAAAATAATGTTGTTAAATTGAAACCAAAGCCTATAGTTATTAATTTGAAAAATAATGCTGTTGAAAATCATCCTGTAAGTAAAAATGGAGATGATGATGATGATCAGGCAGCAGAAGAAGCAAAAGAACAGCCAGACAGTTTTGTAGAAACACTAGTTATTGATGTTGAGAATTCTGAAGATCAAATAGAGGAACTTAATAGAGAGTTTGAGCAGGTAGATAAAAATAATAATGTCATTGATAGGTTTGGTGAATTGACAGAGTTTATACCAGATGTGATGGGTGAAAATAAAGCTAATTTTACAACTTACAACTATATTTTACACTAATATTAATTTTTCTCTTATAATCAATCAAGGAATTTAATGATGCATGTCTTGCTCACAATTCTTTTCATTTGTTCTTTGTTTTGCTTTTTTGGCACTTTATTCACAGTCTTTGATCGATTTTAGAGAAAAATTTATAATAATACTAAGTGATAATGGAAGGCAATGAAATGACTACTCAACTTTTAAATATTTTGTGTTTAAAATTAAAGTTTGCAAATTAAATAATCAGAAATCTGAAGTATAAGTAGTTTTTTGAGAAAAAATAACCAGTTTTAAGTTATATTGGATTGCTTTGGCATAAAGATACTCATAAGAGTAAGTGGCATGTTGGGGGAGTCTGTGGTTGGCTTCTTTTCTGTGAAAATGCAGTGGAAAGCATGTTTTATGGCTCCACATGATGAAAAATTTTCATGTTAATCACTCCTTAAAATTTTCATGTTAATCATATCTAAAATTTTATGTTTGTTAAATTTTTCTGATATCAACAGGAAGAAAACCATTCTGATCATTAACCCTGGGAATTGACCTTATGATCTGCAAGGTTTTATTCCAGATTCAAAGTTAATTGATCTACTGGATATTGGGCATTTTGGCTCTTCTCACATGTACTTCATTGTGCTAGGATTAAACACCAAAGATTGTGAATACATTATTTAATTAACAAGAAATGTGAAAGGTAAGATGTGTACTATTAATTGTATAGCAAGCTGAAAAATTTGGATAACTGCTCATTGGTTCCACTAGAACTAACATACAATGTGAATTACCCCACATTTTGTAAACTTGGTAGAATTATTAATTGTGAGACAACTGCTTCATTCCTGGTTTAGAATATGTTTTTACAAACAAAATAAAACTCTGGACTTGTACTTAATGTAAGATTAGAAATTCTACTGTATTTCATAGAAATAAAGGGAATGACTGGATTTGTTGCAGGGTGAGCACTCCTTTGTTATGAATGCAAAGAATTTGGCTAAATCAGATGAGTTATAACATGCCAGAAATTTAATATTGCTGAGCATGAAACTTTTGTACCTAAAAGTATGTCTTCAAAAATATTAATACTCTGTTAACATTATAGTTTGATTTGACTGAAAACAAACTCTGAATTTCTGGAAAATATGTAATATGTATGTGTGGCAATAACTGTGCTAAATACATCAATCAACTGGTGCCTGAGGCTACAGAAATTCCCAAAAGTGAAACAATGCAGGAGGTTTACGATAGTAACTCTAGTTACTATTGTAAACCTCCTGCACTGTTTCACTTTTGTTTCTTTTAACCTTTGTAAAATTTGCAACTACAATAGTAGTTACAAATTTTACAAAGGTTAAAAGAATAGAAGACAGGATTGATATTGTATAGAAGACAGGATTATATATTGAACAAAGTATAGAAGACAGGATTGATATTGTATAGAAGACAGTACAGAAGACAGGATTATATATTGAACAAAGTATAGAAGACAGGATTGATATTGTAGTTGCAAATTTTACAAAGGTTAAAAGAAAGAAAATGAGAAAGAGAAATACTTACACCAAATATTCAACAAGTGTTTCATTCAACAAGCTAGTTCAGTTTGAAGCTGTGCAGACTAAGGTGCCTTCAAACATAAGCAGAGTAGTACCATGAGACAATTGAAATGAAAATGAAATGTGTGAAAGTGTCTTGTGATTATCAGGAAATCCCAGATCTAAATCATAGTCAAACTTACAATGTCAGATTAAATACACTTACAAAGTTTTCTAAATCTTAGTCCATCACATCTGACACTCAAACAAAATAACACCTGCCTTACTACAGGAAGCCATTCACTGTTATAAAGTACTGAAAGTATACTTTACTGTTAAAACAAATCAACTGAATTCTATAAAATCTTGTAAATGTCTTTATAACTGAATACAGAAGAGAATTAGTAAATCAATAAATTTAAAAAGTATAGAAGACAGGATTGATAACAAATTCTGAAAAAGACAGCTCTTATTTAATAAAGTCAGATATATATATCCTATAAACTATTAAGGGGCTGTCCATAAATTATGTAAGGACAATTTTGGCCATTTTAGACCTCACCCCCCTGTGTAAGAAACCATAATATTTTCTTTGACCCCACCTTCTCCCCCTATCTTATGTAATATTTAGGCATGATTTTATAGAAAGATATTAACAAAAAAATTTTTTTATCTTGAGTGTTGTAATGGTTTATACATTATTGTATAAAAGTAGTAAACCTTTTTGTATCAGTACTGTATCAAGTGTTTGCTTTGGTCCATTCAAGATTTGCATCTTTTTGAACGTTATCACTTTTCTTGTCAGCATGTGCTTATTTATATGACTTGAAGAATCTTTGGTAAACATCATGTAAGTTTATTTTTTGCATTTTTATATTTAATGATTCAAAAGACTGTTTACTATCACAAAAGGATGCAAAAAACTTTGACAGATTGACTAGCTAGTACATGTGTAAACAGAAATGTCATACAAAACAAAACAAAAGAAGAGAAACCACCACACGGCCTTTCTCCCATGATAAAAACTATGTAGAGCATGAGTTTGCTAGCATTATTATTCTATCTTGTCACACAATATGGCATTAGTACAATGAGCATTCTTAATAGAAATTGCCAAATTGAAGCCAAATTCAAAACTCAATGAGATCAAAAAATAAGACATAAGATGAGATCTATTACTCCAAGTAAGAAATCATAAGAAATCCTTGATTCCCCAAAATACCTTATGTAATTTATGGAAGGCCCTAAGCTATTAATAAGTAACAATTGCAAGTAATATAAATTACATTTTGTAATGTGTTATAATTCCCAATATATCTATACTTTTTATAGATATAACTATATATTATACCTATACAAAAAATGTGTGGATACATTATATCCCCACCCCACTTTTTTTGTAGATAATGTGAGCAGCATAGAGGTGATATCTCTGAGTCTATCTCATAGCTGGCCTGGGTTGATATTTCAAATTTTTTAAAATATTCACTTTTTTTAATTTCTGCAGAAAAGGTGTTACATTTTCCTACTGAATTATTTATTTTCACATTTCTTTAACAATTCTTATTAAATTAGAATATATGTATTTCTGTGCTATTGATCTTGTATTTTCATGTGGATACAACAAATAACAACAAAATGAAATGGTAGGATACATGTCTTTTCATAGATATGAATGGTTATGAATAACTGGAGATATACAATGATACATGCATAGGAATTTATTGCAGTGGCTATATTTGAAAAATAACCTATATTGCAGTTCTGGAAGCATTGCTCTTACATTTACTACAAATTAATTTCAATATTTTGAAAATCCTTAACAGCTTCCAGAAAAATTTTTGGAATGCATAAATCAACATAAATCAAAATTTCAGTGAACATAATTGATTATATGCTAAATGGAAATGGGAAAGAGAATTCACTGATTGAACAAGGGCAAGCTTTTTCCATGTATCAGCACAAGTTATTTTACCTGTTAGTATTTCATATGCATTGCTGATGAATTTTATTTTTAGATTTACATAGATAGACTGTTAACAAAATCTTTTACTATTTTCCAAAAATATATATTGGTAGTGAAATAATGTGTCACTGTTTCTCTAAAAGTAAATTTAAAATAAGTCTTTAAAAACTCTACATATAAATCCAGCCCAGCTATGGATACAGACATAGACGAAGATAATCACAACTATGTCACTTGCTATTATGAGCATCTTGATACCAGAGCATATAAATTTAAAATAATTTAAAATGGATCCTTTTTTCACAAAACTGTTTACAGTTAAGGATTACTGATTATTACATATAACCCATTTTAAACTTTTATTTCAAACATGAAATATACACAAGTTGGCTTAATTAATGCACCTTTGACAATGGTAGAATTTAAACAATGCTAATGTTTTAGCTGTGTTAATTAATGGACATCCTTGGGCAGTTGAAGATGAAATGTGAAGGTGAAATATTAAATTTGATATACTGTAATAAAAATATCAGTGTTTCATTATTAGATTTTCAAAAATAAGATCTTGGAGAAATTTCTGTATTCTTTTTTATGCCACCAATTAATATCAACAATACTGTACTAACAATTTGTTCATAATGCCCATCAATATTTCCTGATGAAATTTTAGTAACACTGCCTATATTTATCAACTGTGGCTCCTCTGTCTCTTTGTATCACAAAATTATGATTAACCTATAGAATTACAAAACCCTTATTTACATACTGGGTAATCATTCTGTTGCCTTCTCTCATAAACTAGTTTGTTATAATTATATAGTAAAATATTTTTTTGTCAAATTACATTAGTCAATTTATCTACTAATAACAATGTGTACAAATAATAGTATATTTCAGTGTTTATGCAGATGTGATGTGCAGTTAACTTTCTGAGATATTTTCCTTAAATGCAAATTAATCATGCATTTTAGATACAAAGATGAATTGTTCTAATTTATGGAGTTGCTCAATTAGCTTTGTTTTTTGCATATTATATCTGGTATTTACATCACATAATCGTAACATTATGCTAGGACTATTGATGTAAAAATTTAGATAAAATAATAATAAAATATTTTAAATACATTATTTCTTATAGAAAGTGGAGTGGCTTGCAGAGATGATTGCGATTTCCCGTCGTAAATTTAATAGTATGAAGAAGAAGAAAAAGAAACGTAAAGGTTTGTTTCTTCGTTTTTCATATAGTTTTTTACATTTAAACTGTGAATCCAAGAATTCTTCTCATATTAAATTTTACTTTCTAAAGAGTATAATGATGTATTGAAAACTAAATTTCTTCTTTTTTTTATCTATAATGTATATATTGGGTGGGAAAGCAAGAGTTCAGTGGGAGCCAAAATGTAGGTTTTGCAAAATGCATGGGAGCCACAGTTTTGTACTTTTTTATTCTGTACTGCGATTTTATTATATAATATAAATATAATATAAAACAAATATTGAATTTTTTTAATAAACATATTTTCACAAAATTGTGGAAATAAAATTGTAAAAATAATAATAAAAAGCAGAAATTAACATTTTCAGCAAGATCCGCATGTAACTCAAAAAGAGCCACATTTGCCCATATCTGGTATATATACATTTTTTTTAATGTTTTATTTTTTTCTGCTACTATTTACTATTATTTTTTATTTTGTATATAACTTACAGGCATTTTTAATAATAATAAATATAATTTTTGTTACATTACTCAGATATTAATATTATCTTGGTTAGACTTTTCCAAACTTTTCCACTAAAGAGTAACAATTTTCTTCAGCCACACTTCAAATATATAAGTATTTACACATACTAATGATAATAATTACTTTAAGAAGATTCTTTTTCATGGTCATTTTCCTCCATCTGTGTTTGCTCCCACATTTCCTTGATCATCAACAATTCTTATATTGTAATATCATCATTATCAATGCTTACATGCTCATTGGCATACACTTCTGATGGATCCACTGTCTTACTGCCATTTCTAAATCCTTCAAAAAATCATTACTTGTGTATCTTCTGACTGGATAAAATCACCACTTCACTGCTGCTGTTACAGGCACATTTAAATCCTGAAGTTCTACAGGAAAACTCCTGTAGAACTTTATGTAGAATCATGAATTGCATGGCTTGGAGGTCTGACTTTATACTTCTATTTGTATTTTTTCATGAGAAAAGAAATGCATGTTGAGCTAACAATCAATTATAACTTTAGCAGGTCTGATGATGCCTCTGTTCAGAGGCTGCAAACAATTAATGTTGTTGGATGAGAAAAAGAACTGAATATCCCCAACTTTTTTTCGGTGGGCAACACAACTGCAAAGCAATATTTCTATTGAGCATCTCTATTTTTGTATCAATGGCATGCAAAAGTTCAATGAATGGACTACTAGTCATCCATGCCTTCTTGTTATGGCCTGAATGACTTATGACATGGCAGCTGAAATACATTATGATACTGATTAGCTTTGTTGTTTATTAAAAGGCATTATTCAGGTGTGATGATTAAATAGAATTTTAATGCTAATTTTGTTGTTAGGCTTAAAATTAAGGTTTGAGTCATCAAAGTGTGAATATTGTTTTTGCAAGTTATTGCTGAGTTTCAATCTACCATTATAGTAGAGTATGATTCTTAAATTATTTACATAAGTTATTTATAACTATTTAATTTATTCAACTGGTTGCAGGCTTTAAGTCTGTTGAATACCACCATATCTGTAACTGCCAGTACATTAGGTACTAAAATAATGTGTGTTAATGATATGCAAATTAGTCACATATTATTTGTTCTCAAGTTGTTTACTGATCAGGTTTAGTTTGAATGTTCTTAATCGTAAATATCAGCTTAATTGTCCAATTTACAGAAGTGTCAGTGATATTGTTAAGAATGTGTGTTGCAGTTTATTCCCTTTTTTTTATTGTAAATCTTCATCTGCATTTTTTAAAACAAACCTTTATATTATTGTGCATTTCCATGCAATATTGTAAATGTAGTGTTTGCAGAATGGCATTCAGATTGTACTGCACATGTTACTATTAAAATAACTATTTATTAACAACTATAATGCCTATTTAGTGATCAGAAAGCAATCTATTAAGCATTTTGTATTTTAAAATAATAGTTTATAACTTATACAGGGTGTGCTCGTGTGCTTGTGGCCAATCAGAGAAACCTCACACAGTTTCCCAAACCATTTTTTGTCAGTATCCAGCCATTTTCTCTTTGAATATTTTAACTGGAGAACAAATATTTTGTACTGATCTTGAGATGCTTTACAGTTATATAATTTAAACTGTGCTGTTATCTTTCATAGGAGTCAAGATAGGATTTGGCCCTGTGAGAAGTGGAGTCAAGTACACCACAACTATGCCATCATATAGTGCACTACCAATTACCTATACTCTTATGCATTTATCTATTAGTTTATTTGGATTACTTATGTTTAAGTGAAAATGTCTGTTTAGCTAAATAATGAAATAATTCATCAATTAATTAATTAATTAAAATTGTAATCAGCATATTGTTAACATTATATTATATTATATTATTATTAATTTTTATTAAATTCTGTTATTAGTAATTCCAGTGAAGCAAACTGAAGATGGGAAATATGAATGTGAAAAATGTAAGAAGCAATTTGCCTCTGTGAGCAGTATTTATAGTCATCAGAGTGTTCATAGGAGAGTCAGACCATATAAGTGTAAAGTATGTCACATGCGTTTCAAAGATGGGTCTAGTTTAAAGAACCACAGTACGATTCACACAGGTGAGAAACCGTATGAATGCCAGGAATGTAAGAATAAATTCAGATTAAAAGGTGATTTGAAAAAACATCTTCGAACACATACCGGAGAAAGACCCTTTCCCTGTGAAGTTTGTGGCAAAAAGTTAACTACAAAAACAACATGGACACTTCATATGAAATTACATAAAGGAGATAAGCCCTTTAAGTGTAAGAAATGTGATAGAAGGTACGTTGCCCAGTCTTGCCTAAACAAGCACATGAAGCTTGCACACAAAAGATAAAGTTTAGGTTTTGATCTAAAAGGCAACCAAGAGTAAATTATTAAGAAATAGCAATTAGTGTGATGTTGTAAATACTACTTTATTTTCTGTTAAAATACATTTATGCAAATGTATCTGTTTATATAAATAAATACTTTATGGTGATAAATTTTCAAGTTTTATTTCAACGAATAGACGTTGATTAAAATTTGCTTGTGCAGAGTTATATCTGTATTTTATAATAGCAGCACTTCACTTAGAGATTTCCAAATTTACTCAGAGCTATAAATTTATTTCATAATTTATTTTTCCATTATGTGTTTATAAATTAAACAACAAATTACAAAAAAGTATACAGAACCCTGAAAAATTATCTTAGAATCTAAGATACAGATGTAACCTTTATAATTCTGAATGATCATCATCCTTATAAAGTTACTGCATTGCCATATGCAATAACTTTATAAAGATGACGATCATTCAGAATTGGATGGGTGTCAAAGTTGTAAGGCAAAGATTTGATGTAAATAATAAATTTAAAAATATATCCTTAACAACAAAAAAGAAATTTGTCGTTTTGATAAATTTATTACTTTATTGCAAACATTTTTGTGATACAGATCAGGCTAAATCAAAATGAAAGCAATTTTTGACTCCACTGTGCAGACATTAAGAGAGTTTTTATTCCATACCTATTGTGGGTTTGGTCAGGCCAACAATATGAGCAACTGAGTGGTGAGAGATAGGGCTTGATATGTTCGGGGTGAATTGCCTATGAAAATTCTTGGGATTTTTCAACTGCCCAAATTTGATCCAGGTCTCCCAGAGTGATAGATCAACACCTTCACCATCTCAGCTTTCAGACTGAATTCTCAAAAAGAATTAAAATTCTATATAGGCTCTTGATTGAACCAAACTAATTTGAGTATTATGTTCTTAAGCATTTTGAGCCTTACCAGTGACTCAGTGAACAAAACCACAACACTGGTGGTTGTGTGTGGACTGACCATGTAAAGCTTTCCTGGTTTTCGTTAATTGTCTAACGTCAAAATAGAGGCACTTGTCCTTGGTAGATTTTTCTTGTGTCTAATTGCCTTAGCCTTACCTCATCAAATCAAATCAGTCAAGTACTGTATTTTTCAGAATTCCAGCTCATAATCATGAGAAACAATATTTAATGAAGAACTTGATTGAATAATACTTGAGAAAGTGATACTTATTGTGGAATTTTATTATTTGAATATTCTCTTTATAGATTTTAATTAAATCTTAAAACAATAATTCTGTTACTACTAATCATTAAACCCAGATGCTCTTTAATGTCAGTGGTTTATAACACGGTTTTTGTTGTTATTAAAACAGCTTAGTCAAAATAATTCTCCAGTAGAGTTGGCGCAAATATATAATTTTTGTTTTTTATCTGCCAAACAAAAATTTAAATTCCTTTGCATTCCATGTGCATTAAGGAAAACTTGAGTTTTTTGCCGTTTTATAATATAAAATTTATTTTAAAATAAAATCTCAACAGATGGCGCCAATTATTATTTTCCCGGCTGTTATAACAAAAGTGTCCTAGGAAATTTTTCTAAAAAGGTGGGGCGCGAAGCCTGAAGCAGGATAACTTTTGTCCTACAAAAAAGTGTTGCAAACTTTCCTGGTGACTTCGGGAAAATTATGCAAGTCGCTGCTGGATCTTTTTATCTACGGCAGGGGTGTCAAACCTTTTTGTTTCTCTGGGCCACATTGAACGAAGTCAAGGAGTTTTGGGCCACAAGTATTAATATATTATACATACTTGTGGCGCAATCCTTAAATTTACAAGTATATTTAAGGATTAACATATCTAGATTATAGTAATAAGTATTAAAACTTTATCACGAAAAAGAATATTTTAAAAAATTACTTCTACAGACACTTTCAATTTTTACTTAGAAATAGATAAATTCATTTATTATAAAAGAGACAAACGAAAATTTATTTGAAAAACACAAATATTTGTTTCATTTGGGTCTCTAATTAATAAAAAGCAACGAAACACCATTTTAATTAAAGTGCATTTTTAATCAACTAATATATTTATAAATAATATGTAACCCAAAAAGTAGCCAATGCGCCAAATGATATTTTTTGCGCCAAACTAACAGAAGGATAACCAAATTTGGCGCAAAGTAGCCAATCTTGCAACACTAGAAGGAATATTAAATAAAGCTGGAGTTGGGGCTCGAGGATTAAAGATCCAAACGAGGAGAAAAAAGAGAAAGGACAAAAGATAAAGTGAGGAAGGTTGGAAAATTAAGGGTCAATATTTGCATAACAGAACGTCTGTTTAACCTTTCTCACTACTTTTTATCTTTTGGCTTTTCTCTCCTTTCCTTGAATTTGGATCTATAATCCTATGAGTCACAACTCCAGCTTGATTTAGTATTCCTTCCTCATTCACACATTTTCAAGTATTTGAAAATATTTCCTTTCCACTCAAAAATAAAATACGTATAAACTTTGTGAAACTTCTTTTTTGAGTTTATGTCGTTGAAATAAATAAATAAATAATAAAAATTTGTCGGCTTTGTTTACACGTTTATTGGGCCGCATTGGAACTTGCCTTGGGCCGCATGCGGCCCGCGGGTTGGACACCCCTGATCTACGGTATTAATGCATTATGTGCAATAGACGCAGGGACTGATCTGGGTTTTTCGGGGCCTAGGACTTACTGAAGTCCAATAGGGCTTTAGTTTTTGTTAGATTAAGAATCTTTTAAACTGGAGTTTAAAATTGCAATTTGGTGACCTCACCAATTACGTTACATTGATTACAATAAAACAAATAATACCATAAATTATCATTGTTGTTATATTATTTATATTAACTATTTTTTACTATACGATAAGTGCTCATTGTTAATGAAAAGTATTAAAACTTTTTCATTAGCAATGATGATAATTAATTTTTGTCGGCCTTTGACACTTGGTGGCCTAGACCTTAAGCCCTATTAGTCCCTATGTAGATCCGTCCCTTAAAAGACGTAAGGTATTTCTCTGCACAATTTTATATACGGTATGTAGTAACGCCTGAACACTCTCTTCATCATTACTCATAGCATATGCTCTGTGGCAGCACTGGAAATATTTTGGAACTGTTTTCAGTATCTGTAACCAGTGGATGTGAATGTTCTTTTCTTGGATCCTGAAGATCGAAATATGCGGCAAGCATAACAGAAGCAGCATTCAGTCCTCGTAACATATTTTGCATTTCTTTATAATCAAAAGCTTTTCTGCAAGGGCTCTAGCAGGTCAGACACTTTAATTTAGTTCCGGACCCGGGATCGAATTCGAACGGGTCGAAAAAGCTTCAGGAATTTTTCAGGTGGTGGTCCGTCCGGAAATCGGGCCCCATCCCTCACCATCCGGCCACCCCATTGTGGGCCTGGCCGAATTCATAATGGGCTTTCTAAAAGAGGTTCTTTTAGCGCCACAAGGAGAAAATATTTTTGTTTTTAAATGCCTAACAAACTTCCTGGCCATTCTAAAATTGATATTTGTTCTATCCTAAATTATCCTAGGTTTACCAGATGAAAAATTATATATGGAGGACGAATTGTTCTGAAAAGGAGGATATTACGGGTTTGTTGGAATATGCTTGAAGTAAAAAATGATACTTTTCATTACTGCCTAATGGAGTTCAATCATTTTAAATTACTTTTATCTAAGCACTTTCGGATTTTTATCTGTTCATGTGTAGAGTTGCTTTAGTTTGAAACGGTTCTAAATTCTACGAATGAGTGTGAAAAGCCATAAAAAAAATGATAATTTGAAATGAATCAATCTTTAATTACAAGAACAAAATTGTATTTTTCAGAATTTACTTTTCACAGCAACATTTGGGCATTTTAAGATGAAGGACAGTTTTTTAAATAAAAAAACACGTCCTTCTTTTTGATGCCATGTGTACTAAATAGATATTTGTGGGAATATCCATTTAATTTAATCGATAAAAAATTTATCATTCTTCTTGTATGACCGTAGAAACTTGAAGTAAATTTCTACATTGTTTTAAGAATAATAACGGGAATCTTATTTTTTCCAGTGTAAACGAGTTAAAATGCAAAACATGAAACAGCCAGTCATTGTCTTTGTTGGGGCATTCATTGTCATTCAAAAAATGAAGTATGGCAATGGAAGGATGCATTCCGCAGACCCTATCAATGTCCTTGTCAACTTAAAGCGGGGGTCCTCAAAATGTACTTTGGAAAACACGTAATTACAATGGTATCAAATCAGATACAACGCTTGATACTGGGGAATTCTCCTCAATCATAAGATGAAGTATTACAGCCTGCTCAACAGTAAATCATGGAATATGATTTACTGTTGAGGACGCTTCGTATATCGCTTTGTTTTAATATCCTCCAAAATTTCCTCAAAAATTGCTTTCATTTTGATTTAGCCTGATCTCTATGACAAAAAATACAATCTAATTGCTTTTTGTCAATGAATTGTTTTTGCTTAAATTTAAACAAAAAATTTTAATTTTAATAAAATTATATCACTGTTTTTGTAACTTTCTCCTTTAACTTCTCTCGATATCGAAATAGTAGCAACATGACAGTTCATAGCTTGGGCCGATATCGATCGATTCGAATGCGTTTTAAAGAAAATAGTATGTTATTATCTAAATTAAATAAAACAAAAATTCGAAATTATATTTGATAAAATCATATATTTTAAAGAGTAATTCAAACACAATTTTATATTTTTGTTCAAATATTCTGAATTATTCGATACGATATACATTTTCTCTTTTATAATAATTTATCGATCGTTTCAAAACTATTATGTATTTACAGTGTAGTAACCTATATATGCCGTATACTATTCGCTTGTGCCAGTAAATATAGGTGACGTATGAGTCGACCAAAATGGCTGCCACAAAGGGTATAGCGTGCGTGGCAACATACGAGAGTTACATGTGTGTTGTCTTTTTAATGTATTTTCTCTCTGTAGTTAAAACGTTTTATTCGCATTTGTGTCCGACATTAATTCTAGTTGATTTCGTAGTTGTTTAAGTCACGATGATTACACCTTATGACATTTTAGAATATGTGGGTGATCGGAAAAGAGGCCTTATAAGGAGAGGAAATGCTAAAGAAGGGATATTTTCGTATATCTTGGTTAATTTTTATGTTATGGATGGCAAATCCTGCGCAAAGAAATATTAGGGCCTTGAAGAGGGCGTGGGTGTTTATATGAAAATAGGCTAACTTTCATAGGTTTAAGGATAAGGCTAATATTATAATTAAAACTGATAACTTCTTATCTATCCACCTCTTAGCAACTAATTCACTTCAGTTTCACCAAATTTCACAATTTTGCTGTGCTTAAAATTGTTTTATTTTTACAAACGTTTTTAACCTAATATAGACCATCGTCAGGTTTAATATTATAAATATTTCAAAATGGAACGTACCGTTTTTGAATATTTTACATATTTAAAATTCAAAAAAGTAATTTAACTTCAAAATAAATTGAAAGAAGTGTGTATATTAAATAAAATAAAATACAGAAAACAAAGCTAACGAGAAAGAAACATGATTTAAGGGTTTTTAAGTCCCATTATTTTTTCTGTTATATATTTTCATTTTATATACCCCAGCTTTCTCTTCTTTTTTTATGCTATCTTTATCGTTCCGTAGCAAGCTATAGATATTGGGTGCTCTTTTTCTTATAGACCATTCTCGAGTTTTTATAAAAGAGCACCCAAAACCATGTTTCTTTCTAGTTAGCTTTGTTTTCTATATTTTATTTGTTTATTTACTTTTTGAATTTTTCCGTCCGATGGCTGGATTATTGTAAAATAAATCAAAGACAAGTCTGTCCAAAAGGGATCACCATTTATTTTGCATTTCAGACTACACATACACATTAATAGCGACAGGTCTTCCTTTTTTTTTGGGCTTCAAGCCGCCAAAGGTTAAAAAAAGTCCTTTAAAAAAACGCAAACATCCAATTAAAAGTAAAAAGAATCGGTGACACACAGACGTCTTACTTCAATGGTGATCCCTCTTAGACAGACTTGTCTTTGATTTATTTTATTTACTTTTTATTTATTTATTTAATATACACACTTCTTTCAATTTATTTTAAAGTTAAATTATTTTTTTGAATTTTAAATATGTAAAATATTCAAAAACGGTACGTTCCATTTTGGAACATTTATAATATTAAACCTGACGATGGTCTATATTAGATAGGTTGAAAACGTTTGTAAAAATAAAAGAATTTTAAGTACAGCAAAATTAGGTGTTGGTGAAACTAAAGTGATAACTTCAGTTTTATTTCCCACTTTTTTCGATGTAATTTATTTTTTGCGAATGTGCGCATATGTACTGAGTTTGATGAACCTTTAGACTTGCATCTAAATTCACAGCAATACTTATTATTTACCATTGTAGCTTGAACACTTTCTAATTCTAACAGACCACAGACTTTACTGCAGTCAGACTCCCCGCGTTTCTTTATGCAGCGCTTGAGAAGCGCTTTACAGCGAACAGACTGAAACTGGTTTCTAATTGGCCAACACTGCTCGTGACGTCATTTCGCTACACTCTCGCTGCATAAAGAAACGCGGGGACTTTATACCCTTAGCAGCCGCCATTACGTAGTTCGCGCTAATACCGCTAGATGTCAGATCTATCGTTGGCACAAACGAATATAGTTTTCAATTGTCGACTTTTTAAGTGACAAATAAGATAGATACGATAAGCGGATAATTACTCCTCTATGATAATTTTGAAATAGACTTTTAGAGAAGTCGGGAGAGAGGTGTAAATTTTAGGTGGGCTAATCCCGGACGTATGGAAAGCCCAGGCCATTTTAAGTACTTTTAATGACCCAACGTTTTAGGGGCATTATACAGAGATTTATAGATAAAAAATATTATTAGTGAACAGTGAGATCAATCCACTAAGAAGGTGAGGTCCCTGGACATGCATTAATGCGGTCTTAGGTAAAGTGAACCTATCCATGGTATATTGCATACAAGTATTTTTAGACGTTATTACAATAGAATTTAAAAATTGTATCTACGAGTGTCGCTTAAAAAATCATTATTCCATTGAAGAAAACAAGCATTAAGTAACTGCTTGCTCGATTAACCGGGAAGATAATGTGCCTGGCGCCAAGGACAATAAAGTCCTTGGCCTGGCGCAAGGAATATTGCATATACTTTTTCTCTTTATCCGCCTTGTGCTAACCAAGAGGGCCTTTTTATCAGGCCCATTGGGTTCATCCAGGTCCACAACGGGGGTGGCTGGTTGGGGAGGAATGAAGGATTTGATCCTGGCTCTCCTGACGTCTTAAGTCTACTCTGCCATCCAATTATTTTGCAATTGAGTTTTTTGTTTTGATATTAAATATAATATGTCATGTCTAGCTTTATTTCAATTTTAAATATATTGCCCTTCCTTTATAAGTTATTTACGATGTCACATTGGACTCATTGACATGAAAATATATGTATAAAAACAGACTTCTAACAGAAAATCAAAATGTACAGTCGAAAGGGGACGTCGAATATATTACCAGAAAAGTATCAAACTTTGAAAAAGTAAAATATTGTAAGCACCACGTGGTATCAAAGTTCGACTATCGATCTCCCGCGTAACGTTGGCGAAGTTTAAGCGCCACCTGCTTAATTTTTTCAATGATTATTTTGTTTCCTATTATTTTAAAATCACATTTTTTTTTCCAATTAATTATTCTTTTTTAAAACATATTTTACAAATATATAATTTATATAAATTAAAAATATATAATAAAATAATACATAATAAACAACTAACTCGAAAGCTAATTAATAAACGATTAAAAGTAATTTGGCTTAAAAAAATAAGCGATTACGTCGCCATCTCGTGCTAGTTTTAATAACTAACAATTGAATTAACGCATTTATAACACGAATATAATTAGACTTTAGTAGTTTATATAAATATTATTATTTAGGAAAGAATAATTATAAATCACAACACAGAAATGCAAAAACGTCACAGAACCCGTTTAACTCCAGCGCCGCAGGTGGTCAGAGGCGTAGTCTTTTGTATGTTATGAAACTACACGTGATGTATTTTTTTTACCATATTTTAGACTTTGTGTGGAATGTTGCAGCAGACACTGCCTTAGAAGCTATGTTATTTGAGAATATTTGCATATTATAACTTCAGAAATATCTAGAAAAAGAATGGATGTTATTCATTGTTACAATGTGACAAATATATATTCATATCAAAACAGTTTTGGCTTAAGTAAATAAATAAATGTACGCCATTTCTCATTTTACTCGACTGTTTACTTGTTTCGGAATGCACTTCACTTGGGTGAAGTAAAATAAATTCTCGAAAATACTTTCATTTATTTATTCAAATATTAAAACTGTATTATCAATAATTTGTATTTAAATATTTTTAAAAATTTAAACGAAAATGCTGAATTTCTGAATTGAAAATATAAAATTCATGAAGTCATTTGTATAATAATAATAATAATAATAATATCTTAATGGATAAATACTAAATACGCTCACGAATTGCTGATTAAAGTATGAATATCCATAACTAAATTATTTATTATTAATTCTTTTAATTTTTTGTATTTAATATTTTATTAAATACAAAATATTAATTAGTTAATTATATTCATAATGTATTTTTAAAATATTTTTAATGTTAATTATAATTACTTTATTGCCATCAGAGAATAAATAAACTGATAAAACACCTTCCTCCCTCTCTTAGATCAGTCTAGGCCCCTTTCTGATACCTTAATATTAATTTATCTAACTTATAAATTATTATTTATAATAAATTTAATAACTTTAGAAAATACAGTAGCAAAGGGCCTCGACCCTTGCTACTAAAGGGCACGATGGGCATAAGAAAAGGCCCTCTTAGATCTATAGCTTAGGGTCTGATGTTTTTTTACATGTATCATTATTACATGGTATGTGGTGGGAAGGGCCTTTATATATTTTAGGGCCACAACGATTCTAAATGTAGGCCCGCTCTTTAATTGAAGAGTTAAAAATAATAGTAACTAAAATCTGATGATGCAAATATTATTTCATTCGATGGCCTTTTAAAACTAATTTTTATTTTATATATATAGAGTTAAAAGTTGAATCTTTAATCGTGTATAAAATAAGAAAAATCAAATATGTTCAATTTATTAATGATACAAGAATAAATAGGGTATATATATATATGTATGTGTGTGTGTATACATATATTTATTTTAGAGAGTTGTTTAGAAACACGATAGTCGAGACGGAAATGGAAAAGTCTAAAAATTGTAGAAGCGAAGAGTTTAAAAATCTTGGGAGAATTCTGTGTGGGAAGATCTCATAAAATTTCATTTAAAGAAAAATTAGATTTATGAAAATATAAAAATAACTTCTTACACATCGGCGTATCCACTTAATGGAAGTTTGACTATATTTCAAAATCTTAAATATAGTCAAATTTATAGGTTAAAATTTTTTTTTTTTTAAATTTTCTCTCTAGTAAAATAAAATAAGCATAAAATATCAGTTTATCGCAAACGTATATTTTTTTATATTAAAAAATAAATACGTTGTTTTTTTCCTACAATAATATATTAATATTTAATTAAATAAAAGTTTTATTTAACAATAACATTTTTCCAATTATTTTACAATATATACAAAATAAATCTTGGCACTTTATATCACAGTTTTGTGACCGAGCAAATATTTAAATACATTTTTTTTCCTAATATAAACGTACAATTTTACACAATAAATCTCATAAAAATATTTAAAACGGATTCGAAATTTTTAGAAATGTCAAATGATGATGGCTATTGTTTAGGAAAATTGACATTAACTTCGTTCCTTAATAGCTCTCGTGTAAGCTGTAAATGACGATGAACGTAATCTACACTGGGGTATAAATTCGATACATTGTAAAAGCAATCGGCGGCTTTTTGATATTGGGTCCTTTTCAAGTGGATAACGCACGTGTTATGAAGACTCTGCAAATTGTTCGGTTCTAGTAGTAATACTTTAGCGTAACACTGAAAGAATCCTTTGTCAATGGTTGCAGAAATTAATAATCATTTACGGTTAAATATACAAAACGTCACTTACCTGTTCGGCAGAATCTAAATCCTTCAGATAATTAACGTTTATATCAGCCAAAAGGATTAATCCTTTGATGTGATCCGGATAAAACTGAATAAATTTAAAAAAGGCTCCGTATATTAATGTTCGGTTTATGCTAATAATATGATAATTAGTAAGAAATAAATTACTAAAAAGCTTAAAACTGTATAAAATATCTATAAATTATTAGTGGACTCTACATAAGCGCTCTTAATAACTTCTAAAAATATTATATTAATCATTAAAATGATAGCATTATATTTTATTTATAATTTTTAAAAGTATTTAATGTCTTTTGTATGTTATGAAACTACACGTGATGTATTTTTTTTACCATATTTTAGACTTTGTGTGGAATGTTGCAGCAGACACTGCCTTAGAAGCTATGTTATTTGAGAATATTTGCATATTATAACTTCAGAAATATCTAGAAAAAGAATGGATGTTATTCATTGTTACAATGTGACAAATATATATTCATATCAAAACAGTTTTGGCTTAAGTAAATAAATAAATGTACGCCATTTCTCATTTTACTCGACTGTTTACTTGTTTCGGAATGCACTTCACTTGGGTGAAGTAAAATAAATTCTCGAAAATACTTTCATTTATTTATTCAAATATTAAAACTGTATTATCAATAATTTGTATTTAAATATTTTTAAAAATTTAAACGAAAATGCTGAATTTCTGAATTNTGAAAATTTAGTCGAAGACTGAGAAAAAACACCGTTAACTCGTTTTTTTTTCAAGTTTCTGGAAAAATTGCCCTAAAGTTCTGAATTTTCTCTGTATTTTAGGGCAGATCACAAGTGATTAATGATATTACAGGTTGATAGGTCAGTCTATAAAAAGTTATGAGTCATGATTATGGAAATTATAGAAATGCTTTTAGCAATGTTTAACATGTTTTTGCCCCAATTCTCCAATTGTTATTTGACTTTATTTTAATTTTAAAAAGAAAACATATTTTTTATAAAACTGTTTGTTTTATTCTGTTTAAATTAATAAATAATTAGTTATTCGATTCAGTTATAAAGATTTATTTAAGTTACATAAAAATCCCATTTTTTTTACAATAAAACTTTCATTAGAACGGTGTTGAGAAAACGTACAAAATAAAACGCTGTATTATGCTACATCACTATAACGCAAGCAGTTTAACATGTAAAATGAATTAAAATTTCATTATAACGCTATTACTTGCGTTACAGTGAATTTTACTATATTTTTCACGTTTGCTCAACACCCTTCTGTTTAAAACGTTATTACATTAAACAGGATAATTTTTTTTCGTGAATCCTATTCTTTGTTGTTATATGAACGATTCCATTTAATATCTGAATTTATTTTCATAGCGGAATTTCTCTAAACATAATTTCTATAGGAATATTTCCTGGATGTTTTGAAATAATATCAGTTCAACCCGACAGTTAAAATACATTTGATTGGTTTAAATAAGAATATTTCATTATTTATAAAAAGTAAAATAGACATGGGAATCAGGAAAAATTTTTCCGGCAGGGGCAAAACTTAGAAACAAATAACTACATTAATAAATTTTTATTTATTTAATTTTGGGGGTTTGGATTTTCTATATAAAATGACAGACAAAACGTCTCATGATGGTGGGTGTACTTTTACAATCACTTTTACGATTATAATTTGTTGAATGTTTACTCAATCCCGAGAACAAGTTTCTCGTTTTCCCTCTCTGCGGTCGCTCATGATCTTAAATACTGTATGTTAATTATGATAAAATACTCTTACTTTTAATAACTGCTTGATATAGACTAAAGATTCCATTGGTCGATCTTCGTCTGACAACAATAATGCCAAATTAAATAGAGCGTTTTTCATATGCGGTTCCAACTTAAAAAATGAAAAATAAACGAAAATAAATAATTTTTTTTAAACTTAGTAAAGTGAATATGTAATATTGTCGTACCTCGATAGCTCTTTTCAACCAAATTTCCGCGTTTTTTAAATCCTTTTCCGATAGATAAGTCATTGCCAATTGAAAAAATGTCTCTCCATTATTTTTTCCACTCGACGAAAGTCTACATAAAATAGTTTTTATCATAAAATAAAATAAAAAATAAAACTATTTATAAAGTTAGTTCGATGTTTAACCTTTCGCTCGACAGATGGTGCCAGTTATTCTTTTCGTCTTCCTCCATCCACATCGCCGAATTCATCAAGGCTTTCTGTAAATTAGACCCTCCCATCATATACAAAATCTAACTTACATCTATAAATAACACTGAGTGTTATTTACGGATACATTAAATCAAGATTTAGTATCAGTTTCAGTTAATTTTAGATGTTTGGAAGGAAACGACCGTCTAACCTGATGATCAGGTTGAATAATTAGCGCCTTATTCAAATATTCTAACGCTTCTTCTTTCCTCTTCTGAAGCATAAGAACGGTAGCTAACTGAAAGAAGACAAATCATAGTTTAGAAAATGATTTAATAAGTGTATCCACAAGGCAAAAACTTAAACTTACGTTGGAATAAATATCAGGATTTTCATTATCCAGTTGTAAAGCTTTGTGATACATCATCTCCGCTTCTTTAGTTTTGTTCATCTTCAACAGAACGTTTCCCCGATTAAAATAGGCATCAGAATAATCGGACTTAATGCTGATGGCCCTCTGATATAACTGCACAAAATTAAAATTTAGTTTACACTGCACTTCATATGAGGATTGGAGAGTGTATTAGTTATATATTCACTTACTTGGTCTGCTTCTTGGAGTCGAGTTCGGTTGAGAGAGATTAAAGAAGCTAAATGAAGTAACACCTGTAAGTGACTTCGTGTCACGGAGGTTTGTTTAGAATTCAGCTGATGCTCGAGATGAGATTTCGCCTAGAATAAAGTAAATGTGTAAACTTTAATAACGCCCGTACAAGTATGTAGCCCATTCAACATTGAACTTTATGCGAACTTTAAAATGATTTCCATTTCATAAAGAATAATGATTAACTTTTTTACGATAAAATCATATTAATCAAGTAAATTTATGATGCGTAGTGTAGAAATTACGATTTTATCGCTTCTCGGCTAAGATCAGAGTTGACTAAACAGAATTAATATTTCAGTTATTGTTAAACATGTCTTGTAGTGAATAGACTAAACATCAGAATTGTTTCAAAGTAAAGTCACGATTTACACACTATAAATAATCAATATTTTAGTAGGGCATTAAATAACCAGACGCTTGAAGTTGTCACGCTACGTTATATGTTTGCATCTAACACTGATTTATACGTTTCCCACCTGTCATTTTTATAAATCTAATTGTTCATAAATTTTTCTATTCAATTATCTTTATTTTATCTTCATTTTCAATGGCAGTTATTAAAAAATCGAAATCCATTGTAAAGATCAATACATTAGAATAGCAAATTAAAGAAATTTCATGAATACATTTGAATAAATTAAAAGTTACTTGTAACTTTACACAACAAAGTCTGAATTAACATAATAGAGACAGCGAATTTGCTTATATTGTCAAAACAATTTTCAGTTTGCTAGAAATCTTTTTATTTTCTAGTTGAAATTTCTGATAACGTTCTGACTTACGAATACTGAAATTTATAACTCAATGAAATATTAATAATTTATAATTTATAGTATTTTTAGAACAATTATTTAGTTTTTTAAGGTATACATTTTTTGTATAACATGTACAATACACGAATAAATAAATCAAGAAATAAAATAACATCAGTCGAAGATTGAGAAGTTTAATTAGAAGTTTATAAACATTGGATAATGCTGCATATTTGTTTTAAATGTTGTGTATTTTTATATAACTGTTAAAGCATTTATCACATATAAATAGAAAACTTTAATAGATCACTACGTAAATGACAATATAACCACAATATAATATTAAACATAAGAATTTTTACAATAAAAATTACAAGCCTCTTATATTTAAAAAATTTATACATAATATATCATTGAACTTTTATAAATTTTTCGAAAAATTTAAGTTACAGCTACAATTTCAAAATAATCTTTTCATTCCATTTTCACATTCAAATAAAATGATTTTCTAATATAGAATTATCGTCGGATCAGGGGACCTAGTTTTAACTATTTTCCAGTAAAACCGAAGCTTCTTCGGTATCCAACAGCAACGCTTTTATACAATCGAACATTGAACCGTAAGTAAGAGTATAAAAGACTAATCTAACGGGTGATATGTGATTTCGAATATGCAGCATGGGTCTATCGTTGCCATGGGATAACGAAACTAGTTAAGAATAGACCTATTAAGGAAGTTTTAAGCATAAAAGTCTATGTAGGGCCTGCGTTTTGAGGGCTTCAGACACGCGTAAATTTATGTTTATCGATACTAGATTTCTTTCAGTACTGGGAATTAAATACTGTATTAGGTAGGATCCTAGACCTTATTTGCACAGTATATTAAGTATCATATGACATGAATTTTACATTACGTGTACTTGTAAAAGGAGGCTCCTTTTACATGTATACGTAATATAAAATTTATAGCACAAGTCCACGCTTGCTTAATAACTCGCACGATCTAAAATTGCATCCGCATAAGATATGACATAGGCCTAAACATATAAAATTACGTCTACAGTAAATATTTTCATATATGCAGTATTACAGATGCTTTCTATAAATTGAATTATTAAAACATGTGATAAACTTAAATGTTTACTAACCAAATTAATTATATATATCCTATTTTTTTTATTTAATATTCCATTAATTTATTATTTAAGTTTTAATGAAATGATAAGCTGATTCAAACGCCGCTTTCCATAAGATTTTAGTTTTAAATACACTAAGAGGATTAATTGACATCGTATTTTGCGTTTTTCAATCATTTTAAATTAAATATTTAGTAGTAGCTAATACATAAACCAATATTTTATTAATGGGATTATTAAATAAATATATTTTTTAAAAGGTGTACGACATAAACCTAATGATTTAAATAAAACCTTTTTTCTGTTTCAAAGTTTGTTGGGAAGTAATTTATCAATCTTTATTTTTATCCTTCTTATTTAGTTCAAAAGTTGATCATGTATAAAGTCGTCTATATAAATAATAATTCTAAAGCCGAGTTAAAAACGATAAGGTCATTAAAATTAAATTAATGAAATCGACTTTGATTTAAGAATTTAACAGAAAAACTGTATAAATTTAGTCGAAAACAAAACAAGAATAAAATTCGAGCTTAAATTAATCCATATTTTGGTTTTTTTCTTTTTTTTAAGACACAAAATGAATGCCAACTCTTAAATAATCTCAGTTCTTTAATTATTTTCTTAGAACTAAAACGAGAAGTTTAATAATTTCTGGTATTATCTCGTGTATAATATTTAAAATTAATCGCCCTACATTAATCTATACCAACCATTAAATATATTTTTTCCGCTTCTTCGTAATTTTCCAATTTAGTTAATATTCTTCCAAGATTTAAATGTCCTCTAACATCATTTGGTTCCACTCTAAACGAATTATAGATTAGGTATAAAGAACAATAAAATAAATTTAATATAGAAATTGAATACCCACTTGATCGCACTTTTAAAATAATGGATAGCTTCGGAGTTTTTCCCCTGTCCTTCCAATACTCTTCCCATATTGTTGTAGAGTTTTGCATTTTTTTGGGTGAACTTCAACGCTGAATCGTATAGAGTATATTCCGTTCTCCTGTAACAGAATAATAACATCCTTCACGCTTTCGAGCATTGGAAAGTTGCCAATCTAAATAAGTGAACTTACCAATCTTCGTTTCTTCTATTAGTACGTACGACGTGACTCAGGATCAACAACCATAAACCCCAACGGAAAATCGTTTTGTAAAATCTTCAAAAATAAAAAAAAATCGATTAATTTTATAACGTCTCGACATATTCGGTGCCGTATAATGTCTATCATATTACATATACACTGTTAAATTGGTTTAAGTCGAGTTAACGAGACGACTTATGACCACTTAAATATATCCTGTTTGATTAGTTTCTATGTCGTCTGAAGTCATTTATTGAATTAAAATCGAATTAACTGCTGTAGTTTTTTTTTCATATTTACAAATAATTTAATCATAATTTTTTAGAGTAAAATTTTAAATTTATTCATATATTCATATAGATTTTAATAAATTGAGTGTTACAGAATTAGGCTGATGAGTGTAAACTAAGCATTATTAATATAATAAATCAGTAAAACAAAAATACAATCATTTTGAAGGAGAATAAGTTTAATTTAACTAATTTTTATAGAATTTCTTAAATGAAATGGTAAATAAAGTAAGCGAAATAAGGAAGGTGTATTTAATTGATTTTTCCCATTTCGAAAAACGTCAAAGATGCTTTTTGTGTCTAATTCAATGTTGATATATAGACATAAAATGTAATTACTAATATAAATTTGCATAAAAGAATTTCGAAAGTATAAGTCCACGGTGTCCAAACTGTGGCTCACAATAAGGAAGAGCAGCATGCGGCTCTTCTGAACGCTTATCATGGCTCTCATATATTTATACAGTTCCTTTTTATAAACTTGGTACATACTACTTACATGTATATAATATTTTCTAAGTTTCTTGGCTATTACGTAGTATAATGTACACAGGGATTGTAAGTGTAACTCGCAATTTAACCTCGAACAGGCAACAAAGCTTAGAGTACATCCATAAAGTCGAAGGAGTTAAATCAGGAATTGTTTACCTAGTCAGTCATAAAGTATCAGTAAAGTAACAGTGATATTTACTATAGAACTGTGATAACCATAGTATTTTAGCTATATATAATTCGTAAGTAGAGGATGCGGCTCCAATCGTGGCCAAGGTTTGGCCACCCCTGCTATAAGTGTTTTACTAAACAAATAAAATATTCGTGTAAGAGGATGCAATAATTTACTTAAAATGTATATCATTAACAAAAATATAAGTTTCATCTATCATCATACGAGGTGTTATGCGACTGTTATTCATAGTTTTGGTATAGAATCCGATTCTCTCATGAAACTTTGCAAATTTCTTAACATATTGGACATACTGCTCTATGATTTGCAATCTGTTTTAGAAAGGTAGCCTGTAGATTATAAATAATTATAAATAATAAATGATTATAAATAGTTATAAATGAGATAAAATAGCCTATAGTCAGTCTACTAATATAGAACTACCTATAGATACATTTATTATTAATAGAGGAATTTAAATATTAAAATTGGTATATTATTAGGCTTGCAATATAATTGTAGGCCTAATAACATAAAATATTTTAAATTAATAATGTGCAAATTAAGGGGGAAAAAAGGAAAAGTTAACGAAAAGGAATCATAAAAAGCATATTTAAAACAAGAATTTAGAATATTCTGTATGTAATAAATGAAAAAGTTTCAGATGATAAATTTTATTCCTTTGGCCATAAAAAAAGTGGCAAATTCTTTAGGTGTAGAAGTTGTTGTAAATAAAATATATGTATGCTTACCCAAATTCCATAAGTGCATTCCATCCTATAGCCACTAAAATACAATATCCCATACTGGGTAAATACAAAGTCCTTTCCGCTACCACAAAACCAACGGGAAAAAATAAATTTGAAGAAGGAATATAAGGCGCAACGGTCATGGCAATTCCCTTTATGGATAATAAAATTTTTTAGATATTTCAAAAATTCACGAATACTGAATACATTTATGTAATCTTACCATTACTAGAGATTTTTTAAATCTCATTCCACTCAATGAAGTCTTCATTATAACAAACAAACCCGAGTACAAGCATACAGTTCCTAAATTGCGAATATCCCAAAATGATGTTACTAAAGGCACAGTTCCCATGGACCAATCGCAGCACAGATTAAAGGGATACAACAAAAGACCAAAATTCAAAACGGAGAGGAAATTATATGTCATCTGTCGATCAGGAAATTTAGAGACGGATGCCGGATTGTCGAATCTAGCAAACGTTATATCCTATTATTACACGGCGCCAGATATTGATGGAGTCTAATTCTACTGCAAAAAAAAAAAAATCCTTACCTATTAAATTTTGGAAGGCGGGATCCCATTAAAGAGATGCGAATCCATATAATGCTTCCAGAAGCCAAAAATAAGAGGGCCATCCGAAAAAGTTTATTGTGAAAAGAAGACAAGTTGTTGTTGGGTGACTTTTTTATTGAATGTATCTACCGGAGAATAGATTTTAAAATAAATTTTACATATTGTTTAAAGTTATATACAAGACGATTCAAAAATTAGTTAACCGTGAATATCGAAGAACTGATTGCTGAAGCTTTCATACATTTTGTTAATAGTGTAGAAATATCAGAAAATTTGTAGAAATGTTTTAAAATTCTTGAAATTAAACATGGAAAAGATCATATTTTTTATAAGCTTTATTAGTAGAAATTATAATAAAGTTGTCTTTAGAACGGTTAACTGATTTTTGGATCTCTGTATAAATCAAAATTTTAAATTGCTCATCCATCAAAAATCATTATTTATTTAGAATATTCTTTTAAAATAGTTCAAAAACGAACGTTTTTGTGTAGTTGTATGTTAAATTTTCTATCTTAAGTTGTCTTTGTTTTTAGAAAACTTAAAATTTTAACTAGATATGATTAAAATAAAGACTTTAGATATTAAAAATATTTTAGAAAACTTAAACAATCTTTTCTAATTTTCAATATAATTAATGATTTTTATTTAATAAAGATTTCAAGCTTCACCGATAATTTTATTTTAAATATTAACGGCTTTTTTCCGACTAAAATCTCTTAAACAAATTTAATTTTTATTGTGCTTTCAAGAGCAAAGATTGACTAATATTTCTAAGAGACTTTAGTAAAATGCAGAAACGTTAATGATTTTATAACACAGGACTGATCAAATTTCCTGTTGAAGGTCGCTGTTGATTAAAGAGAGTGAAGTACTGGAAAAATAAAATAATCGCGAATGTGTCACGACTTTTCAAAAGTAATTTTTACTAAAATTTGATGTTTGCAAATTGTTTACATTCCTTGAAACAAGTTTTCTTTCTTTAATACGTAAAGAAATAACAATTGCAAACATTAAATTTTGTTATTATTTCATAGTAGATAGACTTCCACTAAAATTTTTGTAAATTATGAAGAGTTATCTTTATAATTTTCTATTTTATCTTAATTGATAATAATAAATTAAAGAAAGGTTAAATTATTTTAATTTAAAAATATAAAATTGCGCGCCTGCACTTACATTCTCGTGTGATACAGAAAGAATGTTGCTTTTAGATTTTATTATAATATTAATAAATACTGCTTTGTAGTAATAATTATATATTTTATGTATGTTATTTTAGTATTAAACAACTGATAATTTATATATTTTCAAACTTTATGTACTTTTACAGAATTAATTAATCCAGCAATTGTAATCATCTTAATTGACATACCTTAAGCGATGAAAACTCGAAAATGATGCAGACAACCAAAACTGTGATGGACTGTTCTTTACATAAAAATCCCACAATGGAGAGGGAAATGATACCAAACCAGACCAACCAGTTGACTGTTATAAAAAAAGTGAAATATGTTAACTTAAATCATTATGTAGTTGATAAAAAATAATACAGTCAACCTTATTTCAATGCGTTTCGTTACAAGTTCAATGTATAAATTAAAATTTCATAAATTCATGACATTCTTTTAAAATAAATCGGTACTTTAAATGTTTATTTTATAAGACATTACCTGCATATTTACGATTTTGAGTAATATATAGCCTTAATACAAATAAATAAAAAATGGCAGATAACAGTTCAGCTCTTCCAACAACAGACGTAACCTAAAAAATTCAAAAGAAACATTATAATTAGAAAAAACCACGATAAATATTAACAAAAATTAATGGTTTTTTTCACTTTTATTCTCTTTAAAATTGTTTAAAAATCAAAAAATTCTTTGGGACAATTTTGATGAAAATCATAAGTTAAGGGTTTCTACTAAGTAAATAAATGAATAAAAAAGAGAAATAAACAAATAAACTTTTAAAAAATGATAAACCTACAGCTTCTGTATGGATAGGGTGAACGGCAAATAATACAGAAGCGATAAAAGACGTCTTCGAGGGAAGGAACAGCAGGCAAATCCTGAACAGAAAATAAATTTTGATTGCAACTTTCTAACATGCAGCTAAAACAAAATAAAACAGCGACGACCTTCTCCACAGGAAGTTCCATTACCTATAATAAAGCAAACAGACGATGGCGTGCAGAACAACATTGACTAAATGATATCCAAATGCATCTAACTGATGGATCGAGTAGTTGAGTCGATAAGTGAACACTGTGAGCGGTCGGTATGACTTGTGACTATGTTCCTGTCGAGATAATAATATTAAAAACAGGGCAGATAATGATTTTTAAGCGTAAACTTTTCTCTCACCTTAATCAATGGCGTACCCCAAAAATCGTTAAAGAAGATATTCCCGATCGGTGTGTGCGGAAGAACGTCTCTGTTCTCTTTGATAGCTGCTATATCATCGAACACTAGTTCACAGTGAAGAGAATTGTAATAACAACCAATGGCTAGTGTAACCAAAATAAGGGGATTCAAATCCATATCAATATCTGAAATTATAATATAATTTTTAATATTTAAATTTAAGTAATTATATCTTTTTATAAATAATTCTATAATTAATTTAGATAACATCTCTCTATAGCATGAGGAATTATAACTGAATGGACGACCACAGATCTCTCACCTCCCAGTGGGCTTCCACAACCATCGTGGGTTCGGCCAAACCCCCATTGTGGGCTTGGCCGAACCCACGATTGGTATGGAAAAGAGGCCTCTTAATGCACAGGGAAAAAAGAGCGAGCAAGAGTTACTTGAAGATAAAATAACTCACATTCAAATTGTCATTTAATACATAGCTTTAACGTGATTTTGTTGTAGCAGCACTTGAATTTATTATTAAATTCCTATTACATTCTTAGCCGAACTATAACTACAGATTTATGTAATTAATATATTCATAATATTCCAATTTTTTTCGAAATTACTAAGTTAACTTATCAATTTTGACCTCGCATTATCTAAATATTTTGTGAAGTATGACCTCACACACCGCCTCGAGTGGGTTTTAATCATTATCGCCACACAGACCCACATCAATCACTTACAAGTTAGTTCTGTGCTTATTAATTACGATAAGCTACATAATTTCAATTTAAAATACAATTTCGAACGAAAGTTCTTTTATCTGTAATCTTTATAATGCAAACATTAAATTAACTTTCATAAACAATATGAAATCTCGAACACCTGTAAGCACTTCATCCCTTCTCCTCCTCTACCAGGAATTAAATAGAAGTATTTAATAATGCTGTGGGAAAAGATCGTGTGGGTGTCACGTGACTAAGGGAGAGGAATCCGACCGCGACCGATGACTATATAATTTGACGCCAAAGGGCGGAATTTTTTTTCTTCTTTTGGGTTGCATCTGACACGGCGCTCTATTGTATGGGAGTCAATTAATTTAAGCTGCGGTTCTTGGGAGAAAGCATCGAGTGATGTTAAGGTCGAATGACTTATTGTTTGATCGTTAACGCATTCCATTGTGTTATTAAATACCGTCTCGTTTATTAAAGACAGAAATGATTTTTTAACGCGGTAATGTTCAAACGGAATCACGTGACATAGGTAGCTAAATAAAGGGAGAGATTTTATCTATACAGCCCTATTGTGTTCCGGATCTACGACATGATTTTAATTACTTAGACGGACTTTTTTAAACCGAATTTCGAATTTCTATTCTAAGTTATTTTTTTGGAGTTGAAGTCAAATTTATATAAATTAATATTTTCAGTTATGAAATTAACACAGCTTCCGGTTGTGCTACTAATTTTTTTATATACGATATCGTAGACTGGAAAAAAAATAATCCGCAATTATAGATGCGAATAACTCTTCTTTCCAGTTGCTTTACCATACGCTAACATCATCGATAAGCTACTGATGTAATAAAAGAAGACCTTCCGAGTTTATTTTTGATATTAAATTTAACTCCAGTCGACTAGAACCGATTTAAAAACGTCGACGAAGACGTCATAGAAAGTAATTACACTTCTTTCCTTTTTTTTTAAAGCTATTCTTCCTAGAACTTATCAGTTTTTAGCCGGTTGATGAAATCGAGTTATGCAAATTATTTATGTTAAAGTTAAAAGAATTTTTTTATTTAAACAAAATTGATATTTTTGATTAAATCTGATTAAAGCTTGATTTAAAAAATGAATTAGAGCAGCTTGGATAATGCGTTTTCCAAATATCTATCCAACATATAACGAAAAGAAATATGAATTTTCTAAATTATAAACAAAATAAACTAGTGTTTTGTACTTCTAAGTTTGATCTTGTCGATTATGATTTATTTTCACTCCATCTGATTATAAGCGTTGAAAGACTTGAGAAATTTAATACTGAGGTATCGTATATAGTGTAAAGTAGTTATAACGCCTCCTCTTTTCTCTATATACATAACACTATAAAATGTTAAGCACAGAACCTTAAATATTCATTACATATTAGTATAATTCTATTTAATTTTTGTTTTAATAAACAGCTTGCAGTTAAATTAATTAATTAAAATAAAATAAAAATAGTGTATACAATTTAAGAGAAAATATATTATTCTGATATAAAAATTCATAAAAAACTTGGCACCGTTTTGATAAATAAATCAAATAATTCAGTTCAGGTAGCCAAAAGTTGTATTGAAAAAAAAATGGTTAAATATATGACCATATTAAACTTACAACTGTATATTCACACACAGAATTTTTTTTCTAACATGAGAATTACTGCTGTATATTCTGCGTTATTGTAATTACTGTTGTATATTCTTTTATTAAAGTATTAGTTACCTGAATTGTGATTTATTTGTTTATTATTCAAGAAATGATCTTTTTTTTATTTCAGATATTTCTATCCGGGGCAGTTAGGACAAAAAGTACTAAGAAAGAACGTTAAAATGAAAACCATATTCAAATTTTAGTTATTTTAGTCTACCATTGTTACGTTTATCGCGGGGATGAAATCAAGGAGAGGAGTGGAGTGTCGAGGTTTTATGCTAGTTTACATTGTCCACAGGGCCCTAGAGAGTTACTATGAAAAATTTGATGCAGATCGGTAAAGGAGTCAACAGACAACGGACATACTATTTTATAGAGAGAGTTTCCTTAATTTTAATTATTTATTTAATTTTTAGATAACTTTGAAGATAAAATCTGTATAATAGATTTTATAACAATGTGAAAGTTTGTGTTGTATTCATTTTCAAGATTACGTAACAATTTTTAAGTTTCGGTTGTATGAACTTATTCTAGAATGAAATATAACGAATTAAATGAAGCGTTAATTAATTAAAATTAAATCGAATAAACTACAGTTAATGAAATTAAATAAAATATTCTCGAATGTAATAATTAAAAGGAAAATTCAGGAAGAGTTTATTCAAGCATTTCTTCCGTTTGCAATTTAGCATAAATATTACAGGTTATATAAATTATATATTAAATGGATTTTTATTTTCAAAATTCTAGGATTTTTTACGTATATTTTATTAAACCTTGTTAAAATTTTTAGGAATGTAATATTAACATTTACTTAATAACGTAGCACGTATTATAGGCATTAATTTAATGCATATCACACACATCATCAAAGACTCCTGAATAAATAAAATTATTTTTTTCTTCTAGTTATAAATCTCTGTAATAAGCGCTCGTCCTTTTATTAAATTAAAATATAAAAAAGGGGCGATCATTACGTTGGTATAAGTCTTTTCCTACTTCCACGCAATTGCGGAAGCGAAGAGCAGTCACGCTTACACGAATTTTTCCAAAATTATCCGAAAATAAGATGAAATTTTTCGAGTTGGCGACTGGAAATTTTTCAAGTAGATTTGTTAAAGGAGAAGTTTCAGTGGCATAATTTTCCGACACATAAAACGACACCTAATTTTCTTTAATTGGTTATGGTTCGCCCACGCGCGGTTCATTCACCCTCACCGTTTTACGAATTTCCGTATTTTTGTGTGGAAAATATACTATAGGAATGATGACCTTTCGCTGGAATTTACGAATTTTCATTCATCCGTTATATTACATCTCATATAAAAATCACGGGGTCGAATTTTATCCGCGTTTAAAAAAAATAAACGAAAAGAACTTATCGGTTGGTTACTGTCAGGCGTGTACAGTTAAATGTCATTTAATAAATTAACGATTGCTGTGTAACATAATGAACTCCTGTCTCAATATTTAAAAAAATCTCTAAATGTACTCCTATTTACCAAGATAATTATTTCATTTTCGGATTTAACGATTTTGTCTTGTATTTAAAACTGTTAAATACGTTATATCTATTCAGTCTTGTTTATAGTTTTAAGGGATTTTTAATGAGTTTTTGATTATATTAATACCAATAAATCGCTTAATATATAGTTTATACGCATATATTTTTATATTAATGAACATATGAGTCACATATGCAGCCATAAATATATGCGTTTATTGCTTTCTCTGGTGATATAAATAAAGTTTTTAAAAAATCAGTAAGACAAAGTATTCAAAGTAACTTAATAAAACAACTTTCAAGCATTTTTTAATACATTTTAAAGCTAAATAACAAAAATTTTGTTATTTTTCTTAAGTTTCCTAAGAAATAATATCAAGTATTAACAGTTCTAATAAAATTTTAACTATATGATAATATCTTCAGACTGTTATCGCTTTATATAGTAATAATAAAGACTATATTACGACATAGTTTCAGAATATCTTTGTTATTTAGGTTTAATAACGTCGATAATATCATAAGCAAACAGAACAAATAAGATTTAAGGAGGATAAAAATATCGAAACGTCTGTATTAAACATATATTTCTTAGAAATTAATTTCGTAAGAATTACCGGTCAATCACTAACGTGTTCTAAATATGATATAATTATTCTTGAAGTAATAAAAAAGAAAAAACTATTCCAATCATTCAGTCAATAATACCTTTGAAGGATGAAACGGGGACGAAGAAACATAGATCTGGTGACATATATACTATACATATTTAAATATGGCTAGGCTACGTATACACACAGTTTATATAGTCTGAACAAATACTGTTAAGCTGATTCTCTTAGCTTTTAATGCAAGAAAAATGAATCTCTTATAATTATAATGAAGTTGATTTTGTGCTTTTGAATTGTAGCTTTTCATAAACCTTCTTTATTAGCTGTACAATAATCTTTCTGTCTAGGATGAATAAGTTGTTTATCAATTTTTAAATTGCCTGTATGAGTTTAAATATAATAAAATATCTTTTGTCACTCGAGTATAACTTATAATTTATTAATAGGAAGATAAATTAACTAAGAAATATAGCATTAATTTTATATTTCTAAGTAAAATCTGTCCTGTTAAATCAATATAGATAAGGTTCCGATTTAATGAGTATACCTTAAAAGAATTGTTAAAGATTTTATAAAATTAATACAAAACGAAACAACTATTAATAACAAGTAACATAAACAGTGTAAGTAACTAATCACTTTGTTTAATATTTACAAATTTTTAACAGTATATACATGTATATATTCTTATACAGTATATACATTTGTACATACGTTAAACTACAAAAATGCATTATATAATATTAAAAATACAATAATAATAAAAGAAAATAGTAAAAAAATGCATAATATATATTATCACACATATACACATATATGTGTATCCTGTTAAACAGTAACAATGCATACAACGTTTAATAATACATGTATATAAGATACTGTTAAAAATATTGCATATTAGAATATTTTGCCTTTTCCATTTATCATTTTGTGCATTTTTCTATATTATATAATTTTCTAATAAAGTGATTTGCATTTATGACTAATAAGAGTGTAGATTATTAAAACTATACCTTAATACATAAAAATAAAATAGCTTTTAATTTTATTAAAATTTTTACATGCATACAGTTCTAAGAAAATTAATTTCTGTAGTTTTGGGATTTTAATCAGACTATTTTTTATGTAGAAGTGTGCGAGAGAACAAAGAAGTTACAGAAAGGGTGCACGATCTTCATCCCCAAGTATTGGGTTACGTGGTTGTTTATTTAGGTAAACGCGAAATGTATAGCTGCTAGGGATGGATAATATCACGTACGCGACAAGAACTAACCGAAGTACCAGGGAAAAAGTGAAAAGAAAAAAAGATTAGTTAGATACAGTAAAAATTTTAGCAGTTTTTTAAGTACGCTTATATAAATTTAAGCGTGTTTACGTTATGAAATATGTAACATTATCTAAACTGAGTTTACTCGTCGTGCAATATTCATAATGTCAACATTTTACTATTTTTATTCACTACTTAACGGCGAAACAAACTGTTTTATATTGATTTTTTCGAAATACCTCGAATGGAATTTAAGCTTTATTAATAAAACGATCGAAAATTATTCAGTTCGTGCGCTTAAATATTATATTATGTGCACGATCCTTTATTTCATGATATAATAAAGTAAAACTTTTTGTATGATAGTCTTATCTTTGCCGTGTTTTGAAAGTAAACTTTTAATCTTTCTGTTTATAATTTCCATTATATATATATTTGGTTTTTTGGTAAAATATATCCCGAGTTATCTTTGTACAAAATTGGTTTTAGTTCCGTGACAAGAAAGACAGAAAAGATGAACCGATGACGTGACCTTTAATCTGGAAAACGTTTTTACGAGGGGATCTACTAGAAACAAAGCGATGGTTACAAAAATTCAACAAAGTTAACAGATAGAAAAGTTCAGAAAAAGAAATTAAAATAGAAAGAAATGCCTTTCTTATTATCTTCTCTAAATCATTTCCTGAAAAGTTTAATAAATCTTTAGAACCATCTTTTCTGATCAATCATAGCATGAACTGGAATTGAAATCCCTGGATTAAATAGTTTCATTTCTTTTCTGTTTTTCTTAGAAAAGTAATCAACAGCCATTAAATTTGCTTTAGAAGCTCTAAAATTTGCTCGTAAACCTTCTAGAAGTCAAACGCACAGGCACCAAATTATATTTATTAACAAAGTTTTCTGCAAACTAACTGCAGGAGAAAAAAATTAATTCGTTTAATTTCCTGTTATTACAAGTTGTTATTGCTAGATGACACAATGGAATAATAAATTCTTCAGAGGATAATTATTAACGAGGAACAATACGAGTTATAATTGCACTAAGCACTTAAAGTATTGTTTTTAAAATTGCAGCAACGAGTAAATGAACGACTGGACAAGTTCGAGATTCCATTAACAACTAAATTAATTTATTAATTAGCTGTAAAGAAATTAGTTTCATTTTAAAAGTTTGAATTGTTTACAGAAATATTTTTATCACGCTGGTAAAATGGATAATTTGTAAAATTGGTATGTATAATAAAAAAAAATTACTTAAAATATTTGGATGCCAATTTGACCTTCAGACGTGTTTTCGGCATCCCTAGACCGGTTTTTCAATAGATGACCACCTACCTGGTCTTTAAGATCCTAGATAAAGTGGGTTCCTTTCTCAGCACGTGATTCTTCCCTCTCTCTGTTTTGGCCTCTGACTGAATAGAAACCGGCTTTACTCATATTTATAGGTTTTGAATATAATGCCATCTGCCATCTAGTGAACAATGAAATAACTAGAATTAATAAAGTTTTTTAATTTTATATTTTTAATAAAACTGTCATTTTTAAGTATAGAAAGCTTTAATTTTATTAAGTAAATAAAAAATATATATTTTTTTTCTACGTTGAATTTGTTATTTAAAATAAATATATTGAAATAACTTAATAAAAATTTATCATTTATCGATAATTTTACAATAATGAATCATTTTAATTGTACTTTGGATTTAGGTTAGGCTGACATGAAAGGTGATTGTCATAATAGACAAGTCATCAACTCGACTATTATCAAGTATTACAACGTAAAATCTTGTGTCTATAGAATTTCTATTTAACCTCAATTATTTCTACTCTAAAATGAATTTGGTAATGATATTTAATGTTTCTTTTCTTATATTTTCCTATTTTCTGTTATCCTAGATAACATTTTAAATATTTTTTCTTGGTTTATTATTAATTAAGTAATCGTAGCATTGCTTTCAACTCTATAAATTCTGAGTTATAAAATGTAAATTTACATGATATTTTTCCGTTATGATACGAAATAATAAGAAACTATTATAATATATATCTACAATATGTAGATTATCTTATCTTATCAATATTACCTTAGAACCGTAATTCATTTTTTAAAAATATAAATTGCCAACAGGCCATTTGTTCCTGGACACAGACTCTCCCAACATTTTATCCTTTAAGAAAAGATATGACATAAAGCAAACTTTTTTAATAAACAGTAAAAGTTTAGTTTTGTTTGTTTTGTTGATTTTATTCACATATTTTTTGTTATTCAGAGAGAGTTGAGGACTAATATAGGCCTATATGCCGGCATCTCAATTTTTTAGAGCCTTAGTTCAATAATAATTAAAACATTAACATAACTAGCATAATCGCGATTTCTAATCACTCGTTCTTATTCCCATTTTATTCTGTTATATCTCTTCGGATTAATTAAATTATTCGCCTAATTATTCCATAAAATTCATTTATTGAATATTTTTTAAAAAATATAATTATTGTAATATATTTGAGTCGGAGACAAAAACTAATCGAACGATTTCTAATTTCCAATTCCTATAGGCTTACTAATATTTTTAGAGATGGCAAATCTATAATATTTCTATCATGTTTTTCTCTGGTATATGATTGGTATTTTTTCTTTCATATTTCATCAAATAACATTTATTTTTTTATATGAGTTATAAATCTAATATGAAATGGAATGTTTTTAAAACAGATTCTCTATATGATTCATTTGAACCCATCTGAAAATGATATTGATTTAGACGAATAACACAAAATAAACTCAATATTGCTGAATAAAAATTTGATTATAAATTACAAATTTAAAATTTATCATAGCCTATTCCAAGTTCTATTATTTAAACTTTTTAAATCTAAATAATTTAATTTCGAAATTAATGATATCCATAGTAGAGAAATCTATATGCATTAATAGATCTATTTTCATGTTAAGACTTATTTCTATTGTTTTATTAACTGGCATTTTTGATTATTATTAAAAGTAACTCTTATACTCACGCCATCCTTCTTCATGTAGACTAATTGGCTATTTGTCAATCCAGTCAGGTATCTTAGATTCTAAAAAGAAAATAAATAAATAATTGAAACTTTTTGAATATAATTTTCTCCTATGATTTCATATCGAATCAAATACCTGATTGAAGCTATCTCCTACTATCTTCTAGTGCAGGGATGGCCAACACGTAGACCGCGGTCGACCGGTCGACCGCAAACGTTTTGAAAGTAGCCCGCGAAGCTAAAGTTGAACAATTTGCTTTCACTTAAATTAATGTTTAAAAATCTTAATTCGATAATTTATTCTTGCAATAATAGACTGTCTGTGCAACTTACCCATACTGTTTGTATTTATCCCGATGAACAATGCAAATGAATGTTAACGCATGCGCATATAAAAATCCTAAAATTGTTTGCCCATATTCATAGTCGCCCGCAGACTAAAAAAGTAGCCCCTAAGGGATAAAAGTTTGGCCACACCTGTTCTAGTGTTTCTAACTGCATAATAATCTCAAAGAAACTAAAAGAGCCAGACTCTTGGTTGATGTATGTAAAAATTAGATGCTTACGTGCTAAAATATTTTCCTTAGCTTGTAGGATTCTAAGTTTAATTCTATAGTTTTTTTTTCTTCCTTACAGTAAAGTCTTGGAATCTCTGAACGAGTTAAGGTTCGAAATTAATACTTTCAACGTAATGTAAATAAAGTCTAAAACTATGATGGAAGGATGAATTATTTAATTTGTAATTTGTATTAAAAAGAAATATATGTCTGTAATAAAATATCTTATTGCATAAGAAAGGTGTGATTTATACTTATTCCAAAATCGAAGTTTTTCATATATGAATCGAGAAATAATAAGCGTATAGTGAAAACTTCTCGTCAATTGTACGAGAAGTTAATTTCATTATTCTCGTGAATAGTTCTTGCATATTTTGAGATTGAATTACTCTGGAATTGGTAATTTATGTAATTTATTGAATGCATAATTTAATATTTTAACTAAAATGTATCCAAATTACATTTACATAATATTATAGATGTATTATTCAAGAGAAATTTGCTGGAAGTTTTCTAGTTTTTGTTATTGCTTGCTACATAAACAATTAAAGTTAACAGAATGGAACATTTTTATAATTTTCATATTGTTCCATTTTTCAAAATAAATCAATATGGAAATACCGAAATGGTCCAATTTGAGTAAACACTAAGAAAATAATTTAGTCATAATTCATTTCTAAAGTATTTAATTTTCAAATTCTTATTTGTTTATTGACCTAAATAAACACCATATCATTGACTCTTAATGCTCTCGTTGCTACTACTGTACTTATAATATCGATTCTAGTCTTTAGACAAAATATTTATCATTCTTCTTTACATCCATTTTAAATATGATAGAAACAAATTTGTACTGAATACAACCATTAGATCAACTACTGTTTAAAATGCTGATATCGAATTCGTTAAAACTTTATATTACCCATAAAAGGTCTGTGTTTCGTAAATGTAATTATGATTGAGCAAAAATAAAACAAATACCAAAAACATTATAAGGTGGCACAATAAAGGACGATTTAGACTCATTTATAGGAAAAGAACCGAACTATTGGATTGCCTTTTATCTCGTTTTTAAATACAGTTATCTAATGGCTTTTATAATTATCATCAAGGCACACTAAATTGTATCGAGTTCAATGTTGTATTGTTAATTTCGGTGTTAACGATTTAATATAGAAACTGCTAAATTAAATTTCATTGAGAATTTCTGAAATTAAAAATAATTTACTTACATATCATTCTGAGCATGCGCACAAAAGCCAGACGACAAATTTAAAAAACTTTTCTTATTTTCTAATTAGATTCTATTTTAATTAACTATTAAAAAAACGTAAATAATAATTATTATTATTACTACATATAAATACATAAATATTATTAATATTTTAAATTCGAAAGCATATATGATATAATTTGCTAATGTACTGTACAGTACATAGATTACAAATAATATTATGTTTGTTTTCAGATTTAAAATATACATAAAATTTATATATTTATGTATGTGTGTATTAATATTTAATCAAAATGAGATAAATAAATAAATAAATTAGATTACGATTTGAAATTTATCGTCTGTTTGTTTTTTTGCGCATGCTCAAAAAAGCAGACGACGGGCTTTAAAATGGACGATTCGAACAAAACGGTCTTCTTTATTACAACACCGAATCTGGACGAATTAATCGGGATAAAGTTAAAAATCGATACGTCTTCTATTAACAGTGATAATTATTATAATAAGAAAATCCAGAAATGTCGGTAAGTTAATATTTTAAACAAAATAGTCTATGTGATTTATTATTTTTAAATATTTAATTGTAAAAATAGGAAAGATTTTACTTGAATAGAATTTAATTTAATTTACTATATTAATATTTAATCTATTAATTTTACATTGTAAACTAATTTTTGAAAAAAAAAAAAAAGAAACTTTTCAGCAACGAGTTGCTTAACTTTCCCGACAACATTTAAAACTGTGGCGCCATCTGTTACGATATTTTATTTAAAAATCATTTTATATTTTTGATTATTATAAAATGGCAAAAAAACTTAGTTTTGAAGGTGGGATGAGTTATATAGAAAATTGTAAATGCTAATAACGAGTAAAATCGTCATTAAGTTCGACCCTGTTTGAGATATGACACACGATCCCTCTCTATCTCTTCATCCTCTCGACCTTTAATCACTAAGATTTAATAGCATCAATCCTCCTAATGCTCAAACCTCCCAGCAAAATTTCAAAAATTTTTGACAAAAATTACATAAATTATTAAGCTTTTAAATTGGTTAAAAGAGACACACACACAAATATAAAAATCTTGGGGTCTTTTTTGACTGATTGCCATATTTTCCTCTGTTATATATAACAGAGCCGGAAAAGTAATAATAATACTTGCTTAATTACCTATAGGCCTATTATACCTAATGAAAATGCAAATAATCTACTATTAGCTGAAATCTTAAAAATTCTTCCTGCTCTACGGATAAGAATTAATTGTTAGCTTGGACAAACTCATGATACATCTTTCTCATGCCGATCATGGATACATTTCAGTTAAATTCATACAGGGGAGAAAGGCCGACGAGAAATGGATCCCAATCGCTCATTAAAAATTCTGAAAATCCTGATTCAAGCCTAAAAAATTATTTATCTGGATATATAATAAATCTATTACATTGGCCGTCGTGTTCTAGAGTTTGCTACTCCTAGCAATCGATAAAATAAAATAATTAAAAACGCGTAATTTGTTTTATATTCACATTTTCTTGTTTATCAGAATATTGTTTCCTTTTTAAGTTTTATTTATTTATTTATTTATTTATTTATTTACAGTAGTGCTATGCTGATATCCGATACATCAAACCAAAATCGACATACAGTATGTTTACAGCATCGATATCTATATTAAAATTTTTGTATAGTACAACCTTAAATTGCAGTAAATCACAGCACAATCATTATATAAAATATTATATAAAATTTGATGATAAGAGTAGAAACTATAGATTTTTTGTTATATATTATATACTGCAATTACAATTCTTTTCTTTTTACGAAAATTTTATAATACGAGTAATTATTTATTGTGACATCGTCACAATGGCGGGCTGCAAATTTTAATCATATTTTTAATGTATTTAATTTAAAATATATGCTCTCCATCTCAAATTAGTATTGTAGTGTCTTGCCCTGTACATCGTACTTTTACTTTAACAGTAGAGTCGTGCCAGTCATCTATCTAACACTTTTCAGGGAAAATTTTCAATTAAAGTAACGTGACTTACGGTATATATCGGAAGTTTCCATATAGTTAATGCGACTTCATTCAATAATAAATCTTTTATGACATATATTTTAGGAAATTTGCTATTCTCTGGCAATAATTTTTGCAGAGATTAGACAAATATGTCGATATATACCAAATTTCACCACTTTTTCCGCTACTCGGTGTTCAATAAAATATTGAAAACTGTTTTATGACCAAAATATATTATATGAATAATATGGAAAATTACATTAATTCAAAAACATTGACAATACAAGAAACAACGACAGAAAATTTACTTTTTTATTAAAAAAATTTGATATGTTTAAAATGACACAAAGGTAATAACTGTGACTACAGTATTTGTCATTAAATGTCGCTTTATCGAACAAGAACGTTAATGCCTATCAGAATAATATTCAAATGTAGATTTGATGATAGAAAAGTTAATAATAAATTATGAAATAAAAATAAACTGTAAGTTTTTAGTAAAAAGTGATGAAAAGTCATCGCTGAAAACATAAATGAGTTAATAAAAATAATTAACTCAAATATAATGTATGTAATTTAACTTAACTCAAAAATAATTTTTGAAGTATTAAGTAGATTAATTATTTTAGTAGTTTATAAGCTAGGATTCGGGCAAATACGAATCTGGTTAATATTACTAATGTACAGTACTTACATCGAATGGCAAAATAGTATGTTGAAAAAAAATGAAAAGTTAAATGATTGAAATATTAACTGAAATATATTATTTACTGTAATGTAAACTATTACAGTAAATAATTCGCGGTTATTCTTCTTTTTTTTCGTTTTTACCGTTTTCTTTGTCTATATTGCTATGATTTTCGCTTTGTTTTTCGTTTTCAAGGTTTGTCTTTCTCACCGAATTCACTGCCGTGAATTCTGATGAAATATTTTATTAGTAGTAGCGTGAGCATTGAAAAATTTCGATATTGTTTCTTGCAGCAGCAATTTAAATTAATATTACGAGAAACGATATCAAACAATTCGAATTTTATTTAAACACACTGTACAGTACAGAAGAGTCTTGATAGCTCAGGGTTTCGTATAGTTCGAAGTACTATCAGAACGCGTAATACTGTATTACATATTTGGGTAATTCAAATCAAGTGTGATGAGCATGGGCGGATCTAAGTTTTTCGAGGCCTAGGGCTTATTGAAGTCCAATGGGGCCCCGCTTTTTGTTAATACAAATACTGTAATACAGTACTATAAATTGTCATTATTATTATATTATTAATATTAACTATTTTTTTCTATACAATAAGTGCTCATTGTTAATGAAAAAGTGTTAAAAATTTATGATAATAATTTAATTTTTGTGGGCCCTTGACACTTGGGGGCCCAGGGCTTAAGCCCTATTAGTCCCTATGTAGATCCGCCCCTGGTGATAGACATTATACACTAAAATTGTAAGCACACCGAAATATCTAACATCAGCATTCAATTTATTGCATTGTGCAATGATATGGTTATACTTTCGGCCAGATACTTTCAGATACTGAGATACTGTATGATTTTCATTTGTCCCGTATAGTACAGAATATCACAGACATGGTCAAATGTGGCTCGTTTTGAGTTACATGCGGCTCTTGCTGAAAGTGTTAATTTCTGCTTTTTATTATTATTTTTACAATTTTATTTCCACAATTTTGTGAAAATGTGTTTATTAAAAATTCAATATTTGTTTTATATTATATTTATATTATATAATAAAATCGCGGTACAGAACTGCGATACAGAATAAAAAAAGTACAGAACTGCGGCTCCCATGCATTTTGCAAAACCTACATTTCGGCTCCCATTGAACTCTTGTTTCCCCCCTTGGAAATCATATATTTAAATGTACTACATGCTAGCTGTCTCAGTAATAATATAGAGCGTCTATTTCGCGCTATATCAATGTTGCGGTAATTAAGTGAATATAATATATATTTTTTAAAATGATATTTTTTTGTAAGAATTATATTTAGCTTGTTATTTTCTTAAATTTTGCCAACAGCAAATCGAATGTAGATAGAAATTAATTGATTTATAGAAATCCGATCGGTACTTTGGGATGGGATGTACAGTACGACATTAACTTATGTCAATGTATCTGCCTAGTTTCGTAGCAGTTGGTCGAACGGCCTAGGAATGTATAGCAAACAAAAAACATCCTCATTATTATTATTATTATTATATTACTAAACCTTAAAATCTTATTGTTTTCCGCTGTATATATATTCAGTATACTTCGGGTTTTCAATAGTTTAAGGTTATCTGTTTCCTTATCAACTTGAATACGAATATTCTACTGTAATTCGAAATAATTTTTTTATTGCTTATTGTGTTTTCGTGTTTTCTATTGTTACTTTTAGTATAGAAAGAATAAATAAGTAAATGTAGCACGATAATCAAACACTACTGCAAAAAATTATCTAAACTAAACTTATTTTATGAAAATAGTTAATATATGTATTTGCATACAGTTTTATATTAAAATATTTGTAATTTAAATTATTTTTGATGTCTACATTTTTATAGAGAAATTATTTTTAGAAGAAGTGAAATTCTGGCATCGCCTATTTATTATTTATTGTGACATCGTCACAATGGCGGGCTGAAATTTTTANCACACTGTACAGTACAGAAGAGTCTTGATAGCTCAGGGTTTCGTATAGTTCGAAGTACTATCAGAACGCGTAATACTGTATTACATATTTGGGTAATTCAAATCAAGTGTGATGAGCATGGGCGGATCTAAGTTTTTCGAGGCCTAGGGCTTATTGAAGTCCAATGGGGCCCCGTTTTTTGTTAATACAAATACTGTAATACAGTACTATAAATTGTCATTATTATTATATTATTAATATTAACTATTTTTTTCTATACAATAAGTGCTCATTGTTAATGAAAAAGTGTTAAAAATTTATGATAATAATTTAATTTTTGTGGGCCCTTGACACTTGGGGGCCCAGGGCTTAAGCCCTATTAGTCCCTATGTAGATCCGCCCCTGGTGATAGACATTATACACTAAAATTGTAAGCACACCGAAATATCTAACATCAGCATTCAATTTATTGCATTGTGCAATGATATGGTTATACTTTCGGCCAGATACTTTCAGATACTGAGATACTGTATGATTTTCATTTGTCCCGTATAGTACAGAATATCACAGACATGGTCAAATGTGGCTCGTTTTGAGTTACATGCGGCTCTTGCTGAAAGTGTTAATTTCTGCTTTTTATTATTATTTTTACAATTTTATTTCCACAATTTTGTGAAAATGTGTTTATTAAAAATTCAATATTTGTTTTATATTATATTTATATTATATAATAAAATCGCGGTACAGAACTGCGATACAGAATAAAAAAAGTACAGAACTGCGGCTCCCATGCATTTTGCAAAACCTACATTTCGGCTCCCATTGAACTCTTGTTTCCCCCCTTGGAAATCATATATTTAAATGTACTACATGCTAGCTGTCTCAGTAATAATATAGAGCGTCTATTTCGCGCTATATCAATGTTGCGGTAATTAAGTGAATATAATATATATTTTTTAAAATGATATTTTTTTGTAAGAATTATATTTAGCTTGTTATTTTCTTAAATTTTGCCAACAGCAAATCGAATGTAGATAGAAATTAATTGATTTATAGAAATCCGATCGGTACTTTGGGATGGGATGTACAGTACGACATTAACTTATGTCAATGTATCTGCCTAGTTTCGTAGCAGTTGGTCGAACGGCCTAGGAATGTATAGCAAACAAAAAACATCCTCATTATTATTATTATTATTATATTACTAAACCTTAAAATCTTATTGTTTTCCGCTGTATATATATTCAGTATACTTCGGGTTTTCAATAGTTTAAGGTTATCTGTTTCCTTATCAACTTGAATACGAATATTCTACTGTAATTCGAAATAATTTTTTTATTGCTTATTGTGTTTTCGTGTTTTCTATTGTTACTTTTAGTATAGAAAGAATAAATAAGTAAATGTAGCACGATAATCAAACACTACTGCAAAAAATTATCTAAACTAAACTTATTTTATGAAAATAGTTAATATATGTATTTGCATACAGTTTTATATTAAAATATTTGTAATTTAAATTATTTTTGATGTCTACATTTTTATAGAGAAATTATTTTTAGAAGAAGTGAAATTCTGGCATCGCCTATTTTAGAATTGGACACTATGATTTCAGTAATTATGAAAGTAAGTTTTTGTTTTATATATAACATTTAATTTTTATATTTCTACATTTTATTTCCCCCCCCCCTTAAAATTGGAATGATCATATTTTAACTGTTTGAAAACAAACAATTGTTTTTATTTTTTTAAATTTAATTTGTAAAATTTTCTGTTATCTATATATCTAAATATTGTATTAACGTATGATGTAAAAATTACACTGTTTTACAAAAAATACCGTAATTTGATGATAGTAAGATCCAAGGTATAACAGAAACTGAGATACCTTTTAGGAGAAATTTTATTTTATTTTCTGTGTTACAAAGTAATAAAAAATTGAAGGACTTGAATAAAGGAACGAAAAATCTGTATATGTAGGAACAATGAGAAAAAGGAAAAAAGATTGACATGAAGAAAAGATTAAAGTAATAAATTATCAGCTTCTGTGAGGAAATAAATATTTATTAAAAATATTTAAGTCTGTTGAAGTGTTTGAACGAGAATTGTTTTAGGAGTTACGAATCCTAAAGCATGACAAATTAAGTTAGCAGGAAGACGGAAAAATCTTTTGAAGTTTTGTTAACTAAAAATCTAATAAAATATGTTTTTATGAAATTTTTAAAAAATTACAAATATTTATATAACTACAAGAAAAAGAAGTTGCTAAGCAACCATTTGTTTACATTTTCTGCGTTAAAGAAAGACATCTTCAAAACAGCTTCGAATGATTTTGAGTTTTGCATATTTAAATTGAAATACATTTTTAATGAGCGAATAAGACGTTACTGTCAACGCTTTGTTAAAGCAGTCCGCCTTTGTTCAAGCGGATAATTAATCCGCTGCGTTAAATCACCTTAGTACTGCACATTTTTCCTCGTCTGACGTGCATAAAAATGAGTGAAAATTTAAATTTAAAATTTGACGAAAAATTTTTCATTATATCACTACATGTGGAAGAACAAAATGAATTACAAATACAGAAATATACCGCTTATAATGTTTTAACGTTACACTCGTGAGTTCAGAATCACTATTACATCTGTCGGTTAACCGAACACGTCTAGCAAACTTCATAGCACTGAGCATAAAACACCACATACTTTTTGTTCGCTGAATGCCCAATAATATATTTTCTTTGAAAATGAACTGTAAGCTGGTATTTCAGGCTATTTATTTTAATTTCAGTAAGCAATTTTAGCTATTCGCTGTATTTAAATTAGAATTTTAAAGACTTTCATTCAAAAATAGATAATATTGTTAATAAAAAATTTATACTTTCCAGCATTTTCAGTTTATGTAAAAGCAATAATAGCATAGTATAACAGCGGCATAGTAACATTGCTTGGTAGAAGTTAGCGAAGGTATTAGCATATGATTTTAAATACACATATTTAAAATCATATGCTAATGCACATTCTTTTATATTTAAGTACCACCAACGTTAAAATTCTCAAGTTCACGGCCAATGTAAAATAAAGATGAAAATGATTTAATTTTATATTAAAAGATTGCAATTACAAACTCCTCTATTATTATATTTGAAATTTAACTCGTGGTTCTTTTAGCTTCTGTAAATTTATGAAAAAAGTGAATAAAGAGACAAAGTGAATATTAGAAAAACTTTTCATTTTTTTAAAATTGCAAACCGGTATAATTAATTTCCAAAATTATTTAGATTACTCATTATTTTTTAATCGAAATGTAAATTTGTAGCCTATATATATATATATATATATGAACTTACATTTCGATTAAAAATATAACTATATCTATATGTATCTGATTTTTAGTATAACTAGGCCTATATCTATCTGATTTTTAATATAACTAGGCCTATATCTACATTAGTAACTTTTTATGAATGAATAGAAATATATATATATAGGCCTATATTTATTCATAAAAAATTACTAATGTAGATATAGTTATATCAAAAATCAGGCATATAATATACCATTTATCTGAAATAATTTTGTTTCAAATACCTGAACGGTTTTTGTCATATTTTCGTAAAAAAATAAAATAAAAGAAATTACATAAATTGAATCTAAAATGGCCATTTTATTCGTGTAAATAGTAAAATTATCTTTTTGATTAGTTATACGATTATATATGATAAGCTATGCTAATTTTCTATAATTATCTAAATTTAAATATTACATTTCAGTAATAACATTTTTACAATATTTGTGGATCTAATTCCAATGTCCAGTACTCCGAATAAGTTACAATTTCAAGATTTGATATGTCCTCTCCATTGAAGTCTGTTAAAATTATGGAAAATATTTATGAAAAGAATATTAAGATTGAATATTAATTAATAATAATTTAATAATATTAGGAATATTAAATTACTAAAACATGTGTTAATAAACAATTAATAAATTAACATAAAGATTTTAAAATCAGCATATATAACATTTTAAAATTCTTTCTATTAGCATTTAATTTCAAGTTTTTTGAAATTTTCTTGATATCTCATACATTTTACGAGCAGATTTAGATTCTCTATCTTATAAAACAGAAAATCAAATTTTATATATTCCAATGCCTTAAATAAATTATTTGGTCCAACAGATAGCTAATGATTATCTCATGATTATTTATTTATTTATTTATTTTGAGTTAGCAACTTTTATTGAGAATTACCAGATTTCCAATCTTCTATTTTTAAATTTTTGAGACATTTATTTCTTGTATTTACATAAACTTTTGCATGCTGTATATATAAAATCCAAACAAAAACATCTGAGATGTAAAAAAAATTTCTCCAAGTAAAAATTTGACAATTTAGATGACGTCAATTGATATTTTGCTCACTACCTAAGAAAACAATTTTCTTTTTTAAAGAGATATTCGAAATTATTTAGGTATTTGGGGGCGGAGAAATCGACCCCGAAAATCGGCAACTGTGATTCTTGTATACTGTATGTAGTCAGTCAGTGACAGTTACTTGGCGGGTAGTCACTGCTGTGACTCCTGATCTATTGAATAGCATAACATTAACTTTGCAACTTTGCCTTGTGTTGCATTATATAAAAGAATTATATTTAATTTAAAAATAAATGAAAAAAGCCGACGTTGTTACAGTTTTTAATGTGCCCTGGTTTTCAATGTTTGTACAGATTGTTTCTTTTAATTAAAATTTAATTTTTTTTAAAGATTTACTTATATTACTATGATATTATAAGTCTATAAAATGATTTAATCTAATCTAATATAAAAATATAAGCAAATAATTAAATATTTATATTGTATTTAATTAATTTATTCTTTATAGTTAGAAGACTGGAATTATTCGGATATAAAATCAGATTTATTACATATGAAATTACATGTAGTAAGTACTGAAAATGTCACTATATTTTCTCTCAAACAAGCCTTGATTTATACCATATTAGCAAAATTAGCTCCGAAATGGAACCAAGTTGGTAATCTGTTAGTTCAAGGTAAGAAAACATACATACAAATAGTTAAAAGTACGTATAAATTATTGTACAATATTTTACAACTTTTTTACAAAATATTTGACAACCTTTCAATGATTATTTATTTATTATAACCGGACAACCAGAATATTTTCAATGTTTCACGTTTTTTCATGTAAATAGCAAATGTTCTAAACTAAAATGTTTACTATTTACAAAATAAAATAATCAATTAATAAATATTAGTGATGTAACGAATATTCGGTTACTATTCGGTATTTGGCCTATTCGGCCCATTTTTCGCTATTCGTCCGAATACCGAATACCTAAAAACAGGAGTAAGAAATAACAAAAACACAGTAAATTAATCATTTTGGTATTTAGATTTAATGTTATCGGGTTAGTGTTGTTTGTTTATATTTATTTATAACTTATAACATGCACAAAATAAAAAAGAAAATAATATTAGTCACATGTATTCACAATTTATAATTACAAAGTACACGTACACACCTATTCGTTCGAGAATCGTCGCACATCTGAGGGTCTAACCCTGTTTATCCTTTTTAAGCACTTGTCTTTGCTCTTCCCTTTCTGTTTCCTCTATCGCTCTAGTCCACGTATGCCTATGCATACATCATAATACGCACTCACGATACTTTCGATTCGTCACTTTTCCGTCGTAGATTTCCCATTTTACAATTACGTGACTCATAAGCTGGTGATAACAGAGAAAAGAGACAGATAGGACGTCGGTATAAGTCACAGTTATGATTTCACATATTCGAGACAGCTTGGTAGCTCGAACGGCCCCAGGCTTTCGCCCATGCTCGCTAAGGGACTTTCATTACAAGCATTTAGATTTCCGAAGTCTATGACAACAATTGTTTGACATTGACGGCCGCGAATTTCGCTCCAATAAGCTGCTTCGACTTGTTTGATTACGCTACCAACTCAATTTCATATTTATTTTTCACATTTTCACTTCGCGGTCCTTCTCTGTTCTTTTTCTGTTATTTACACATGTAGGTCATTTCATTGTTTTTGATTTCACACTTGATTTGATATCACACTTGATTTGATATCACACTTTTGATATCACACTTATCACATACTGCCATGACGCTTGTGTCTGTCCGCTTTAGGGTTTCTCATTTCCCGGTCTTTTGCTTGTCCCGGGATTCCGGGATAAAAGTGAACTGTTTCCCGGGATCCCGGGAAATCCCAGGATAGAATCAATTTTTAAGGTATACAAAATATCTTGAAATTAAATGGTATAATTATTTTTCATTTTTTTAAAGTAATTTTAAAGTTCTGTATCATCCAAAATCATATTAATAATGCTGTGTAAGATATATAATAAAAATTACCTTTGAATTACGTAGAAATTTTCACAAATAGAAAAAAATTTATTAAAGTTTACTAGAAAATGCATACAACAACAACAAAAATGCTTTGAATTGAGTTAAAAATTAAAAATTGAACTTAGATCAAACTTATAACTTAGAAGGTAATTTTCGTTTTTTAAATAAAATATAATACAAAATATTGTAAACTTTTATAAGATTTTAAAAAGCAAAGATGGTCAATACTCCGATAACTCACTCTAATTCTTATTTTAGTAATGAAAAGTCTTGCCACCGAGAATGCCCTTTCCGATTCAATTGATGTGATTGGAATAGTGTTTAATGCATTTAAGAGAAGACAGATATTATGTGTTTTTTCACCTGTAGCCTGGAAGATTTCGAGTTTGTTTTCGAGATTGTAGTACTTCTTTTGCTCTCTAGTATTTTTGATTTGTCTACCTCGGCTGCTTTAATAGCGGCATCAAGCTTATAGCTCAATAATTCGGCAATTCGTTTGGCTTTAATAATCAGGTTTATGAAGAAAAACTTCATACTTGCAGACTTTATACTCGTTTGTATCTTTGCCCAATTTGCACAATCTGGCGTTACGCATTTATTGAAGCTACTGGGCATGGTTAAAAATTAAGACAGCGTAAGCACAATTATTCCATATATTACAGGTTCTGACAAGTAAAGAATTTTCAGAGTCCTGGCACAAATAAGCTACGTATTGATTATCGACCATTTGTGACATGCCATAACGAGCAAAAATTAAAAAAAAAAAAAAAACTAATAGGTAGGTTTAAAATTAATAAATACAAATTCTGACAGTGAATGAGATAATTATGCTTTTTATTTGCAAAAGTTTTTTACCTTAACACAAAATAAGAAAAAAAAAGTGAATTGTTAAGAAATTTGCGGGATTTCAGGGATATTTCCCGAGTTAAAAAAACAACCGGGATCCCGTTTGAGAAACACTAGTCCGTTTCAACTGTCAAGAATTAACGCGATTGGCGAAGCGTAGTGACAGTGGGCCAATAGAGAGCAGGGTCCTTGCCATAATGCGATTTGCGCGCCAATTTTCGTACGTGCGTTAATCAAGCCGAATAGTATGGCCGAATATTCGGCTATTCGGCCACGCTCCTGGCCTAATATACTATTCGTTGCAACACTAATAAATATGCTTTTTCTATGTATCAAAATAAACTTTTGTTTTTATATTATAATATTTCGTTTAATTTTCTTCGCTATTTATTCTTTCATTTAAGTTATTTTAACTTAACGCATTTAATATATACGTGCAGTATATAGTAGGTTCAAATTTTAATTCCAATCTCGTTGAAATGAAAACAATATCATAAATTATATAATAATATAAGCCACGTAATTATAAACATAAATATATATCCGTTCCAAATATATTATTATATGTATGTTTGTGTTAGATGAAAATAAATTTATAACTATTTGTTTTCATTTTTATAGTTTCAATCAATTGAAAATATTTTAATAATTGAATTAATAAAAACTCCAATATGATAAAACTTATGTTTTACATTAAAATCCAAGAATCAAATAAATTTATCCTTTTTTAAAATAAAATTTATAATTTGCATTATAAATAAAATCTTAAATATAATATAAATTATAAATTTGATTTATTTTTATTTTAAATAATATCTCGTCTAGTTTTCAAATACGTTTGTTTTTTTTAAATATAATTCGCTTCTGCATTATTGCAATGTATTTTTTTCCTTCTTACATAAAAGCAATTACATAAATGCAAAACAAACTACTCAAAATCAGAAATAAAATTTTATATTATCAATACATAACGTAGGATAAACAAGTTCATACAGTATTTTAAAATAGATTTGGAATTTATTGAGATTCTATGTCTAGTAATTTTATTAATATTAAATTCAGATGTAATTTAAGTTTGATTTTATTAAATATTAATAATAGTCCTAAAATTTATTATATTACTAATATAATACCACTTACGTCTACGTATCGATGTTTCTAGTATAATTATCTGAAATATTTAAAACAATTTAACAATTAATTTTGAAACTGTATAAGTTATTCTCGTACATTTTCTTATTAAATCAAATTCTATTGTGTTGTATACACAACATTAATCATAAAATTTTTCTTAAAAAAAAATAAAACAGCTAGAGAATTGAAATTGTATTTTAGTCTATGCATCCGACTTTAATCTCTCCTTCGTTTGTCTACTCATTTATCCATATGATTTCTGGAATCTAATTAGATTAGATTAATAGGGTTTAATAATTTCTGTGGTTTCAATAAAATCGATATACAATTTTTAGCTATTGAAGTTATTCCTTTTCGATATCCGGATTTTTGAAAAATGATAATTATATTTGTTATCAATTATACACGATTTGGGCCTATGTGTGAATTGTGTCTGATTCCAAATGCTCTATAGTTACGTTAAAAGAATGCTGTATATACGTAGGCTGTTTTTTTTTTTTCAAGTTCCGATGGTCCATAAAAAAAGACAAGTGTAAATAACAAAATGAATTTATTACCAAAAGTTAGGTATAAACATGGTTACTTTTCGACATAATCACTGTGAAGATTGAGGCATTTGTCATATCTGTGGACAAGCTTTTCCATTCCCTTGTCATAGAATGTTGCCGCCAATGACTTGAGATGGGCCCTAACGTTTTTTGAAGATCGTCATTAGTCTCGAACCTCTGCCCTCCTAGCTATTTTTCCTGTTCAGGAAAGAGATGGAAGTCGCTCGGCGCAAAATCGGGGCTATACGCTGGGTGTTTAAAGGGGTGAAGATTTCCATCTTTCAGACTTCCACTCAGCTTAAAACTTTTTAATGTGTGAAGATTTCCACTTTTTTCCTGAACTGAAAACGTGGCTAGCAGGGCAGAAGTTTGAGAGTAATGACGATCTTTAAAACAACGTTGTTAAGGCCATCTGAATTCATTTGCGGCAACATTCAATGACAAGGGGATGGAAAAGCTCGTCCACAAATATGACAAATTCCTCAATCTTCACGGTGATTATGTCGAAAAGTAACTATGTTTGTACCTAACTTTTGGTAATAAATTCATTTTGTTATTTACATTTTTGTTTTATGGACCATCGGAGCTTGAAAAAAACCGTCCTCGTATTTAAAATATTTAATTTATCACATGTATTAATTACGTCTGGAATCATGTATTTATTTATGTATTTTATTTAAACAAAACACTTTGAAATTTTTTACGTGTAAAATTTCAGTAGCTAATTTAAATCTGAATAATTTTATTATGCCTTATCAAAGATAATTGTCACTTTCATATTAAATTTAAACGATTTATCATTAAGACTTAATTTTGTTAATTATCTGAATCTAAAATTAAACTAAAGCAATCTTTAATGTTTTAAGTAAAATTTCTACAATCTAACTTCATTATTAGGTTTTACATAAAATAATTTTACGAATTTAAATATATGTGAAATTTCAAAGTTGCTACTGTTGCCTCCAGATAGCAGAGACCACACATGGTCACATGGTGGTAATGTAGTCCACGTGTATATTTTGTCCCATAAATCATAAATATTCTCCCGNACTTTAAAATGATTAATTTTTGTAAGTTTTGATAATAACAAAGGTTAAATTTTTATTAAATACAATCTAATTATAAGTTTAAGAATTAACAGAGTATACAACTATTATTAATATTGTAGCGATATTTTATTTTGAATTATAAATGATAAATTTATTTTTCATTTATATTTTTGTCTCAACCTTATTTATTAATTTTAAGTAATAAAAATTATATAATTAAATTATTTTAACGTATATAAATATGTTATAAATATATGTAATATATGTATATTACGTATAATGTGTACGTATACGTAATATACATATACGTTACAAATATATAGACTACAGTATATTTTAGTATATATTTTTTAAATTAATGTAACTGTAAAATATAAAAAAAATTAATTCATTCATTATTTTATATTTAAAACGAAAGTGAAAAGGGGAATAAAAAATAGTTTAGCTACTACAGTACTTTTAAAAAGATTTTTAAGTTGAAATTTTATCAATAAAGTTAAATTTTTATGAAAAATTGCTTATTATAGAATCATTCTAAAAATATAAACACTGAACTTTTAAATCAACGAAATTAGTTCAATTAAAAAAGACAATTTTTGCCAATAAAGCATTCTCTTTTTGAAACATATTATTCAGTAAACATGGCTTTACAATTTAAGCGTATCACTGTAATTTATACAGATAAGTACAGTATTTACAGAACAATGTTGAAAAATATGAGATTGACTACAAATCTTATATTTTTCTTATTAAAATCAGTTTTAACACAAGAATAATTGACATTCCTATGCTAATATATCTACAAAAATAGTACAATATACAGTAATTATTTTAAATATAAAACTTTGTTGTAATTATTTATATTAACATTATAATAGAATTTTAAATCAGATTTTCCAAATATAAAAATATATGTTGTCTAATATCAAAAGTAACTCTATAATATTCGTTTCTATAATGTGGATAAAAAATCAACTTTTTATTATTATTTTATAGTAATTATTTGACACGATTAAGGTATTCATTTTTACAGTTTATAATTTTTTCTATTTGTCTTAAATTTCCGAATACAAGATATACAATAGTTGCCGCATGAATGGTATGTTGAATTGGTTAGAATTACCAAGAAGGCTCTGATTCGATTTATACGCGTATTGGATTAGGCAATTAAATAATCCAGAGAAAAAATATGGATAAAAATACAAATCTAAACAAACCGTCATGAGTATAAAATAAGCAATTGTACTGGTAATGACGTTTTCTATTTGTTTAGATTAAACTTTTGTACTTGTTTAATTTCATTTATTTTAATTCTATTGGTCTACTTTTCCGTAATTTCAATTATAGAAGGAAATTATACATTGATTTTCACTAAATAAGAAAATCTGGAATGTTCTCGTGGTCTTTCAATCAAATTTCTGTCTTCCTTTAGGAGTTTACCAAACGAGAACTTTTTAACATTCTTAAGTAAATAAAACTTGGAATAAAACAAGTAATCCTGTTTGTTATATCCTGTTAATAAATAAGTTATTCTATTAAGTTTTAGCCACTGGAAATTGTTTGAAAATTTAGAAGTCTAAAGATATAAAAGAGGATGCATTTCCATATCAATGCTTTATATATCTTTTGATTTTATTTGTTTATTTTATCTTTCAATGATCATGTTGATAGAATTGACTAATATTGTCAAAATAGATTTACATTTTGAATTCATATAGAAATATCGATATATTCTAAGCTTTTTATTTAATACTATTATTTATTAACATATTAGCATCAATATTCAAAATATACATTTACATACACTAGTTTTATAATAATAGAATTGTCGTATTGGAAATAGAAAGTTTCTCATTTTTACTGTACGGAATTTTTTATTTTAATATGAAAAACTATTGACGAACAAATTTTAAATTTCGAATATGTAAATTGAATTCAGTGAAAATAATATCAGAACAGCAAATGTTAATCCAGACTTTGTCGAGTTTAATAATTTTACTAAAGAAAAAAAAATGAGAGTATTTTCTTCCCTGTAAAGCAGCATTTTTTAAATGTTTTTTTCATTTAAATTATCAAATTTACAATGCAATTTGTTTATTTATTTTTGAAAATATAAATTTAAAAACGTATTAATAAGATATATAGTTATAATGATAAAATATGAAAGCTGTAACAAAAAAGTTTATATTAATTTTTCTGTCCGGTCGGAAGAAGGATGCAAATAAAACAAAAAGTAGGAGAGAACTGCAGATATCATTTTCAAACATACAAGTAGAAAAATGTGAAATTTTATTTCCATCAGAATCAAATCCAGACCTCTTTAACAAAAGTATGAACCATTTCAAAACGCAGACTAGCAGCAAATAATAAATTAGTTATTATTAATTTATATTAATAAACACGAGTTAATAATTTATTTAAAATTATTATTAAATTAAAAAAATAGTTTATGTCATTTCGTAGTTTAAATATTTACTATATATGTATATTGATAGATTTTAATTCCCTAAAAACAGTTTAGGACAAAATGCTCATCTTACATATAAACAAATTATATTTAAAACTTTGCAAATTCCATATACTGTATATGAATATAATTCTAAATTATCATTTATCTATAATTTTAAAAATTTTCTTTCAGGAAAAGATTTTTTATTACAAGAACAACCATTAAATGCAGTTGGTATGTTTATTTTCGCCTTTATTTTTACAAATTGAAATATGTTGTGTTTAATTAATATCGTTAATATAACAACGAGTTCTTATTCCTAAAATATTTGCTCAAATTACACAAAATTGAGACGGCATATATTCACAGAGAGCTTGTCGCATGTCAAAAATAAAATTGGATCAAATTTTTATTTTTAAAACTTAAAATATATTAATCCTAATATTAAATTAAAATTAAATTATGGATAATTTTAAACATAATTTTATTAAAATAATAACTTATGTAATCTTAATATTTAGCTCTAAATAGCAAAATAAGATAGGACTATCATAGTAAATTAAAAATGAAAGTTATAATTGAAACCTTAAAAATGAAGATAGAATTAATTATGAAATGAACTAATCTAAAAATGAAATGCCTAAATAATGTTACTTAGACAATTGCAATTTTTCATTTTTTTCCTAAAAATTTATAAATATTTTCATATATCTGCTAAATATTCATATCTGTACCTTCAAAATTTAGAATAAATACTTTGAAGTGAATATTCATATTGTCTATCGATAGAAACGTATCCAATGAAAATAAATGTTAGCATAAATACAGTATAATTTTGTATTTATTTTATCCTTAATAACTTTCTGCAGTTAAATAAATAAAAAAGTTTTGATATTCAACAAGAAAGCAATAAATAAAAATCTTTAAAATTATTATATAATCCGTTTACGTCTACATACTCTTAATGTTAAAATGAAATTTTTTCATTAATGTATAATTTTTGAAATTTTAAATAAGGCTTTTTACCGCATGGAAAAACAATAAGCATGAATTTTAAAATAAAATGAATCTTATAAAATCGAACCAAATTTTAAAAGAATCTTATGTACTGTATATGTTTCTAGTTTATCAATTTTTGAATCTTTGCAGATATGGATTATTTTACATTTTTCACATCTGTACAAAAACTATACAATTTGTATTTACTTGCTTTAGGATTGAAATTTTCTATGAATACCAATTCATAATAGATTACATAGTCGGCGTTAAGAACTGTTTACTGTAGTGTATAAAATATTATAAGATATTGCTTTCTTTTTTATAATTTGTTACTTTAATATTCAAATTAAAATGTACTCGATACTTTTTAAAAATTCACATTTACTTAATGTAATAAGCAAAAAAAATTCATTTTTATAAGATTTAGAAGTAATGGTAACAAAAAAGGAAATCCTTCTTTGTATTGAAGCAATCTGTATCAAATTTCCAAAAATGAAGGTAGGCCATATTTAAACCGTTTAGGTTATCTAATTTAAATAGTATTTAAAAAATGAATTTCCTGGTAGATTAAAGAAGAGCTTTACGAATCTCCTATACGTGATACGGAACAGAATGTTGTAATTGATTCGTGTTACGTGCTACCCAGGTATATACTATCAGACTTAGAAAACAATATTCAAAATACTATAGGCCTAATTTAATATTGCTATTAGAATATTAATTAATTTATTAAAATTTATGTAGCTTGAAGAAGGGTTTAATATCATCCGTATGGAAAGTCTTTCCCGAATGTAGTTTACCAAATTTCAAGGCTATGAGAAAATATTGGAAAAATACTGTAAGTTGGCTATTTTATTTTTAAGAATTAAAATAAGACACAATGTAATAAAAATAAAAAAATATAATATCTAATGCTTACTTTTTATATTTTAAATTGTAACAAATTATTTTTTTAATTCTAGTACGGATATCGATTACCAGAAAACGATGACAATATTATTTACTATAACGTTAAATTTTGGGCGGATTCAGATAAAATATTTACATATCCTTTTTTAAATATTTCCAGTAAATATTTATAGAATTAGATATAAAAAGGATAACTGTATAAAACAGATTAATTTTAACTTTATTGTAAACCAGAAATTACGTTAAATATAGCGTTTTAATATGCACGCGTACGTGAATAAAATTATTATTATTATTTTTTTTAATTCTAATTTTATTGATCACAAAAACAAATTAAGTTTCTGGAGAAAATGAAATTCATACAAAAACTGATACAGTATGGTTATTGTAAAAGATAAATATAAATAAGATTTAAGTTATTTATTTTAAATAATTCCAAAGTAGTTTTAATGTAATGAAGATCTCATCTGTATTTTTAACATTAAAGTTTTAATTTCTATTTAATAATAATATATTACAAACATTAACATTTTAATAGCTAAAAATTTTTAACATTTTAAAAACTTAATTAAATTACATTATTTATTTTTAAGCTTTTAGAAAGTTAAAAAAGTTGAAGTAAAAAATTACTATTTAGGTATAAATTCAAATCGCTTAAAAGAAGAGAAATCATTATATAAAAATAGTTTAAAAAATTATAAAATAAATTAAAAAATTAAATTTTACTATATAAAAAAAGTTAAATAATTTAAAGTATTATTTTCAATGCAAATCCTTTTAATTCGTTATTATTTATAAATTTTTATTAAAAAATCTTTAACTATGATAAGTATCCCGATTTATGTGTAAGACCAGAAAAGCCTACAATTATTCTACAAGTAAATACTCAATCAATAACAACAGTTTTTCTAACTGATTTACAACAACAAATGAATCAATTATTTCAAAGAAATTCCGAATTTAGTTTTCAACCATTACATATCTATAACCAACCTAAATTCCCAACTGAAGTGAGCTTAAATTTTAAATTAATATATTAATAAAGAATATTAATTAATTTAATTTATTTATTATTTGTCAATAAATTACAGGTTTTATCACCTAATATATCACATACATCACTTAGTAAACCTTATCGCAGTTATACTTCATATTTAGCTGATATAACTCCTGTTAAACCAATAGAAACAGCAGAAATAAAATCGCCTTACTTTACAAACACTAATACAAACAATTCTGATGTAATTAAATCATCAAAAGGATTAAAATTAGAATCAAAAATATTAAATTATTACCCAATAATTCGTCAAGTTACAAGAACGATGAATAAAACAAAAAAGTTTAAGAAAGTGAGACAATTTCCAAATGTAACTTTGCACTCATTCTTCAGCACTAAAAAAACATCGGAAAACAGCATTTCTCTTAAATCTAACCCATTAAAACAAAAGAATTTAAATGAAAGATTTGATTTATCATCTAATGTAGAAGTAAGTAAATTTTAAATAATCATATTTCATAGTTTATATATATTTAATAACCAAACATTAATTCTTATTTAAGGATTCTAAAAAAGCAATGACAAAAAAAGGCAATATCACGTTTACAGAAAGAAATGAAGAAAATCACTTGGTAAGTTTACAGTAATTTTATTGCTTTCTCGTAAATAAAAATAATTTTATTATTAAATATTAATGTTTAAAATTCATTTCTTTTTTAAAAAATAGTGTAATTATGAAAATGAATTAAAAATTATTAATAAATCAAAAGAAAAAAACTCAAATCTGACTGAAGTTATAAACTTTTTAAGTAATGAAATAACAGAAGAATAAAAATTTACAATACATATATTTATAAGTATTTATGAATTTAGTTATATTATTCAATATTTCAAAATGGATTTGAAAAATAAAATATATTTTTAAAATATAATTCATTTATATGTTAACATATATTTCTTTATTTAAAAAGTGAATGTAATAATTTATTATTATAATAAATATTTCCGTAGAAGATATTCATTAGTATTTAACTTTTTATTTTTATATCTCTCAAGATAATGTTAATTTATCTTAACTTGATAAATTGGTATATTCTTTTTATATTTATCTAGTAAATGACACATAAGTTTATTTTTCTGTTTATACTAAAATTGTCAACAAAATTGTAAAAAAGACGTGCAGTTCTGAATGTAATATTTATTTACATAAACTTAATGAGCAATCGATCATGGTCTGGTGATTCATACTTATATCAAAAACGGAACTTTTTCCACACTGTTATATTTCATTCACTTTATAATAATATTTATTTATAAACATTCCTTTGTCTAATTACAAAAATTCGCTTATAATTTGAATTAAATTATTTTTTATACTTTTTAAATTAACTTCTTAAAATTAACACCGGAATGAAGTTTTTCAATTACATATTTTATTATTTTAATTTAGTTTTCTATTATTTAATAAAAATTTTACGACTAAGACATTCAGAAACAATCAAGCTATTATTTTTATAATATCAAATTTCATCACGTTTTGTGTAATATTTTGCAAAATGCAAATTCAAAATATAGAATTTTTAAATTCACATATAATCATTTAAGTTAAAGCGAGAAAACCCTGTCATAGTTTTTCTTACTGATACGTAAACACTGGAAAATTGTCTTTCTAAATATATCTGAACTCTACGCAATTTAACGTTCTCTCATTGGCTTTACAAACAACAAAATTAGTCAGAAGTATCGGTAACAAAGTCTAGCAAACATCTACTGAAACGGAGAAACAAAATTTAGAAAAATTTAGAAAACTAAAATAATTTTGGAAAGTAAAATTTTTATTTTCAATTACAGCTTCTGCTATGACAATAATTAAACGTATTAATTTAATCAATAAGATATTAAATGATAATTTTTATATTTGCATATTGTAGTAAATACAGACATATTTTAAATAAGAGTTTTCAACATCATAAAAATTTAAATTTTACTTAAATTAACATTATTAATTTCAAAAAATATAGCAACGATTTGCGTAACTTTCCGGCTGTTATGATATTTAATTTAAAAAATAACATTTGTATTGTTAATCACAATAAATAAAATCGTGTGTGGTGCCATCTGTTATGAGATTTTGTTATAAAAAAGCTTTTTATATTATTAATAATTATAAAATGTCAAAAACTTAATTTTGAGGGTAGTGATGAGTTTTATAAAATATCGTAAACGCTAATAACGAGAAAAATCCTTAAGTTCGACCTTCCTCGAGACACCCTCCTCTATCTCCCTACTCTCTCGACCTTTCATCACCAAACTTTAACAGCATCAATGCCCCTTATACACAAGTTACCATGCCAAATTTCGTTTCTTATTTACTCCATCCTGAGATATTAAATGAAATAGATGCCAACATACACATACCCACATACACACACAAAAACATATCAATCCCCTAGATTTTTGCTGGTTTTTTTTTAATATACTTTTTTGTGTTCGGAAGGTCTCAAAACATGGAGATTTGAAAGAAAAATAATTCGGAGGATCAAATTTGACACTACTCCAATGCTATTCCTTGTTATGTATACATAACATCCCGGAAAGCAGTAGTCTTTAATATGCATTTTTGCATTTTATTTTTTATAGCTTATTTAAATGTTAAATATTTACATTGTGTTTACATAAATATTAGACTAGACTCCATTCCTGACCGCCTTCCGTTGTCCAAATCCGGAGCTTTTAAATGCTTTCTGCAAATTTTTGTTGTAAATTATAACAATTCTTTGTAAAAATTATTAGTTTTGTACAGTACATATTACAATTATGTAATCTGTGTTAAAAATTTTTAATATACAGTAATCTAATCAACAGTAAGACAAAAGAAAATGATATAATTTAAAATAATGAAAATAAGTAGTTATAAACTTTTTAAAGTAAGATAAATGGCGCTTAAAATTAAATGTTCATACGCCATTTTATTCTATAAGCATCCAGTCTTTTATGTCTCGTAGAACATCAAGTATTTGAATCCTAAAATATGATCAGTTATATTTTGTGATTTTCTTTTTCAAATAATTTACTATTATAGTTGTTTAAATTTGAACTATTGACGTTCGCCCAATTCAAGCGGAATTTTAAAAACTAAGAACAAATATTTCGTCTTTTAAAACACAATAATTTTAAAAAATGCTAATATTGTTTTTCGATCTAAGTTTTTTCGATAATTTAATAAAGTTACCTGTAAAATTATGTCTGTTATTTCTAAATTTTATTTTATAATTTAACGTTATTTGATCAAATTTATTAAAAATGCTTTAACTTGCTTAATTATATTTATAATTTGATAACGCCGCAACATTATTGAAGACTATCTTTGATGTGTTACATCAAAGATAGTCTTCAATAGATTCCAATTATAAATTAAACAGATATTTAAAAGCAGTAAATACGATAATTAAGACGTTACTCTAATATACTGGCATTATATGAAACATTTTTATATAGAAATTTGAAATTACTTATATACTGTAATTTAATAATCACTTTAACACTTTCATCAGACCATTAACCAATATAGGCCTAAGTAGATTGAAGAAGTTAAAAAATATGAAAAATCTAATTGAACATATTAATTTAAATATTATGATGTATATTCTTTAAATTCTGAAATTAGTATGGATTAACGCGAGACACATTATTAGTAATATAACTGAGCATTATAGGACCCCTAATGGTCAATCAAAATTTAGATAGCATTCGAGTTTAGATTTCCCATGATGGTTTATATCAAATAATTTTAGTTTGATATGCTTTCACTCCTATACTGTATTGTGTAATTTAAAGTTATGTTTAGTAATATTTTGTTACATATTATATAAAATTCTAAAACATTTTATGTAGAAAATATAAGCTCATATTTTTAAAATTATAGGTAATTCTGAAAGAAACAATATATGTTAATTTGATAATCCCGTTTGTAATTATACCTGAATTGAGTTTGTTTACATATCTGAAATCAGAAATTGGCATATTTTATAAATAAAATAATTTTAATGATTTATCTTTCTAAAATATAAAAGAATAAATTGCTAAATACAATTTTTTTTAATTATCAAAATATTTGAGATAAAGATGAATTACCTAAAAACTGTCTGTCTTTCAATAAGTGGAGTGGCAGACAATCACGTGACAGCTTACTTTTGAGAAAGAATTTACATCTCTAAGAAGGGCTTAAAATCCATGTTTAATAAACAATAATAAGAATGAATAAAATAATAATGTTCATAAAAAATAAAATTTTCTTTTTTCTATAGTGTATTTTATATTAAAAAGAACAAAATCGTACCATATGCATGAATTACTTCAATCTAATTTGACTGCAATTTGAAAAAAAAAAAAAATGTAGACCTATAAATTCCCACTGACATCCATCTGTCTATTCTTCCTTAATTTCGAGAACGGGGTTTAGATAGATGAATGTCGAGACTAAATGTTGAAAGCTTAAGGCAGGAGGCTCCGATTAACTATATACGAACTTTCGGTTTTGATCGGAAGTCACGTTATTTTAATTCAAAAATTTTCCCCTGAAAGGATTTAGTGGAATGACTGACACGACTCTATGGCTAGCAGGAAAGTATGATGTACAGTACAGGGGTAAGACACTACTAATTTAAGATGGAGATCATATATTTTAAATTAAATAAATTAAAAATACAGTAGACCCCCTAAAACGCGAGTTCATATAATGCGGATTCGTATATCGCGGCGAAAAAATTGCCACCGTATTCGAATAAAGATGCTAACAGAGACTCGTAAAATGCGGTAAAACGTCATCGCTGACTCGTGTCGCGACAGGATTGGTCGAATCTGGACCAATAGTGAACGAGCAGCCGAACTACTTACATGCTACAGAGAGTATAGGCGGGTAAGTTGAGTTTACTATCGTCTGTACAGTATATAAATTAGGTACTGTAAGTCTAATACAGTACTGTAATTTTATACATTTCTTGTGAAAAAAACATTTCTTATTCAACGGCATAAAAATTATTTCTATTAATGATGTCTCCAAAGTTCAACGAATTTTTCGCAGAAAAATAATTTATCAGAAATCGCGGCCGCCGTTTGGTTCGCTGCTCCGCGACGAAAACAAGCTTAAGCAATGGCATCGTCGAACGGTGCATACTCGGTAAGTAATCCTACAGTTTTTTGTTTATAGCATAGTTTATACAGATTATTTCCAAAAAATTATACGTGTTTTGGAAATGTTGAGTCAAATTAGTCTAGAATCGATTAATTTTATGGAAGAAACCTTTCAAACAGCCGTAGTGCGTAAACTGCACATGTGCCGGACTGTGATTGGCTCATGTATTTAAGGATTCCTACAACGCGAAATTCTTATAAAGCGGAACGTATCTACCGCGTTATAGGGGTTCGACTGTATAATTAAAAATTGTAACCCGACATTGTGAAGATGTCACAATAAATAATTACTCGTTGAAATTCAATTTTATGACTTCAAAAGTCTTGAACTTAAGTACAGTACAGTATTTATACTTACTTTCGGATTCGATAGAATTTCATCCTTATTCTAGTGGCGGTATGATCTTGCCACGTTGTGTTATTGTCGTAGGACATTTGTGTCATTTCATAGAGACAGAGAGGCCATTTATCATCCCGCCACGTTAATAAGATAAACTGATAATAAATTATTTAGTTAAAAAGGCCCACCAGTGGTCAAACGGTCTTCGTACCCTAAACACTGGGAGTTTGGTCCTGGGTTCGCGCCTCGCTCGGATGGGCTGGCCACGTGGAGTTTTCCGAGTTTTCTCCACGTCTGTGACGCCTAAATAGGGGCCAGTTTCCCTTAATTAAACAAGACCTCCTGGAAGGCATTCCCTAGCAAGTGTTGCGTTGCCATAACTTCACAAGCAAACATGTGAAAGTTTTCACCAGAGTATTAATTAAGAAAGAGCAATTCTAATTTAATTCTGCACAGTAGTCTGTGCAGAGTCCTTATTCTTATTCTACTCCCTTGGTTCATATGGAGACTATAGCCTGATACGCTTTTTCTCCGAGAGACGAGTTATTGATCGCTATGCGACCGAAGAGCCGGCCGTATCTAACGGCTTATACGCACGCGCGGGAAATAATGCCTTCCGGGAGGACTTTTAAGGGGAACTGGCCTCCTATTCAGTCGTTATTGGCAAGGAGAAAACCCGGAAAACTCCTTGCAGCCAGCCTGTCCGATCGCGGCGCGAACCCACGACCGAACTTCCCAGTGTTTAGGGTCTGGTCACCGCTATGAGCGGCTACGGAGACCACTCGCCCACCTGTGCAGAGTCGCCAGTCTCCGGCTTTCTCTTTGACCATCGCTATGAGGGGAAGTCCACGAGAAGGGTGTGGATTCGATTGGATGATACTACAGCATTCAGTATTCCTCTATTTGTCTCTTCATTTAGGCCGATGATGTCCCAGTATCGATAGCATGTTGGATTGTACTCATATAACAGTGCTTCTCTCTGAACAAACCTGAAAGACAGCTCAAAGTTCCTTTAGAATGACTAATCTGGTTCTTGTTCGGGTGCCAGTAAAGCTTGATTTTTTCCTAAAACCAATCCCAGAGACAAAACTCTATCACAGGGTCCTCCATGAAAGAGCAGATCTGATCTGTCAGTTGACCCTATGGTAAAGTTTGGTCTTTGAGGTTTTGATGTCCATAGTGACACAAGCCTCTTGCTTTGTCCCCTTTAGCAGTTTTTCCGGTTGCTTAGCTGGGTGCTCCTGACGAGGTCTTCTGGATCATAAACAGTTATGAAACCACTATTCCATATCTGTTTACGATCCAGAAGACCTCTTTCTCCACGGACATAACAACGGACGTATATGTTTTACAGCATATACTCATACAAAAGCTACACAAAAGCTAATAATACAGTAGAACCAACTGGGCGAGAAAATCCGAGTGCCAAGGTTGAAAATCGTTGTTACGAATATAATAAAATTCGTTAAATTCGGACCTGCAAGACAAGAATGGTGCTAAATTACCGAAAATACCGGATTACCGGCCGTTTTAGTATTTTCGGAAAATTCGATGTTGAATGTTGCAGACATTGTTGTACATTTTGTACCAGCACACGCTGCTGTACTCTTCCAATTTGTTTACACACGCTCTTTAAACTATTTAATAATGAGATGGTTCATGACTGCACTGTGTTAAGGTTGATTGAAACTCCTGCAAAAAAAGTTGATTGAACACTTTAACCACAATGATTTGCGTATGTTTTACGGTATGTATTCTTATACCTACGATTCACAGAAGCTACACACAGGCGGAACACTAGGAAGCCAAGTTATTATCGAATAATTATCGGCCACTTTTCAGAGGATGCCGATTATCTGGTACCGGATTAGCGAACTTCTATAAATTACGTAACGCAATTTCTATGATTTTCAACAATCACCCCTCCCGTAACGCTCTGTAACACCGTCGCACATACCCCCAAAATTACATACGCATACATCCTCAACCCCTAACTTGTACGAGGGCTGTTCGAAAAGTTCGCGGCCTTGCCTATATGCGGCGCTGCGATCAATTTAATTTTTGGCGGGAATAATTCAGCAATCCTTGCTAAAGATACGATACCAATTTCCGCTTGATTTGTCGTAAAGTTTTGCCACGACAGCTTAGCAGATAGTCAATGTGAACATGCTTTGTCAAAAATGGAGAAGACGGAGACTCGTGCGGTCATAAAATACCTGACGAAAAAAGGGTTGACTGTATCTCAAATCAAAGCTGACATGGATGAAGTTTTGGGAGAGTCTGCTCCTTCGTACACCACTGTGAAAAAATGGACAGCCCTTTTTAAATCTGGCAGAGAGAGTGTGAAACATGACCCTCGCAGCGGACGGCCGTCAACTGCTGTCACTGAAAAAAATATCGACAAAGTTTACGATTTGGTGTTAGCAGATCGCCGTTTGAAAACGCGTGAGATAGCTGAGACAACAGGCATCTCTGTCGACCGAGTGCACCACATCTAACCGAAAATTTGGGTATGACGAAGGTCTCAGCAAGTTGGGTGCCGCATCTGCTGACCGCTGAGCAAAGACGTGTTCGCACTTTGATGTCAAAGAAGTGTTTGGACTTCTACAAGAAAAACCCACGGGATTTCTTGCGTCGGTTTGTGACTACTGACGAAACGTGGATCCATTACTACACTCCTGAAACAAAAGAACAGTCGAAGCAATGGAAACACCCCAGTTCGCCACCACCAAAGAAGGCAAAAACAGTTCCATCAGCGGGGAAAGTGATGGCCTCGGTTTTTTGGGGATGCTAAAGGAATCATCTTTATTGACTACCTAGAAAGAGGAAAGACCATCAATGCTGTCTATTACTGTATACTTTTGGAAAAACTGAAGAAAGAAATCGAAGAGGCCACACTTGAAGAAGAAGGTTCTGTTTCACCACGATAATGCCAGAATCACTGAACAAAAAATAAACGAACTTAGCTTCCAATTAGTTCCACATTCACCGTACTCACCTGATTTGGCCCCCAGTGACTTCCACCTTTTTCCAAATTTAAAATAATTCTTGGTTGGAAAGAGATTCCACTCAAATGACAAAGTCATCTCTGAAGTAAACGAGTATTTTGCACACTTTGACAAATCGACCTATTGTAATGGCATAAAAAAGCTAGAACATCGCTGGAATAAGTGCATTGCTAACAAAGGAGACTACATTGAAAAATAAAAAAAGTTTTAACATTATTTTGTTTGTTGTTCTATTTGAGGCCGCAAACTTTCCGAACAGCCCTCGTACTAAGAAATAACACACAATACGGGGTACCGAACGTTACATTATTTTATTAATTACGCACAAATAGAAACAGTATGGTTCACTATACAACAGTTCGGAAACAAAAACGAATCATTCTATTAAATAATGGTTGAGACCCTGAGATTTTTCATAGGAAGTTTTCCCGGGAGGCATCTCTTTAGCAGATCGTCGTATATTTTGCTGCTGTATTCCAACAAATCAAATTTTTAACGGCCACGGCAGAGCGGTTAGGTAGCATCCTACCGCTCTGGGGGATCCGGGATCGATTCGGAGGAATTTTCAAGGTATGGTCGGTCCAAATATGTAGAACCCTTTCGCTATTCCCATTGAGGGCCTGGCCGAACCCATAATGGGCTTGCTAGTAAAAGACCCTCTTAGGGCCCACAGAGCAAAAAGAATTATAAATAAAGAAAAATCTATCCGCCCATTACTGATCTATGGGCAACCCCTTATTTTAAATCTTCGTTTAATAGCATTTCGTCTATTTTATAAAATTTATTATACTTTTATATTAATCTGACCAAACTGAATGAAAAAAACAGAGTATTTAAGGTTAATAATTATTTATTTTTAGGTTTTAAGCCAAAATTTTAATGTTTAACTGCCCTCTGGCGAGTTAAATTGACGTAAATTTTAATGGCGTTTAAATAATTATCAGATTTTTTATCACTAAGGATTTCATTGAAAATTTTATAATATTTAAATAAAATGTTTTAAATTAATAATAAAAATAAAAGTGTAGCTTAATTGACTAAATTTATTTATTTATAAATTTAATTAAGCTAGAATGGCATATACAACAGGGGGCGGTAACTATAGAAAAGTGATATGGTGTGTGAAATTGACTGTTTTTAGATTTTTAAATGTTTATTAACGTAATGGTTAAGCATATATTTACGTAAAATTACAAGTAATATTGTAAAGAGCTATTAGACATATGCAGTAAGTATAGGGAGCTATTGAGGTAACAGATTGTCTTCATCAGCTGTCATCAAAATCTATTTAAATTTCAAATTTGAAATATAAATTTGAAATATAAATTAAGGTAATATTTTGTTTCTGCTGGGCACCAATGGCACCTTCCTAGGGAGTTATTTGCTGTTCCTGTGAGCAAATATAGTTCTTTCATGTTTATAATCCATCATAAGCGTGCTCAATGATTAACTAAAATTAAAATTAAAAAAAGAAATGGAATAGTACACTAAAATAGTATAAAATTAGCGTTTGTTAGCAGAAACGTGTAGTTTTTGTTTGTCTGGAACATCAAGCTTCCAAAGATTGTGTCCTTGCTAATAGGGTTACCATAATAGTTGAAGGCAAGATACGGACAGATTAGCATTAAAAGTACTCTGACAGCAAGGCAAAATAAAGGGAATTTATTCATATTTTTCAATCTAGTAAATGTAGGCATATAATATAAAGTTTCAATTTACACTTTCCTTTCGGGCACAGAATACAATTTTAAATATAAGAAAACTATTTTACCACTTACTCATTAGACAAGTACTATTGAATTAAAAAACCATCATAATGGATGTGCAGGTGTTCTCTATGGGGCTGTGCATAAATTATGTCCACATATTTCTTGAAATTTGTTACTCCCTCCTTTTGTTCCAGTTTGTCCAAGTTTCCGTAACTCCTCCCCTCTTCAGATGTCCAACTAAACTCAACCCTCCCTGAAAATCTTCATCACTTTATGAGTGGTAGATACCATAAGTAGAAATGAAACATATAAGAAATTTTGAAATATAAAATGCATAAACTGTTTAAAATTTAATAAAATAAAAGAATGTCCACCAAAGCTCAACCTTTCCCCTTCCCCTTGTTCAACTTTGTCCTACTTGTTGTAACCCCTCCCCTCCCAGTGTGGGTATCATTTATGGACAGTCCCCAAGCAACAGAACCATTATATTTGCTTATACAAGGTTGCTACCTAGCCAATGAATATAATAATAATCATAAAAAATTTAGCACCTTTTTCATATTTAAATCTAAGTGGTTATAATTTAACTATTAACTGCATGATCAGTTGAAAAGTATAGACATTTTGTTTATTTTTTCTAAGTATGGTATGGACATGGACAGAGCCTTTAAAGTATGGACTGTGTACTAAATACAGATGAATGGTAGCCCTATTGCTACGGAAAAAGGGACACTTGTATGCAGAAAATTATATATAAGAAGCAATGAGCCAGATATGCAACATTGTAGATGATTATTTGCAAGTAAGACAAGCTAGCACAAACAAATCCCTTTCTACTCCAAATAGGGTTGTCAGAGATCTATGTCTGGGTTAAAGAACACTAAAATTGATTAATGCAACCAGTCCAATACCACCCACACAGCCAAATAATATTGATGACTGAACAGCCAAGGTGTTGAATCTGGACTATCATAAAATCACTGAAATTTTTCACAAGTGTTCCATACCAGATATGTGAGACCTTTTCCCTTGTCATCTAGCCACCCTCCTTTGAGGCCATACCCAAACCCACAATAAGTATGAAAAATATCCATAGGGTAGAGTTAAAAATTAACCTGAAAAAGTAAATTTGAATGCTTTCTTTTAGTTAATAACCAATTAGATTTTAGTTAATAACCAATGGAATAAGGTGACCTTAGTGTGGTGTGGTAGTACAGAAAATCCTTGTTAGTTTGAAATTCAAGGAATGAAATAATCACAATTTTTAAAGTGGCCCTAAAAGATTTATTTGTATATTTGTTACTGTTTGTATTGAATTTTGATATGCAATATATAGATATTTAATGAATTTTTGTTAAATAATGACAATATGATTTCTATTTAAAATAATGATTTGTTTATTTTAGAAAATCTGTAAATGAGATGTGAATAACTTATTGGAATTTGAAATGCCTGAACCACCTAAAGTAACTGGTTTGTCTCCAAAAGAAGGTCCTCCTGGTACTAAAATTACTATTAGAGGAGAGAATTTGGGTGTATCACAACAGGATTTAATAGGTAATTTTTAAGATATTTTGGAAATTTGTGGGAAAATTAACAATACTAAACAATGTAGCAGAAAAGAAATATACCTTTGAAACTCCAGCAATTCAAATTTATTTGAAACAAACATTTTCAGTCACATTTAAAGGCTGCCTTTAGGTACTTCTTTGAGCATCAGATACAAAAAAGAACATAAAAAGGAATAAATTTTCAAATTATAGAGTATACTATATTTAAAAATGTTGTTCTTTTTTTAAACTGAATAAACCTGTGTTGTGTTTTGCTTCTAAATCCTCTGATTTAGAGGCTTCATTCTTTAAAAATATTGCTATTTTGAAAATTAATTTCATTTCTATCTGTTTAATTTTTTTTATAAAGGTCTGACAATATGTGGAGCAGACTGTTTGATGTATGCAGAATGGAAATCACCTAGTAAAATAATTGCTAGATGTGGTGCAGCAAGTGCAGGTATTCGTGGAGAGGTGACAGTGATAACACGATCGAGTGGAAAGGGAACTTGTACTGTGCAATTTCGCTGTTTTTTAGAACCAATCGGTAAGCAAATTTTTTCTATTTTATTAAAAATAATAGAGTAAATTTTAAAAGTAATTTATAAAAATTCTAATAGAGAAATAATGAAATGTTGAATCAATTTGTTATTATATTACATTTTATATATTTTCTTCCTTCTTTCAATTTTAACATAGAAATAGAATTTAAACTTATGTTAAATTGAAAAATTTTATTAGAAAAATTAACATAATATTTTGTATAATTTAGATTTAACCAAAGAATCTGCAATTTGGGTAGATGAATCTCATATGATTACTGTTTCTTATGGTAGAAATAGACCAACTTCTCCATCACAGATTCATCCTGATGATCCTCTGAGATTATCAGATGAAGGAAATATGTAAGTGAAAACAATACTGATTATTAATCTTGATATAAAAGTATTAATGTTATATCATTATGTAATAGAGGAAGATTTCCAGAAGAAGAATTGCATGACATGTTTCCTGAAGGTATGATGAATGAAATATAATCTAAAGCATTTATTTTATCTAACTATTAAAATTAAAATTGAAAATAATGTGCTATACAAGCATTATAAAGAAATAGTCTGAGACTAATAAACTCTTTTAATAAATTTTCTGATACAAAGAAGCTGAGTTTATTTAATGCAATAATTTCAAATAGAAAAAAATACGGTAATAACAATATAGTTTTATTGCCTAAATACAGAATTATTTATTTTTAAAATATATTCTTGTTTATTACAGGTTCTGGTAATTTACTATCAGAAAATTTTGTTCCTGCTTGGTATTTATTAGAAAATCATCATGGTGCAAGGTATTTTTAACTAACTTTAATAAATCAATAGTATTCATTAAGAATTGTTTGTTATATAAAGTACATAGAATGTCATATAATATTTTATATTCCCATTTCCGAAATGTAACTGCGAAATATTAGAAATTTAATGATCATTTTTTTTCTAATTTTTGATAGAAAACATAACTGAATTCTCATTTTGCATTAATTCCATGTTACATAATGGAACATACATTTATCCAGGATTGAATCCAAGCAAGCAGCTTTTTAGAATTTTTCAGGAGTGGTCTGTGCAAGATATGTTGGGCCACATCCTGGTCACCTTATTGTAGGCTTGGCCAAACTCATGATGAGTATAAAAAAAAAATTAACCTCTTAGTGCCTACAGAGCAGAAAGAGTTAAAAATGGAATAAACTAATTATTGAAAAATTTTTACTGATTACTCTTTTGTGTGATAAACTTGTATACAAGTTTATCACACAAAAGATTACAAGATTGTTACAAAGATGTTACAAGGTTGGCAGGTATGTTGATAAACTTGTATACAAGTTTATCAACATACCTGCCAACCTTGTAACATCTTTGTAACAATCTTGTAATCTTTTGTGTGATAAACTTGTATACAAGTTTATCAACATACCTGCCAACCTTGTAACATCTTTGTAACAATCTTGTAATCTTTTGTGTGATAAACTTGTATACAAGTTTATCAACATACCTGCCAACCTTGTAACATCTGATGATGTCAATATCTAGGTACAAGTTTATCACATAAAAGAATCAAATGATCTGTGAAGTTCTATGAAGTTAATGTAATGAACTAATGAAATGAAATGAATTTAATATTTAAACAACAATTAAAATTAAATACACTAACAGATCAAAACATTTGAGAGACCTATTTATAGCATGTTGGTCTTCTCCAATACAAATTGCAGCCTGAACATGCCTAGGTATTCACACCATCAGATGTTACAGGGTTGATGAGGTATTGCTAACCATAGTTGTTATCCCATTGTCTGCAATTATGCTATTGTCAATACTAACTTCATGGATCTGAGATGTTACTCAACAGCATCTCAAACAGATTTAGTCAGACCTTGAAGATCATTGGATGGTCTAGAACTTGAGTGTTCTTCAAACCATGCCTGGATGATAGCAGTCTACTGGAGTGACACATTGCTCTGTTGAAATGCACTATCTCCTTGAGGATGCATGAAGACCACAAAAGGATGTAAGTGATCAGCCAGTACATTCTAGTAGCTTGCTATGTTTAAGGACCTCTCCAGACACATACTAATGAGTCCAACAAGAACACTTATCATATCATCACAGAGCCACTGCTGCATTGAACAAAATCAACTTGTCAGATGGGTACATGGATATAATTATGTTGTTGATGTCACACTTGCATCCTTCCAATCAACCTGGTGCAGCTGGAAATGGGATTCATATAATCACAAAATTTGTTTCTCCTCTGCAGAAATTCAATTTTGATATTCCAGCACTAGCTATGATACAGTGTCTGATGATCCAGTGATGTCAGCAGTCAAACACAGATAAAATGTTGGTTTTTATATTCTTGGGTATGCATGTTGCTCTGTACCACATGCTCACTTATGTTTTGTGGATCTCTGGCATTGAGTCTAGATGTGATCTGCACCACTGTTGTCCCTTGGTAAATCTGTACCAGTTGGAAAATGTCTGTTGCCCTTGGTCAGCAGACATTTTCTAGACTGGTCACTGTTTGCTTGCTGAGTGTTGTTACAGCTACAGAGGGTCTGTTAGATATATACTTGTTAGATCCTTGCTACAATTTTCCTTGAGAATCCTAGAATTGTTGCCACATCAGAAATGGAATGACCAATTAATTATCTTGTTCCAACAATGCACTCACGACCAAAATCACTAAGACTGACACATTTATGAACTTTCATCAATTGCGCTGTTGTGATACACTGTTGAGAAGACTAGATGTTCACCTTAGTTTGGTTTGGGTATGCCAGTATACATTTTCCATCACCACTGTTTCTGATGTTTTGACCAGTCAGTGTATTTACACAATTAGTTTTTCCCCATAGAAAGAAAGAAAAATTAAATATCTACTTGTAAACATAATATAAAAATATAATACTTCTTGGTAAGAAAACCTTTTGCAAAATTGATTAAGTGTTTTTGTATCTCAGCTCCAAATCATTCTTGAATTAATTTTTAAAAGTTATTGAAACAATCCCTATAATAAAGTTGCTGTGACTAAAAATTAATCAGAAATCCAAGAAGGATCTGAAGCATCTTTTAATGTGCATCTTAAATAATAATAATTTTGAGGTGTTTCAAAAGAGTATGTTAGTTAATGGTGAAATATTTAAGTCAATAAGTTAATTATTAAATGATGTAAAAAGTGATTAAATTTATAAAAAATTCAATAGTTTTAACTTTAATTCATGTTGACTTTACTTATGTTTTAATATTATAAAGTAATACATTAATAAATATTGACATGTCTGAATTTGTGATTATTAGATCAGGAATTTAAATGAAAACATTTAAAATCTTATCCAATAGTTTTGATGCTCTTCAAGCTGGTTTATCTTGTTTGAAATGGAAAGTTGGACAACGCAAAGAAGGACCAATTGCATTTTTAAAATCAAATGTATTGTCAATTGTGGATTGTCTTGATGTTCTAGTTTGTAAGTAACATTATAGGAAAATGTTAATACTTACTTTTATGGAATAACTTATTTTGTAAATTATTCTTAGCACTTCAGTCATTATTGATTAAAGATAAACAAGAAGCTGGAGTTGATCTGACAAAGAAATTAGAAGATGCAATAACTAGTAAGATTTCTGAAAATTAAATTAAAATCAGTCTAGTATATTTATAAAATATTTTGCAAATTTAATATGTTTAATTATTATTATTTTTTTAAAATAAAGAATCAAAACAGAATGCAGATTTACTCTTTCAAGAAGTTTTAGCAAGGAAAGATAAAGCCGATTCGACACGTAATGCTTTAGGTGTTCTCCAAAGATTTCGATTTTTGTTTAATCTTCCGGCAAGCATAGAACGTAACATACAAAAAGTAAGTGAAATTAATTAAATTTTTAAATTGTTACATCAAATATAATTTAAATTCTAATTGCTGTTGTTAAAATTGAATATGTTTTTTTTTTTGCAATTTCTGATTTTCTCAGTCAGTGCTGTAACTGGCTTTTCATGTGGGTTATGCAAGATATTATTTTTGGGGCTCTCTTTTTTTTGGATAAAAAAATATTTAAAAAATGGTAGAAATGGTCAGTTATTTGTTAACTTTAATCAAAAACGTTGGTAACGAAACTTAAAATTTTAAAATTAAAACGTATGCTTGTTTTATGATGCTCCATTTCAGGGCCCCCTTTGTTCTGGGCCTTGTGTCTGTCTAGTTATGGCACTGCTCAGTTTTCTTGATTCATTATCTATATCTTCTATATTATTCGTAAATGTATTATATTAAAATATTTATTCATAATAGGGTGATTATGATGTTGTGATAAATGATTATGCAAGAGCAAAACAACTGTTTCATGATACTGAAGTAGCTGTATTTAAAAAAGGTAACCCTATAACAACTTGATAAATATATAAAAGTTCTTACTAATAAATAAAATATAAATAAGTTGCCAATAATTTTAATGCCATCACTTATAGAATTAAATAATTTCTTATAGTAGTTAGTATGAAATTTATAAACTATTGTTTTATTTACAGTAGAGTGTTGTTTATTCGAATCAATTGGGGACTGGGTTCTTTGGATAACCAATTATGTACGAAAAAATATATTAACCTATTCCATGTTGAGATTTTTCTCCTTTGCATGTCGGTTCGCATTGAATTTTCGTCAATGTTAAGCCTAATGTAAACTTTTTAAAAGAATAATCGTGGCTATTGTTAAAAATTATTTCTTTATTTTTTACAAACAAAATAAATATATTGAAAAATATAAAAACAAAAAAAAATTCTAGTTTAGAAGTTTAGTATCAAAAACGTTCAATTCAGTATGACACACAGTCCTCAGAAAAACACCACACAAAAGTGCCAGTGCCGCCAGCTAAAACACACACATCAACAAAAAAAATATTGGAATAGCCCAAGATATAGCCAAAGATTGCAGTGCCACAGCACTAGCAAAAATTTAAATTTGCCGACTGGAATTCTTTCGGATAACTGACGTTTTGGATAACCGACTTTCAGATAAACTACACTCTACTGTATTGCATTATAGAAGTTAAGCTTGCAAAAAATGCAAATTATGAAAGATAATGTATTTAAAAATAAGTAATGTAATTGTTGTATATGAGGTGTGGCAGAAAATTAATGAGATTGGTATCACTGAGAGCAATCTGACAATGCTGCGGGCTTCCCTTTTATGTAGCTTGTATGTCAGTCCCTCCTAGATGCTCAGTAACGGTTTCAACCTCATGCAGTAACTATGCGATTCTAGAGACTGTGATAAGTGAAGTTTTGTTTTTGTATTGCATTATGGAAAATGAAACACCAAAATTTGGAGAACAGTGTGCCATTAAATTTTGTGTTAAGCTTGGTGAATCTGCAAGTTTGACCTACAAAAAGTTGCAACAATCCTATAGGAAACATCAAGAGCACAAGTTTTTCGGTGGCATAAAACATTTTTGGAGGGCCGAGAAGCAATAGAAGATGAACCTTGCTCAGGGAGGCCTTCAACATTGATAACTGCAGAAAATATGGAATGAGTGAGGTTTCTTGTGAGGTCAGACTGTTGACTAACATTGAGGCTGATGAGTAGTGAGTTAAATTTAAATCATTTTACCGTTCATCGGATTTTGACTCACGATTTGGACATGAGAAAGGTGTGTGCCAAGATTGTGTCAATAAACCTCATGATTGAATAAAGACAATTGGATGCATGTGTGTCTTAACCTTCTCAATGGAATCGAAAAAGACCCAAGTTTCTTCAGTCGTGTGATCACTGGTGATGATGAATCATGGATTTTTGAGTAGATTCCGAAACAAAACGTCAAAATGAAGTGTGGTATACTGACAAATCCCCTCAACTGAAGAAATCTTGCATGAGCAAATCAAAAATAAAGTCTGTGCTTATTTGTTTTTTCGACAGTATGGGGATTGTTCACAAAGAATTGGTGCTTCCAGGACAAACTGTCAACCAAGTTTTTTTATAAAGAGGTCCTTGAAATGCTCAGGAAAAAGATGCTTTTCTTGACAGGACATTGCAGACACTTGCATGCTCCACAATGACAATGCCCTGTCACATGACCATTTCCATCAACCAGTTTTTGACAGAAAAGGGGATTCCTGTGGTTTCTCAGGTCCCCTATTTGCCTGATCTCAGTCTGTGTGACTTTTTTTTTTTTTTTTTTGTTCCCCAAGATCAAAACCCATTTGAAAGGATGTCATCTTGGTACTGTTGATAACATCCAAAGGAGCATAACTGCAGAGCTGCAGGCGATTTCAGTTGAAGCCTTCCAGCACTGTTGTGAAGACTGGCAACAACACTTCCACTGATGTATAGCTGCCCTAGGAAACTACTTTGAAGAGGATAACATTAATATATAAAAACCTATATAATATACAAAATAAAATTGTTTGCAAAGAAAAAAAATTGTCTCATTACTTTTCTGCCCCATCACATATTGTTGAAAACAGTAAATAAACAGCAATTAACATATTTCAAATCATTTGTAAAATTATTGTTAATTAAAATACATTTTAAAATCTTGTAGTTTATCAAGAAGTGGAACAGAGAATTGAACAATTTCGAAATATGTTGGCTGGAAATTTAAAGAAATTGCCTTGTAGTATGGATGAACAGAAAAAATTAATCAGGTTGACTGATTTTTCTATTCTATTATCAAAATAAATATTAAATATATATTAGCTATTAAATATAAGATTATATAAAACCCCATTTATATGTCAAAAGTGGACCATGACATTTGCTCTTGTGACAGTTACTATTACTAAACTCTCACTTAAACTACATGAGAGCTACAATCAAATCAAGCTAGATAGCTGAGTATTCTGTCAAGAATACACTCATGCTTTTGTCATGTAAACAGGGTTTAATCTTCTCTTGTGAGAGTACAGATATTTTAGTACGACATTGCACCTGTGAGTCCATGTGAATTGAACATTGCTTTTATGGATTTGATATTTTCTGCAACATTATCAAAAGAAATCCAGACTACTTAACTTACCTTTTTTAATTGCAATAAATTCTAGAATAACTGTGACTTTGGTGCAAAGCAATTTTGACCATTTTCTACCAAGCTATTGTATTGCTTTATGTAATGTAAACACTTCACTATCACAAGAATTTACTATCAGATATTCTTGTGATAGCTACTCTCATAGAAGAACTATGGCCATGTTTACACAGCATAAGGAATAGATTATAATTCTATATGTTAACTTTATCATATTACAATTACAGATGAACTATAACTCTTTTTATAATTAAAGAAATGATGATAACTTTTTAGCCAAAAAATTCAAAAAGTTTGATTTCAGATCTACTACTATACAAACCAAGAAAACCAGCAACAGAAAAGAACTACTCGCTTTGAGAAGCGAATGTTTTTATCCGTTTTTAAAAACATCCTCAGGCTAGTGTTCTAAAATTTTGAATCGCCATGTTTGGAACATATTATAAACTTTACGTAGTCGTTGATGATTGGAGGATAGCAGTTGATATGCTGATTGGTGGAATGTTTGTATGTAACAACCTATGTGTTATGTGCTTCTGCTGAACTTATTTATACTTTCCACAGCTTCAGGATAAGTTCAGCAGAAGCACATTCTGCATAGGTTGCTACATACAAACATTCCACCAATCATCGATCAATGACTACGTAAAATTTATAATCTATTTCAAACATGTGCAATTCAAATTTTAGAACACTAGTCTGAGGATGTTTTTAAAAACAGATGAAAACATTCTCTTCTCAAAGTGCGTAGTTCTTTTCTGTATCTGGTTCTTTGGTTTGTGAAATAGTGAATCTCAGATTAATATTAACCAGTATTGGTGTGTTATTTTTATTGAAAAGTTTGATATGTCATTAATAACTATATTTTTACTATTTTCAAAATATGTAGCTTTGAAATGCTACAAAAAATTTTTAAAGCTATTATTTAAATTATTAAATAACTGCTTGGATTAATGGATTAAGTTTAAAAATAATAAATTGCATAATAACAAAGAAATAATTTGACTATAATAAAATTATAAAAATTAATTTGAAAATTATTAAGAAATATTTTAGTAAATTTATTAAAATAAATTTTAATTATGCAGATATTTAGTCAATTTGGAAGCTCCAGGAGATCCAGCATGGGGCACAATTCAAAACTTTACAACATGGATAATGAACAGCATGAATATGAGTCGTGATCAGTATCTTAACTCCAGTAAGAAACTTTTAATTACAATTTAATATAATTTTATATATAAATTGAATGTATTCACAAATATTATGATACTCTAGAGGTATCAAATCGTATAAGGAGTCAAGTTACTCACTGTTTAAGAAGTTTCTTTATTGTCTTTTGGTTTGTCAAAGATGCATTTCAGACCAAACCCCTCATCAGTTTGACAGAGAATGCAGACAAGTAAAGCAATTAACAAGCAATAATATTACAGTGTGATTGGATGACTTACAACAGCACTGTCCAACTTATCATAGCCCGCGGGCCATATTTTTTTCACCGAACATTTCGGGGGCTGAGAAGGTTTGTGATGGCTAATTGGTCGGCCGGGAATCACGTCACATCACATTTGCATAGTGCTACGGTTCAGTAAGCACTAATTGGTCATCGAGTCCGATGTTGACGCTATAAAAAGGCGACAGTTCGACACACCGGATATACGTCACTCTCGTCTAAGTTCAACTTGGGAATTTTTTTGTTCAATAATAAATGTGAATTCTTCTTCCTGGAAAAAATAAGACATTCCCTGAAAATAAGACCTAGCGCATTTTTCAGAGCAAAAATTAATATAAGACACTGTCTTATTTTCGGGGAAACACGGTAGTAAAATAATTTTAATATTAATAATAATAATTTAGTAACATAAATTTATTTATAGTAAAATGTACTCGCGGGCTGTAAAAATTATTTGGCGGGCCGTATACGGCCCGCGGGCCGCCAGTTGGACAGCGCTGACTTACAATATAACACAAGCAGTAAAATCTTTAACAATATAAATGTAAAAATAATCATTGAATAATGTATGAAGACAATAATGGAAAATTGGTGAAAATGTTAAACATTCCAATCTCACACAAACCATGCTCATACTTATTGATGAACTATAATTTTATATCATTACTTACAATGTTACCTAGTAAATCCATGACAATATGTCAGAGGCTGTGAACCATCTTGAGAACATTGAAAAAAATGAATTATCAACTTTATATTTGCATGGAAAAAAAAGCTGATCTTGGCAAAATTTTAAGAAATTTGTGAAATTGCCTCAAAATTTTTAAGTCTTACTTTAAAAATACCAAATATGTTAAAATGTTATTTAAGTTATGATAACTTTAGTAAAAATGATACAAATAGAATCAAATAACTATTTTTGTCTTAATTAAATAATGTCAGACTTGGCTAATTAAATATACAGATATAAAGTAATTTTTACTAAAGATAGGCAATTAAGTTGCCATCTTGTATTAAATTTAATAATTTGAATTTAATTAATTAATATAAAATACTTCAAAAGAAAAGATCAATCCAGAGTGGAAATTTGTATTGATAATTGTTAATGATGATTCTTTGAGCCTAGTTATGGTCCAAAGAACCAGCATTAGCATTTGATTAATTTATATATTTTTGGATTGGTTTACTGTATAATTATATATTTTTGCATTGTTTAGAACTTTATTTACTACCCAAGATTTGAGGAGTTTAGGCATCAGACTACTGTTCTGGGGACTGGGATCAAATCTAGGTGGTTGAAAAAAACAAATGAATTTTTTAGGGAGTGCTCTATCTCAGATATGATGGGTGTCAACCCTCATTACCTAGTTGCTCCACTGAAAAAAAAGCCCTTTTAATTCAGGCATGGCATCTAACAATTAATGTAAAAATGTTGATTATTGTGATGAATTGAGATAGGAGATCTAAATTACATTTGAAGAAAGAAGAAATAAATTTGTATTAAATGCTATTATTATTCAAAGAATAAGCATATCATTAAATAGTTTATTGAAAACAATTATCTGCAAATTGTATCTTGTCAATTTAAATTAAAAAATAAATGAAAAAATATAATAAAATCAGAAATATAAACTATGCATGACATAAGCAAATATATTAAATACAGCAGCAGATTGATTCTACATGAATTCTGTTTTAATTATAATAATTTATTTTTAAAAGTTAAGATGACTCAAAAAATTTATAACTTTATCACTTAGGGTCATAAACATATGTGTGACCATAGGGTCGGCACCTCTTTGGCGCCCTGTCAGGATGACACCACTGAGTCTTTAGGGGACTCAGAAATCGCGACGTTAAGTCTAAAGATTCGCGAGCGGTAGCGTGTGAGCGCTTGGATTCGGAGTAGAGGTGAGGAGAGAGACGAGGAAGTAACTTACTCGGACTCCATAGTAACAAATAAATAACAATTTTAATTAAATCGAACTAAATACCATACAGAGATATCGGGCATATTATCGTTCTTAATTATACTAGGTCGTTGAGAGAGAGAGAGTTTACAAACGAATCGTGGGTTGATAAATACCTTGTCGATGGACAGTTCTTTACCGTTGAATCTTGAATCAGAATCTTGTCCGTTCACTGGTGTGGAGGCACGGAGGAGTGTAGAGGCTTAATCCAGCACGAATGTTTCTCTCGGGTTTAATCCTGGGTCACGGTTTTAATCCGGTGTCACGATTTTTATCCTGGAGGACGACTTTGTTGGGCGGACTTTGGATGACGACTGACCTCGGGGTCTTTTTTTCTTTTCTCTTTTTCATTCCTCTTGGGTTTTTTCCATGAGGTCAGGTGATGGCCTTTAACGGTCGCACGTCCAATATGTCTTCTCCATCAAAAGTTCCTGGTGACACATCCCTGACTAACTTGATCCGACTCAACAAGGAACAAACTCCGTGGAAAATAATTTTTATGGCTTTTAGCCTAACTCGATAAAACGCTCGAATTTAACCGATTAAATTTTCCAATAATTAAAAATTAAAATAACACTTTATTGTGGGTCTGTTTGTCCCTCACATCACCCCGACCTTTCAAAAATCGGGCTTGTTCTGAGTGAGCAAGATCGATTTTAATGAGCTGAAGTTTCGATGGAAGGTAGAGGATGTAGGGTATTTCCTTGAGGTTCTTGAGATCTTCGATGAAATTCGACTTGAAAATGATAAGGACCCGTTTTGTGAACACATTATATTTAAAAGTCTCTCTATCTCTCTCTGAGTGAATAATACTAACATGAATTATTTCCGACATCGATATGATTATTATTATTTTTTTTATTTATTATTATTATTATAAAAGTAATAATAGTATATTATATTATAAAAGTATATTTATTGGTTACTATGGAGTCCGAGTAAGTTACTTCCTCGTCTCTCTCCTCACCTCTACTCCGAATCCAATCACTCACCCGCTACCGCTCGCGAATCTTTAGACGTAACGTCGCGATTTCCGAGTCCCCTAGAGACTCGGTGGTGTCATCCTGACAGGGCGCCAAAGAGGTACCGACCCTACGGTCACATATGTATTGATATATGTCTGCAGGCAGACAGATTTGATTCTCAAAATTTTGGATTCTTATGAATGAAACAGTTGCTTTATAATATCAGAGAACAATGAGGTAAACAAAAGTTTTTTCACTCATTCTCAAGCCAACTGCCATCCCATTCTGAGTTCGGCCAGGCTCATAATGGGATGGCCAGTTGGCTTGACATATTTGGGACAAACCACTGCCAAACAATTTCTGAGATTTTCAAACATCTTGATTTGATCCTGTGTCTCCAGATATCTAAATAGTTTTAAAAATATTATTTTATATACGTAATGGTAATCTAATTCTTATTTTTATTCTGATTTATTAATAAAAATTTTTGGCATAGAAAAATATTAAATGTTTTTTCTCCAATATTTCTTCAAAGATTTAATTTACTTTATTATTATTAACAGTAAAAGAATTAGAGAAAGAAAATGAAGACCAGTCGTTATCTAATGACAGTTCCTGGGAAAACGACACTCCTCAAGTTGTATTATTTGTAGAAGAAATAACAAAGTTTTATTCTGAAAATTTTCCAGAATTATGGAAATTAGGACAAGCTTACCTTAATGGACAACTGAATATAAGAGAGGTTTATTTTCTATTATATTTTAAATTCGAAACACTTAAATTAATCATATTAGAATATGATTTAATATTTTTTAGTTTATTATTAATAAATTATAGCATTTACTCATAATTTAGGTACAAGTACAAAATAATCATCAAATAGATAAGCAGATTGCTTTTAAGGTAAGTTCAAAATTTTTAAATTGTTAGAATTCTATAAAACTTAAATATATATTTATTTATAAATTATTTTTAAAATATATGCATAAATTGTAAATATTTTACAGTACTTTTTAAGTCAAAGCGTAATGAATAAAAACTTACAGATTTCAAGTTAAACAATTTAGATTTAATGAATTTAAACCTGATTTTTTTTGCAAATCTTTCTTGATTGTAAATTTCCTGTTATCAAGTCATTGCTCATATATATAATAAACTATATAATTATATAGTTTATTATGCTTACAAAGAAAGTGCCTTGACAATGCTCCATTGTCAAGGCACTTCCTTGTGTTCCAATCAGAATTCTGGTAATGTATTCTATCAGTAAAAGGATATCAATGGCAGGTTGTAAGGGAGAAAGAAAATCTTGTGTTTGGCAAGAAGCTATAGTGATTGTTTTTCTTAATTGTTTGTATTCACATATAATATAAGAGAACATGAAGATTGTAGATTTTTCAAAGGATAGAGGTTACATAGAAAAAAGGTTCATATTAGAAGTATCTCAATTTCAACACCATTTCCAACTTTAACGAGACCATGTTATATGTAAAACCTATATACTGACAACTGTTGAAGGCTTTTCGTTAATGAAGTTTTACTGCTAAATTTAAAATTTTATCTTTCAGACAATGGTTCTTGATGTAACAAACAGAATGTGCAACTTATTGAGAGCGGCTTTGCTTTCTCACACATTGAACACATTACATCTTCAACAGTTGGCCAATCTTGGTTGTTGGCCAAAATCACAGACGGGAGAAGTATTGCGAGGTTGGTTACCGTCATGTATTCGTTCACTCAGGTACATATATCACATGTTTTTTCAATTGTAAATACAAAAATTTTGTTTATGTATTACATGCTTAACAGCATTGCATTTAAACAGACTAATAATTAAAATAAATGCTATAGTGTACTTTGTTGGCCTGAATATTAGTCAATGTTTTTTCAGTTTTAAAGGGGCATAAACTTGATCTTGACTTATATATCTAATTCTAGTTAAACTTTTTTTCAATTTAGGTCGGCTAATTATCTTTGGTAAAAATCTTAGAGTTAAACCAATGCTAAAATTCAGTGTATTGGTTTAGCAAAGCTGTGACAGTCCTGCTGCAGCTAGAAAACTGTTTGGAAATTAAGTGTTTAGCACAATAGTAAATACTGTAATTGATTATTCAGTTTTATATTTGATAACTTTTTTAATTTACTCCTACTAATCAAGCAATTATAAAAAAATTGATTGCCAAACCCTTAGAGTACAATTTTCTGATCAGTTAGGTATGATTTAAATGTAGTTTGTAAAAAGAAACAAAAGCAATCAAAAATTTATTTATGCTGATTGTATTTACAAAAATTTGGGAATCAAATTAATGAAATAGGAAACAGGAAAGATGACAATGAAAGTTGTGATGAAGTATTGTTTTAATGACTTTCCAAATTCTTTAATGCAAATTGCTAATTTTTTGTATGTAAATGAAATTAATAATTAATGGTTGACTTATATTTGGGTTCTAATTTTTTTTAAATGTATGGATTCCAAAATTGGAAGTTGATTTATATTCAGGCCAACACAGTATATTGAAACTGCTTATGTTATATGCAATAAATATGAAACATTCAAATGAATATCTTATTTATATTATTTAATATTCAAAAGTTTTATAAATTTAAAACAAAAGTAATTAATTGCTATTTTCAGACAATGTTATTCATCAATTTTAAAACTGGATTTACCTGAAGATATTTTGAATGTGATTCAACAGCTACTTTTTGACCTTCGTGTTTTCACCATGACTACTTTGTTCACACAAGCAACTGATGGTAATTTTAATAGATGTATTATATATTTAATTAAATGAAGATAATTAGTTTGTTTTACTGGCATTATTTAGTTTCAAATTAATTATAATTCATTATTAGATCCAAAATTAAATTAGGTTCAATTTAATTAAAAACTATCATTAGTTATTTTGAATATTAAATTTCTCTGTCTTTATATCAGTAATAATATATTAGAAATTTACAAAATATGGTTTTAAATATTACTATAAGTAATTAACTATATTAATATCATATCAAATAATTGTTATGCGTAAAGAAATCAAGTTAATATAAGTATATGAATATGGAAAAGTTTTAAAATTTTTGTATAAAAAAAAAAACAAAATTATTTTTATTTTTAATGTAATGTTTATTTTCAGATGTTCAAAATTTACATTTACGTGAGACTTGGGATGTCGAAATTGATGATCAAAATGGAGCAACTACACAACTCGTGAGTGCTAAAACTTGCAAATAATTTTAAATTTTATTAGGTGTAATAGCAGTGACAATATTATAAATTTTAGTTCTTAAACCATTTTATTATTTTTATTTATAGTCTATGTTATGTTTATTTGGATTAAACTGAAAATAAATACAATAAACTGTTAGGGAGACAAAAAGTATTTTATACAATATTCAGAAGATAAAATGCATACAAGTTTTAGTGAAATTAAATTTTGTTTAGTATTATGTGAAAGAAAAAACAAAAATAGTGATGACTGGAAGGTCAAGACAGTTAAGTCATTGGTCAAGACTGCTGTGGGAGATACAGGATCAAATCCAGGCAAACAATCACAGGAATTTTTTGGGTGGTTTGTCTCATTATATTAGGTTTCATCCCTCACTTCCTGGCCAAACCCATAATGGGCCTGTAGAAAAGGTGCTCTTAGTGCTCGCAGGATGGAAAGACTTAAAAAAGAGTGGTGTTCATATTCTATTTTTTATTTTCTCAACTACTCTGCTGATTTTTCTGTCATGTATTAATTATTATGGTAATTATATCTTCATCTATGTGTATTAAATTTTTACACATTTTATCTTATTTATATTTAGAGGATTTATACAAACATTTTCTTAATATTGAATGGTCAATATTATGAATTTATTCATTACTACAGCCACTGTTACAAAATTTTAACTCATTTTAGAATTTTTTAATTGGAATTATTTATAAATGCAAATATATATAATGCTTTTAAATAATTGAATTTTATGTTTATTAAATGATTTCTTCAAAATATTTTTTACAATTTGAAAATTGTAGATTTTAAAATGTGATGATGATGATAAAAACAAGTTTAATAACTATGATGATATGATTTTTAAATTAATTTAATTAAATTGCTATTTTTTCCAGTTAGAAAATTATTACTGATTATTAACTACTACAAATGTAGTTTTTTTTTTGTATATATCTTGCAATTCATTTAATTTCTGCATGTAAATTTGCATTACAGAGTGATAGTAATCAATTTCTGTATGTTAAATTACTGCTATAAATAATGATTAAAATAAGATATTTACCAATCTGTGATTTATTTCCTAAATTCATATTGAATGATCTGCAATGTAATTAACAAATATAAAATTCATTATTTTTGAATCTTCATTTCCATTCAAATAATAAATATCAAGTTAACAAATTTGTCTAATCAATCAATTTTTAAGGTATGTGACCACAATGTTAATAATTATGTAATTTAATTTGGTTTTAAAAGTATCTGGAAAATATGGTTGGAACAATGTTTGAATCTATGATTTTTGTAATAAATAGTTTACACAAACATCCTGCATTAGTATAAAGCCCATCTCACAAGCATCCTTTGCAACATGGAAAACAGGTAGATGGGGTTCTGCATTGCAATATCAAGTTTTCTGCTTTGCAGTCATTTCACAATCATGTAAAATCATGCTGATCAGTTTCCACAACTTGTTTTCAGGCAGATTTTCTATTTTAAGTCATGCTTGACATTTACCTGATCTGTAAGCATTCCAACCAGTTGGAGGATGGTAAAATCATGAGGCATTCTTTATTATTATTGATTTTAACCAATAGAAACACTTTTAAAGAATCTGCTAGTTAACTGTGAAATATAAGTGAAAAGTAAAAACTGCAAGTTTATCATGTAGATCAGTGATTCCCAAACTGTGGTACGCGTACCCCTAGGGGTACGCGATAGGTTGTTTAGGGATACAGAAAAAAGTTAGTTATTATGGCAAAAAAAATAATATATTATGCATCACAAACTAATAGCACATATTAAAAAATTATTAGGTAAAATATGTTCCTTGCAACAATCACAACTTTATTATACAGTAGAGCATCGTTTATCAGAATCAATTGGGGACTGGGGTTGTTCGGACAAATTATTTTTCGGATAACCAGTTATGTACGAAAAAATATATTAATTTATCCCGTGTTGAAATTTTTCTCCGTTGCGTGTCGCTTTGCGTTGAATTTTCGTCGATGTTAAGCCTAACGAAGAGTATTGTATTGTTATAAATTATATTTTTATTTTGTACCAACAAAATAAATATATCGAAAAGTATAAAAACAATAAAAAATTATACTTTAGAAGTTAATTTAGTATCAAAAACGTAAAATATTTGAGTAGCCGAAGACATAGCCGAAGATTACAGCGCCACAGCACTGGCGAAAATTTAAATTTGTCGACTGGAATTCCTTCAGATAAACGACGCTCTTCTGTACACTTTTTTATTTACTTTTTTTTCTTTAATTTAAAGTTACAACAATATGTAAAATTAACAATACGGGTACTCACTAAATTTCTTAATGAGGGGTACAATCTAGAAATATGACATGCCATGGGGTACACTAATGAAAAAAGGTTGGGAACCACTGATGTAGATGATTCCATCAAAATATCAGTTTTTGAATTGTGCAGATTTAGCTTTCTTCACGACCATAAAACAGGCTTAAATTTAAATAACATATGAAGATAAAATTATGCACTAAAATACCCATAATTAGAATGGAATTTGTTGCATGACTCCACCTAACTATGGAAATGTTTCAGTTTTGCTTATTGTAAAATAATAGCCTAACTTAAAATAGTCAACTGGGTATCAGATGAAATGAGCTGTCACTCCGAACTGCTCATGAAAATCACAATCTAGATTGAATTTGCATTAGTGCAGTGGCATAGTGTGGGTGTCAGCTGCCCGGGGCGGAGGAAAATTTCGCCCCCTTATTTAGGTATTTCAATTTAAAAGACTAAAATTCAGTTTTGTCACAGAACAAGCAATGAAAAATCCCGTGCTAGTGCAGCGACCTGTTTAAAATAGTTCTTTTGGATAATAGTGGTGTATATGAATGCAAATGAATTGTACAAGCAAAAAGAAGGAAAAAAAAAAGGTCAACAGGTTGCACATGATATCCTTGGATGAAATTACTAGTTCACCCGGATGGCGAGCTGATTCCCGGACTGTTCGGACAATAGCACTATCGTAGGTGCGACGCAAATATAGATTGAATGGTTCAAATTTTTACAGGATATTATTATTATTTATTGTGAAATTTTGCCTTCCCCTAAAAAGTGCCACTCGCGTTAGGCCGCCCCCCCACTACGCTACACCATTGCATTAATGTCATTTACAGTGTTTATTTTTTGAAAATTTTTTAAATGTATTCATATTCAACTACAAAAACAATGATGTTTGTTACATTGCAACCATCAAACCAAACAATCATCCATTCATTAATAAATTTTTGATTTAAATACCTAAAACTTATCTCAATAAATTTAGCAGTTTATTTATAAATGAAGTTGAGTTAGAAAATTCATAGTATATTAATATTTTTTGTTTCTTTTTTAGCCATTATTGTTTGAAAATATAGTAGTGGAAACTCTGCAGAGAATACGAGATACAGTATTGCATTGCGGTCCAACAGAAATCGAAGTAAGTTTTTATTCACTTTGTATTGATATTTTGAATGTTACTTTTATAAAAATATTTACATATTTTAGATCTTCAGTCAAATAACTGTACAAGCAAACATTAAACATTTGTCACAAAGCTTGCTACAAGCATTTGTTGTTGCTCTAGAAAAAATGGCATTTCCACCAGTAACACAGAAATCTACACCAGTTAAGTATGTATGAAAATAATTTAGTCTAAATGTAGTGTAATTTTCTGGGTCTTTTGATTGAACTTTTTAACTTTTATGAAACTTTAGCAATGCTTTTCTTTCTCTATAATATTATGATAAGCACATTTGTTAATGAAATTCTTCAGATTAAATCCAGTTTACAGTAATTTTATTGAAGTAAAATGATTTTGGAAGGATTGTGCACTTTTAGGCTACTTGACTCCTGTTGCTTGTCATGAATCAAAAATATAATTCATGTTAAAGTATAATAGTAATAACCTTAGCCAAATCTGGGAAAGATGACGAAAATAACATCATTATCATCTCTTGGCAACTATGCCACAACTTGCTTATCTATGGTTATGGAACTAGCACATTTCTTTTAATGTTGAACATAAGATGCCATCAACTGTAAGATTTATTCTCATTTAAGGTATTAAAATGTGAAATATGTGTTTTTTTGGAATCAAGGAAATGTGTGTAAATACACACAATCTTTTAACTGTTGATATTAGAATTAGTTTGAAGGGGTCTTTTTTTTTAATTTTCATGTTCACAATTATGTACAGGTTCTGAAATTTCAAACTTAAAACTATATTTTTCTATTAATGATTAATTCATAAAGAATTAAAGAATGTTGATTTGTATTCTCTTAATTTCTTTTATCTTTAATATCAATAATAATTGATTTTGTTTGACAGGTTATTTCCAATAGCAGCTGATCCATCTGGTGTTGATAACTATCAAGACATCACATCTGGAGTGAGTTTCAGAATATTTTTTGCTTCATAAATAATAATAATTTTGTTATTTTAGAAGATTCGGCTCCAAAACAAATGAAATATTTATAAAATGCGATGTTTTATGGCATGGATAAAATATCACCTTAGTTGACTATACATTTTATCTGGCAATAAATTCTGTATATTCACTTGGCTTGAAATTATATCTGACTATATCATATGATGCTATAAACAGTAATAATAAATCATAAATGTGTATAAATTGAGAAAATAAAACAATATCTTTTATATACAGTAGAAAGTCTATTAAGAGATGAGTTTCCAAGTTTACTGACTCCATAGAGAAAGAAAATTGTAGAAATGCTACATAAAGTATGAGTCAAAATTTAGTATTATGTAGAGAATACATATTATTGATTAGTTTTACAGGAGAATATATGCTTTCAGTTTTAGTTCTTATTGATTTTGTACAGAAAGGATGGTTGCTAAGTAGAAATTTGTTGTATTATATGTAAAGGAAAAAATTGCATAATGGATAAAAATGAGAACATTGAAAAAGCACTGTTCAAATTGTAGATAAAAATAAATGCAAATTTTATTATCCATAATTTTCAATTATTTGGATGTATTCCTCTGTATTATTACCCTGATTAATATCATTCGACTATATTTAAAAAGATTTTTGACTTTCCACAATTTTTTGCTAAAATTTCATATTATAAGAGTATCAACAAAATAACAATAAAATAATTAAATCTTCAGTGTTGATTTGAAATTACAATATCAGAATATTTATTAAAAGAAATTCCTATTAATTAATTAATTAATTAAACCTTTTCAGGACAAACGATTGTTAATCATTCTTAGCAATTCTTCTTATACGACGCAGATAATTATACCAAGGTTACACGAAACGTATCAAAAATATAATTATCCAGACATGNTAAAGTAGGTACTATTTAGTATAATTAACATAAACGGACTTTTCATTTATCAACCTTCTTGGCCCCAGAAATGTTTGGTGAAGAAAATATGGCCTGCGGGCTATGATAAGTTGGACAGTGCTGCTGTAGAAGAAACTGCAATATTACATGTAAAATTTCACTTTTAATGAAACATTACTTAAACGTTTTCCACCATAAAGTAACTTTTTGGTCACCCTGTAGTAATTAGTCATTTACAAAACTGTAAATTGTCAAGATTTTCATATTTTTTACAGAAAATCTTTCAAAACCTGTCGCAGTCATTTGACCGGAATTGGAGACACCAACGATAAAGAGTATGTAAAATGTTTTTCAATCAGTGAACATAAACACGAGTGTATTTATCTAATGTATTTCTTTTTTTTAATATAGATTATTCCAAAAACTATTAAAAAAATTTGAAAGTCAGATGCAGATGCAGCTCTTGTGTTTTGCTAAAGAGAAAATTGTTTCAGTTTAGTATCTTGAGAATACAAAAATAATTTTCAGAATATTTATTAAAAGAAATTCCTATTAATTAATTAATTAATTAAACCTTTTCAGGACAAACGATTGTTAATCATTCTTAGCAATTCTTCTTATACGACGCAGATAATTATACCAAGGTTACACGAAACGTATCAAAAATATAATTATCCAGACATGTCATTAGTTATTAAGGTATGTAGTTTCAGTTTATAAATTGCATTTGTTAGAAATAAATAAAATAAGAGGATAATATTTCAGTGTAGTCAAGCTAAATACAGAGAATTAGAAGCAAAATTATTTCGAGCTTATCTAGAACGAAAATGTGACCCAATCATTGGTGCTATCGAGCCTAAAATGTATGCAAATCAATTTGATTGGAAGAAATGCCCAAAGCCTGTTGGTATGTTTGTTTCCAAAGTATTTGTAATTAATTAATTTTATTATAAAACTTCTATTTGTGTATTTCAGGTGTTAGTGCTTATGTTAAAGATGTCATTATGAATATGATTGCTGTTCATGCCGAAGTAAGTATACCCTTAAACGTTACAGTTAAACATTATATACAAGTAACCTGGTGGCTGAGATGTTTATAGTATGTATGTTCCACTCTGAGGTACCTAGTTTGTCCCATTGTAACCTGGCCAAATGCATAATGGACATGAAAGATGTTCCTTGTGGTATCTGCACAATGGAAAAGTTTAAAACAAAAATATAAATACAGGGTTAAATAGATTTAAAACAAATTGAACCTACATTGGAACTATGAACTGAATGTGTTTAGTTCCAGGAACTGTACATATCTTGTATATGTAATAGTTATTAAACAAATAATAAAACTGTGTTAGGACCATCAAAAATAGAACAATAAGTGTGATTGTGATTTCATTTCTTTTAAAGAAATTAAAGCAATTAATAGTTCAAAAATTTTTTAATTAACAAACTAGTCAAGACATTTTTTTATTAATATGTCATGTTATTGACAATAAACACTTTGTGATTTTAGGTTTTCAGTGTTTCGCCACCGTTTGTGGAGAAAGTAATGACAAGAATTGTGGAAGCAGTCATTGAAGAACTTAGTAGATTATTTCAATGTGTAGGAATATTTTTGCAAGATGGAAATATTCAGGTAAACTTTCAGATATCCATGATAATTATTAGAATTTTAATATTAAAAATTAAAATTGTTAATTAGAGGCTGTCCATAAATTATGTTTGCATTTTTCTTGAAATTTTTACTCTCTCCCCCCATTGTCCTAGTTTATCCAAGTTTTCTTAACCCCTCCCCTCTGTGGACATTTAACAAAACTCAATCCCCTCAAAATTGTTACCACTTTATGAATAATAAAATGTATAAACTGTGTAAAATTTAATGAAATAAAATGGATGTCCCAAGTTCAACTCCTCCCTTCCTTCCAGTGTGGACGTCATTTATGGACAGCCCCTTAACAAGTGTTTTTGTAAAACACATTTAAAATGTTATTTCCTATTCACACACAGGCCACTTTGGATAATAAAGCCCTAGAAATAACATTACAAGATTACCAAACTTATAATAGTGGGTAAGTTGTTTAAAAATATTAGAAATTCTCACTAAAATGTTACAATAAATGTCATTTGTTTTGTTTGAAGCATGTTTTATTAATGAAGTATATCTGTCATTTGAATGTATTTGTTCATAAACATGGCCAGTTGACTGTGTGGTGAGTTGTCATCCTATCATAGGGTGATCTGGATTTAAATTTAATTCAAACCTCCAAATCTTATGATTAGTGGTAAAAGCTGGAGGCAATCTTTCCTGTTTTTCACTCATCTGGACAATTTACTATGGATCATGTTTGCTCTGTGTGTGAGCTTAGAACCTTCGTATAGCCTTTATATTCTTGTGCATAACTTGTATAGGGTGTCCAAAAAGTTACCGTGCAGTTGTACATATTACATTACGTTCCATGGAATTTGGTCTCCTAGGTCTATGGTTCTCACTCCCCCAGATTTGGGGGCTTTCAAAGATATTTCCAGCTGTTGCTGTAGAACAGGGCTGTCCAACTGGCGGCCCACGGGTCGTATACGGCCCGTGAGTACATTTTACTATGAATAAATTTATGTTACTAAATTATTATTATTAATATTAAAATTATTTTACTATGTGAAAATTTAAATCTAATTTGAATTTAAAGTAGGTACTATTTAGTTTGCGTAACTTCACTTAACCTGGCTGAATACAGCAGCAACCTTCTTGGCCCCCGAAATGTTTGGTGAAGAAAATATGGCCCGCGGGCTATGATAAGTTGGACAGCGCTGACTTAACTTATATACAAGTCGACCCGGGCTGTAGCCGGCTCAGGTATTTGTAAAATCTAGTGACTCATACGACATGAAATTCATATAAAACGGAATAATCAACAGTGTTATAGGGGGATCGACTGTAATGGGAATATCCGAGGAGAAGCTTTTCCGTCCTCAGTCGTGAACCTTCTTGTGTGTGTACGTATGTGTGTGTGTCCCACCACCGCCGTTTCCTAACTCTAAATCTGGATTATCACTTGAACTCCACATGGATTAACATCGGAACTCTACCTGGATCTACATCTTAATCACCTGAATTTAACCCGAACTAACTCTTGAAAATCTAATCTCAACGAAGATTCCTACATCGTCGCGCGAATATTTTGTAAATTCTCTCGACTNTAATAATAATTGAAAAATATAAATGCAAATAAGTTTTTTTTATTTAAAAAATCACATCTTGTATTTTTTATAATAAAATTAGTTATTGTTTATCAAATATTTCTCATTCTTATGTTGCATTTTAATTTTGATCTTCATTTTACACAAAATAAAATTAATTCAAAATAAATATTAATCATATATTACTGTCTATATAACGATATATGCCTGATTTTAGCTGTTTATCGAGAAATTTTGTAGGAGGAGAACAATTATTACTAGCAGGACATGTCATTTTATGTGGTATTATCGAAATAAATGAACACAATTGTTCTATACATATTTTTGCTATTTATCATTACTGCTGACAATACACGTGTGATTCAAACGACCCACATAAAATAGTTTTGTTTTTAAACACGAGAGTCAGACCAGATATGGAAAGCTTAGGGGCAAGAGGTTTCGATTAATCATATACGAACTTCAGGTGCAAAACAGAAGTAAATTCAAAAATTTTTTCATGAAAGGAGTTAGATGACCGGCATGGCTCTAATTCTAACAGGAAAAGTATGATGTACAAGGTCAAGACGCTACCAATTTAAGGTGGAGAGCATATATTTTAAAATAAATTAAAAATTATAGCCCGGCATTGTGACGTTTTCACAATAAATATTTGCTCGTTACAATATAGTTTTAAATTAGATTGTGGTATTAAAAATAAGTTAATACGCGCAAAGATCTCCAACCGTAAGAGGTCAATTTCTTGGATGGTTGGTTTATTTTATTTTGTATATGGCGACGCAACACGTGAGCGATCTGGCCGCATAGAAAGGTGTTCGAACGTGAAGAAAACCTGGTAAACTCCACGTGGCCAGCCCATTGGCGAGGTGTGATAGGTGGTGGTATCCACTCGTCCACTAGTGGGAGTTGGGCTTGGCGGTTGGATGGCTGAGCGGTCAAGATGGCAGCCTACCGCTCTGGGGGATCCGGATTCGAATCCGAACGGGTCGAAAAATCCCAGGAGTTTTTCGGAGGGATGGTCCGTTCGGATATGTCGGGCCTCGTCCCTCACCACTCGGCAGCTCCATTGTGGGCCTGGCCGAACCCATAATGGGCTTGCAAAAAAGATGCCCTCTTAGTGCCCACAGGGCGGGAAGAATTTAAAAAAAAAAGTGGTAGTTGGGCGATGTGTAATTTAGTTTATTTCTTGAGTAGCCTTTAACTAATAAGCAGGAATGAAATCTTGAAATTTTACTGTATGAAAGCACATTAAAAGCTACAAATTGTTCCAGATAACATTGAGCAATCATTTGAAGAATATTTTCCATGGTTTCTCTTCTACAAATTCTTCATCCAAAGCTTCCTTTCTTACTACTACTATAAAATAAGCAAGCAGACTTTTAATACTTTATTTATTTTGATATTCTTAATTTCTTTTAGATTTTCTATTATTAATCAATTCCAGTATTATTTACTGTTTAATTTTTCACTTATTATACTTATTATAATAAAACAGAGAAATTTTAGAATACTTGGCTCTTTTAGGAGTGTAATTCTACAAATTTTCTGTTTTTATTAAAACTCTCCGCCCTGTGGACACTAAGAGGGCTTTCTTTTAGTAAGCCTATTATGGGTTCGGCCAGGCCCACAATAGGGTGGTCGGGTAGTGATGGACGGGGCCCGAAAAATTCCTGGGGATTTTTCGACCCGTCGGCTTCGATCCCGTGTCCCGCAGAGTGGTCGGCTACCATCTTTCCGCATGGCATCCGGCCAACTTAAATGAGCTATAATTCGTTTAATACTTGTATTCTTCAAATAATATTTTAATGTGTGATTGTATTCTTAATTATATTTCATTCGATACAACGTTTAATTAAATCGGTTAGTGACATTAAGTGTACTTCCACGTTAGTACCCAGACGGCGAAATGTCAAAAAATGAAACGAAAAATTATTGGAATTTGTATTTTTTTAATGTAATCAAAATATTTCATATTAATTTAATTGTTATTTTATAAATACTTCAAATATATAATTATCATAATAATTGTTATTAACGAAATAAAAATACAATTACAAGAAATTGATATCTGTCGTGCCATCTGTCGGCAATTGTCGATAATTACGAAAGCATTGCGTGTTTGGCAGAAAGGCTGGAATTCAGGATGAAGCAGTGATGGAAGAAGAAGCGGAAAATATTTGGTAAAGATTTTTTTAATACGAGCGTTAATTTTTGTATCAGTTTTTATCGCGAATATTGTTTGACGTTAATTTAAATATATTAAACTTCCTCATTTTTAAAAAGATAAATATAATAAAATTATAAGAAACATATGTGGACGCATCCATCATTTAAATTCAAAAATATTAATCAATTTCGGATAATTCGATGATTAATAAATAAAACATTATATTTATTTTTTTAAAAATTAAAGGAATTTTTAATGCGTAATTACAATTTAAAATTATTTTAATAATAATTTTTTTCAGTTTTTTTTAAATTTAAATAAAGCTAAATAATTTGAATATTTCGGTATTGATGTCATTCACAACAATGAAAAGAATGTGACTTATTGCAGTGTTGCCAACTCAAATTTTTTTAAAACGTAATAAAACGAGAAATTAATTAAAGATACACAAAAGAATGTGATAAGAAAAATTTTACTTGATTATAAATAAAATAATAGTAGAAAATGTTGATTTAAATTTGTACAAATAAATATTTCATCGATATCTAAATTGTTAGTAACTGAACAATATTAGAGGAATTTCCTGATAAACAATTTTATATATTATTTAAAATATGAATAGAAATTATGTAATTGATATTGCCTAAAAAATGGAATTGGCTTTTAGTAATGACAACAGCCATAATCATATATATTGAAGAAATCATTTAAAATACATATGAAATAAGCTTTCTGCTTGCCAGTCTGTTCTTTATATACTGTATTCCTAAACCCTTTGACTGATCTACTCCAAACTTTTCATAGTTACTCTCTAGTGTCCTACAGAAAATATAAGATACGTAAGGTTTAAATACCATAAAACACAAAGACCTACCCTTCCCTGATTTCATCTCCTTGACACTTTGGGATAAACATAACAATAATAGGCCAAAATAACCAAATTTTGAATGTTTGTCATTATTTGATGTCCAAACACTGATGGACATGTTGGCTAATATATTATTGTCATTTTCTTTTAATATTCTCATTTTTTAGTGCAAATTTGTAATCCTTCCTTTAAATAATTCTTTCTTCTGTGTCATCTGTTTTACAAACTATGTCAGACATAATAAGAGATCTTTTATAAATGAGATAAAGAATATTGTTTAGTGGACGGATTAAACAAATGTCTCAAATGAGAAAAAATTATGGACCAAAACTTATTCCGTGACAAATTAATATAAAGTCACAAACAATCTTCAGAAAAGACTATTTTTTAATACAGTATATTTTTTGAATTGTAATTTTTTTTATAATGTATTCTTATTCAAAAAACTTCTTAGACTTTCCAAATATCAAAGTTGATTATTTTCTCTACCTTATCATTGATTTTTGTAAAGTATTTTCTGTTTGCTGAGAGCAAATAAAATGTTTGTTCTTAGTAAATTGAAGCATCTTTGCAAAATATTGAAAGTATTTAAAAATTTTTACTCAAAGAAAAATAAGTTTTTTATGAATTCTGTATTCTGTACTGATGCAATATTTATTAAAATTATTTTCATTTATATTACTTATCCTATATTTTGAAATTATTTATTTTATTTGAGAAAATATAAATGAATATTAACAGTTTTATTTAAAAATACAAACTGATCTAATCACATGATTGTTAATATTCCATGAGAAATCTTTTAATAATTATTTTGCTGATGTTATATAAGATTGTTGCTGTAAATAAACATTAAGATATATCTTAAACAAAAATAATTCTAAGCATAAATAAGTTATTATTTGCATTAGGCTGATCTGATAGTATTTACTAAGTAATGAAATCATTAGACTTCATCAGATTTTAAATATATCATCTCAGAGTTAAATATTCATTAAGCAATTCAGTTAATACTGGTTATTTTCATAACAAATTAATAAAACATCTCAATTAAAATTTACTTAAAGATTTTATATTATTTTCAACAGGAGAAGTCTAAGTAGTCTGTTATGCAGAAAATATAACATACTATTATATAGAAAATATTATTTTCTATATAATATAACCTCAGTGTAATTTTTTTTTTATTGAAGCTAAATGTTTTCACTCAGTTCATGCCATATTAAAATGAGATATTAAATTTAATATCAACATCAAAACTTTTTGAAATTGAAGTTTATTACAGTAAAATTATATTGATTACATGTATAAATTAGTACAAAATAGTTTGTAATTATCTAGAAATGTGTTTGGATAATTTAATTATTTTTTAAAGACAAAATAAATTTTTATAAAATCCTTTATGAAATAAAATTGATTTTATATGTAAAGATTTAAACATTTTTAATTCAAAAATTACATTTTCAAAACTCATTGTTAGATTTTGCTGTAACTCTAGATTTACAACTAAATGTAATTTTTATATTTTTTATAATTAACAAGTAACTCTGACTTTAGTATCTTTTTAATAAAAAATAGCATTGTAAATAATTTATTTGTTTAAGACAGAAAATAGTTAAGAGTTTCCACTGTAATTGAAAATTATAGCTTAACGTAGTATTATTTGAAATATTTATCAGTTTAACAAATCTAAAAATATTTTATTTCAGGTCATCTCTTCTGTCTCAAGTGCAAACATACAGTCCAACTAAACTTCCAAATGGCAAATATTTACTTGTATTAGGTAGGTGTAATTTTCTTTAATCAAATGAATTTTTTCTATTCAAAATTCAGTATTGCAGTTATAATAAAACATTGCTTTGATGTGAAGATTGAATAAAACAAACTTTTAATCTTTAATCTCCTGTAACTTGATTTTTCACATTTTAAAATAATTTCTTGACGAACTAATTACTGATCAGTAATAAGATGTTACACTTCTGAGAAACTCAATGAATTATCTTTATAAGCTACTGTTTATATGCATTTAATACAGGGTTTCAGAAAAGTTAGTGTGCAGTTGAAAAGGTTAAGTAAACTATAATTCTAATAAAAATGTGTTCTAATAAAAGTGACATTTTACATAGTGTTGCAGTTTCTCCTACAGCATATACTAGAAATGTCCCCCAGAGGCCCCAAAATATGGGAGTGAGGTCTGGAGACCTAGCAGGCATAATCTCCTGTAGAATCTTTACAGGAGATTATGCAATCAGCAAAGAAGCCTTCCAGAAACCAGAACATTTGTGAGCAAGTGATAATACCATATATTGCAAAGTAGAAACACAGGATATACACTTTATAAGTTTTGTATGCAATACCATATGTATAACTTTAACATCATTACAAATTCCTCACTGCATAGTAACTTTTTGAACACCTACAAGTTTTCTATATCAGTTGTATAAGGGAGTACAGTATATGAATATATTAACATATAATTTTAAGAAAGTACAAGTATTCTTGAAATGATAATGAATTTCTTTGCTAAAGATGCTCAACTTGAGCAATAAAACAAAGTGTATTTTGATAAAATTGAATTTTGTATTTTAAAATTCATAAAAATATTTTTTAGCATCAATAAAACATAACATTTTGTATCACCAGGTGATAATGAATCGGGAAAAACATCACTAGTTGCCAAACTACAAGGAATTGAAGATCCAAAAAAAGGATCAGGATTGGAATATCATTATTTGACTATTAGGGATGATTATAGAGATGGTAAGTAACTGTTCATACTTAACTTTATTCATGTTTAAATCTTCTCATATCCTAATTATTTTATAGATCAAACTAGATTAGGAATATGGATTCTTGATGGAGAACCATGGCATAGAAATCTCCTGAAATTCATTTTGAATGAAGAAACACTTCCTCATACAACTGTTTTACTGATAGCTGCTATGTCTGAACCATGGAATATTTTAGATTCTTTAGAATCCTGGGTGACAATTCTTCAGGAACATCTTGATAGGATAAAGCTTTCTCCTGATGTTCTGAAACAATGTCAATTTGAAGGTATCAATTTTAAAAGTTACAGATTTATAAAATACATGATTAATAAATGTATAAAATTAAAAATATCATAAATAAGTACTTTTATTCTTTAAATTTCTCCTGTTTTTATTTTAGTTTGAATCTAGCAGTTTTTGACAACTTTAAAATAAACCACAATTCTTAAAGTTTACTTAAAGCATGACATAACAAAAATCAAGAAATATTAAACTGTAATACTGCATATGAAATTAGTGTAAAATCTGTTCTAGACAGTTTTATTAATTTTTACTTTATTTGCTACATTACTAGATGTATTCATAAATATTACTACCTCTGTCCCTGACTATTTCCACAGTTTAACATCAATGTTTCACATTGCTTTGCAAGACAACTGAATGAATTAGCATCTCCATCTTTATGCAAATAAATTTTCTAGCATAGACAAATAGTTTTTACTACATGTTTTTCTTCTTCACGTGCCATGCCCGATCCCCGGACGTTGGCGATCACCAAGGAAAGGAAGTTCCTATCTTTGGCCGTTCTCATTACCTCCCCAATGTTTTGTATGCCTGTCCATTTTTTAATATTGTCCATCCATGATAAATGTCTTTGGCCTTGTTTACGCTTTACCTCAATCTTTACATTGAGGATTAGTTGTGGGATTTTGTATTTTTCTCCTCTAGTGATATGTCCCAAGTATGCAATCTTTCTGCATTTGATTGTTGACAGCAATTTTCTGTTTGTTCTTACTCTGCTTAGAACTTTGTTGTTGGTCACTCGATCTGTCCATGGGACTCTCAGCATCCTTCTGTGAATCCACATCTCAAATGCCTCCAGTCTTCTTTTACTACATGTAAACAGTAATAATTTTGTAAAGGTTTCTGTATTTCTCATTAAAGATGAAATTGTAGAAAAAGTTTCATATGTTTAATAACTTAAAGAGGTGGAATTGATTTCTTAATATGTGAGAAAGTAGAAGAAGATTTTTAGATTGAAATGAAGATGAGTTGACAGCTTTAGTAGCCAGTCTTATCTGTGGGAAAATTTCAGAGTCTAGTTACTTCAGATTTCTAAAATTTGAAATAGTATTGTTGTCATCATTGCATAATTTTTCGAATGTTGAGATTATTCTGTGAGTTCATGTGATAGTTTTATACATTGAGTGTGAAGAAAGAAAGCTATTTCTTTCTCCAAATTCAATGTATATATAGACTGCCTTTTATAAGAAGAATGTTTTTACTTTGTTTTTATCACTAACAAAATTTTTAAACAGTTTTATACAACATATAAAAGATATAACTTTTCTGATATTATTATTTTATAATAACTGTTAGATGAAAAAATATGTATTATAAAGTATGGTATTCACACTTCTTTAAAGAGTAATTATTTTGCTGTTTTACAGTTTATATTTTTACATATTTTTCCTAAGTTGAGAAGATCTGCAGTTTGGATTTAGTCACAATACTGTACTATATTTCTCATGTTTTAAAATGATTAATTAGTTGAAGTAATTCAAATATTAAAATTTTCAATTTAGAAACATTCTGAGCATTTGAAAACTTTATGATAAATTAATTTTCTATTTCTATTAATAGTTTTTTAGATAGTCTTATTTTATATAAAGACAAAAAAGTTGTTACAAAAATTTGAAGAAATCCATATTGTAAATAAATTATAATTAATTTTATGTCAGTTATTATTTTTATGATATATTCAGGGCTGGTTTTGGACTGTTAGTCGCCTGCATGCCACAGATATTTGGTTGCCCTATCAATACTGATTGGGGCCTGTAAATTGTATAGTTTTTTTCTATAGCATTTTTGTTTAAAGTGCTGGAGTTTAAAGATTTTTTTGGTAGTCTTTACTTATATTTTCAATTACATTGTTCATGGTAATTAATATTGTCATGTTGACAATATATTAACAGATTATTAAATCTCTCTAAGTATAGAAATAGATAAATAAATAAAACTCACGCCAAAGTTGTATAGCCTTCTTGATAAAAAGCACTGAGTTCAGCGTTAATACGATTTTTCTTGTATCGCAAGTACTTGCGATACAAGAAAAAAAAAAATCTCTCTAAGTAATTGTAAAAATTATATGAAGCCAAACAGATATAGAATTTATGTTTTAGTTATACAGATTAATTAATTATACAACTTTTTTAAAAAATTATATATAATACAATATGTCAGAATAACAGAATTTAGATTTATTCATTAATGTTTGTTTGTTTTTCTAGTTCAAAAAAAATATAACAATTATGTTGAACCAGGTGAGGATATATTTATAACATCTTATTACCGAAGTGTTGAAGCAGAACCTAAAATCACAGATAAAGATACTCTTTCTCATAATCTTGGATTAGAAATAGTCGTCGTAATCACAAAAGTATGTATTAAAATCTATTAAAATTATTATTAAATTAAGGCAATTATATGTAAAATTATGCTTATAAAGTGTGATCCAATGTTTCTAGGCTGATATGGAAGAAAATGTATCTTAACTACTGATCAAAGTCATTTCTTTTAATCGATTTTATATATTCAGTTATACAGCAACCCCATTGATTATTTTTTCCCTCCCTTCTGCTGTTACTGGAAGTATTTCTAGAATTGTTTTCTTTAGGACTTTCAGCACAATCATATTCAACTTAAAAAATTTTTATTCCTGAAGTTATATTTAATAATGGATATTTTTAAGAGCAAAAACAACCTCTATGCATTTTAATCTGTTTTTTTATGAGGAAAATAAACAACTGCTGTTTTTTTTATTAAATATTGTTGAATTATCACAGCATGTAATGCATTATAAAGTAATTATGATTTTCTGTTCATTAGCTGGTCTTTAATGTGCCACTTACTAGATGTTTTCTCTTTTCATTCTCTCTTAAGCATTGTTAAATAGAAATAAATTTTACTAGTAATTTATCTCTAGAAGTAAATTCTTGATAAATAAAAATTTTATTAGTAAAGAAGTCAATATTTTGAAGTTTAATTTGATTTTGTTTACTTTTTTCTTGGCATGAAGATGGATATTTCAACTGTTATGACAATTATTTCCAAAATAACTATAAGTTTAGTTTTTGTATGAGTTTGGATGATAAAAAACAAATTTCTTATTAAAGGACTTAAAAGCCTTTCTAATTAGATTTTTTTTAATCAAAGTCTGTTAAGGAGTCTGGATGCTAAAAAATACAATGTGTTTATAAAAACTAAAACAAATGATAATTCATTTTAATGCCATATAATTATACAAAGTTGTATAATTATTATTGTAATCAGTCCAAGAATTTTTGGATTGCACCTTGGATATCAATACATGTTTTTTTTAAGTAGAGACTTTTTTTCTTTTTAACTGTTAATTAAATATTTAAAATGGTATTGTAAAAATTAAATTTTAGATGTTTTAAGTTTAACTTGATATATAGATTATATAACAATATTTTTATAAACAAAATTTTGCTTTTATCCATTTAAATAAAATATAATGGAATATTAAATAATCTTTAATTTACCAGTAAAATGTTTCAATATATTTCTTGATATAAACACTTGATAGAAACTTAAGGAAAATGAATCATTGGGAGAAAAAGTCTTCAGCAATCTCTTTAATTTCTAGATAATGGAAGAATTAACATAAATATTCTCTATAGGACCTGTCACATAATTTTTTTTTGGAAGTCCTGCCTTGAGCCAATCAACACTAGCAAAGAGATAGATACATACAGAACCAGAAATAATAGAATTTTCTAGAAAAAGGAGGGATTTAAGAAAGGAAAATAAAAGAAAAATAGCTTGATCAAGCAACAATAGTGTGGGGACATTCCTTTCAATGTAAAAAAGTCTTTATAAAAAAATTATTTAAATCTTTTCCAAATTATAAATATGATCCAGTGCGCATATTGGGCTTATATCATAGAATGATACATTGATAAGAAAATTACATAGTTTCATGTGAATTGTGATATTAGATATTTCATTGAAGAATATAAATTAATATCATTTGGATCATCATAAAATATTATCAGATCATTGAAGCTCCATTATTTAATAATATGAAACAAAATGCTTTTGATAATTATAAAACAAAGTTTTTGTTTAAAATTCTTTTAAATATCTTTGAAATACATAATACAAAAAACCTGAATTATGTAATATCAAAAAACTTCAAATGATAATTTAAATTCTTTTTTGATTTTGCAGAAAAAAATGCATAATGATGATGTAAGTACAGTGGTGGCTCTTATAACGTACTTAATCCGTTCCAGGTGCACGTCCATTAAGTGAAAAGTCCGTTATACGAAACGCATTTTCCCATAGAAATACATGTTAAAACATATAATTTGTTCTGCAGCATAAAATAACCGAATAACCGTACTGTACCATAACAAAAAAATGAAAATGGAGCAGTCACCAATTATGCCAGGTAGTCAGATGTTGTGAGGAGGAGGTGGAGGTGTGCTTTCTTTATTCATTCATACAGATACAGACTTTTTACACATTGCAGCGGGTCTTTTTTTTATTGTTTTTTAATCGGATTCAGATTCAGGAAAGGCTACTGGAGCTTGCAGGGTCAACTCCTCTTGTTTTATCCTTTGTTTTTTCCCTACTGGCTTCTTGAAAAACATGTCCAAGATGGTCTGTTTCTCTCTCTTCTTCAACACCTGTCGGAAATGATGGGCAAGGGTGTCACTGTAGAGATCATTGATACTGTTGGCCTCATCTCTGTTTGGATAATGAGTGTTGGTAAACTCCTTAACCTCTCAAGGAAGAAAGTTTTTGTCAACTTTCACTCCTTCTGATGATGTCTTGCATTGTTTCAATTGAAATCATCTTTCTGTGTTTTTATAAGCCATGATTTGCTCAACACTTGAATAAATGTAAATAGCCTGCACTGAGGTGATGTACGTAATAAACAAGGGAGTAATCCGAATCCCAACGGGAGCTCTGTACTTCAGATATACTAATAATATATTCTAATAATACTAATATATTATAAAAATAGCAGATTGTCATTGGCAACGGCAAAAGAGTGGAAACATCATTTGCACTTGTTCGTAGAAAGTCCATTGGTCGCCTCACGTAACTGCCGAACGGAAAGTCCGTTGTCTGCAGCCAGTCCATTGCTCGAGTCACGTAATGGCCAAACAGAAAGTTCATTATTCGCAGCGTTCATTATTCGAGGCGTACGTTATACGAGGCACCACTGTATATGTAAATATTAAAAATATAAGTACATAGATACTTAAGTATATACAACATAAATAAATACAAGCAAGGCCATACCTTTGTATCCAAATTTGCACTGCTATATTTTTAAATTGAATAATTCTAATTGTATGAATATTTTCAAAGCATGTTTAAGAAAATTTGACAGTCACACTAATAAAAATAAGAAGTAGGGATGAGTCCATTCTTAGTGTCTGTTTTCATTTGTTTCAATGGCATTGTTTCTACATTCTACTGCAGGTATGCAATTTAGTGATTTTTATTGCAAAATTACAGGCAATCTTAGGAACTAATTCTTAACATAATTTCAGTTTTTTTTCTCTACAGTTCATTACAATATGTTCACTGCCTTGTTGTTCGTTTTCATTGTTGTTCTGTTTTTATACAGTAATATTTTAATATCACAGTATAAAGAGTAAACATTGTTGTCTACTGCATATTAACTTTTCCTATTAGAATATTACACAAGCTTGTTTCTTGTGCTTATAAACATATTCTTTAACAATCTCATTAAATAATGTAATTGGAGTTAGTATTGCTTAATATTATGCTAAAATACTAGATTTATGGATAAATAGGTGTATTGCAGTGTTTCAGTGTCATTTGGGTAAATTGGTTGATGATCTTCAAAATGTTTTGGAACTGTTTCTTGTGATTGTTCAATATTATTTGTGTTATGGCTGTAAGACTGCTATTTAATATCACACTTATTATACTGAGGCAAAGAGACATGTAGATTAAAAGGAGAATAAGCTTGTTTTTTTGTTTTCTTAGTCTACATGTCTCCTTGCCTTGGTATAATAAGTCTGATTTTAAATGACTGTCTTAAAGCCATAATACAAATATTGATTAGTGTTGTTTAGATGGATCAGGAATAATCTCTCAGAATTTTTTCTGTAATAAATAGTAAAACATTTTATTATATTCAAACAGTCCTGTAAATAGGAATAAACTATTTTGAGAGCTAACTTTATAAATTATGGGCAAGATAAAAAAGTTTTGACATATTTTTTTTTCTCTTTTGCCTAGTACTAGGCCTATTAGCTATAGTCCATGTGAAAACAAAAGTAACAGTAGCCTAAGTTCATGTGATGAAAGCAGTGGTGTGCCTATGCCATCCATGAAAGCTGTGGAAGCACAGCTTCCCTTCTAGTTTCTAAAATATAAATACATATTGTGCAATTATTTTCATATTTTAATGAACTTTGAATTACAGTACTTAAAATTAATATTTTATTATAACTACATTATATATATTATTACAAATTTCTATACATGTGAAAAACAATGATAAGATTTAAGGTTTTTCCTTAATGTTATTTTTATAGTATTCTGCTCCTACTCAATCATATAATTTTTTTCTGTAATAAGTCTGCTGTATTCAAATATTTCATGTCATCCAATGAGAGAAATATAGGTTAATATAAATATGCAGGGCTATTTTTTTTAACCAGAATGCATTGGTATGCCATACCAGCAGATAGCATAAAAAGTATCAATAGTCAGTACATAGCACTTGCAGTTGCTCAGAAAAATATATTCTATATGTTCAGGTGACTGGTAAGATGTCTCTATTGTATAACTTCCTTATTGATGTTCAACATTTGTATACACTGTTTCCTGTTTATATGTATCCACAAGTGGTAGTGAGCTTTGTACACAAATTTTGTATTCATGTTACCACTCTATACTCAATCTTTTGTTACATTTTGTTGGATTGATAAATAAAACAATGCTGACACCCATGAACCTTCCTCCTTCATCCTCTTTCTATCTTTCTTTATACTTCACCTTCGCTTCTTCTCTAAATATTACTTTTCTCTACATTTCACAACCGGGCAATACCTCTTAGTAGTCCTGGGTCTTCATCCCTTTGGTGCTAGAAGTGTGGAAATAGAAGTGACTGGTATGATGAGAATGAATGAAACAAACTGGGTCACTCTATCAGCCACAACAAATGCCATGGGCTGACTGGGCACTGACATAAAAAGCAAATGGGGTAGGACTCGCCCTTTTGTGAAAGGCCATCTTTCAATGAAGAGTTGATACTGTGGATAATTGTCTGTCTCCGACACATTCTTGTCGAGAAACAATATAGAGAAGTACTAATGATAATATTTTGAAAGGGAAAGGTAAAAATGTGCACCATTTAGTAACCAT